GCCCCCGCTCAGGAGACCATTCGAGTTCAGGAGACCGGTCGCGGTGTTTTCGACAGGGCCTTTAAGAGGAGTACCGGGAACGTTACCGCCGAGGTTAGGCAGCACGGCCTTGACCTGCACGTTAGGGGCAACCTGAGCAGCATCGGCGGCGGCGGTGGCCTCGGGCTGGGGCGCAGCAGCCTCGTCTCGGCGGAAGCGAATTGAGGCACTAGGTGCAATAACGGGCGCAACAGTAGCCACGGTGCCGGGAGCAGTAGTAGGGTTAGCAGCAACGCCAATACCGCCAAGAACGTTGCCGACACCGCCACCGACAGCAGGGACGACAACACCACCAACACCAATACCGGCGACGGCAGATTGAGCGAGACCGAGGGCGCCAGTCGCGGAAGCGAGAGCGCCCTGGAGCGAGGAGATAATTGGGTCCAAGAGTTGAATTGAAGAACCAGCGCCTCCCACACCAGGCAGACCAGTAATCACGGCACCGGGTACATTGGTAACGATACTACCAATAGCACCGGTGACATCCGTGGGAAGAGCAACACCGGGAGCACCACCGGTCAGAAGCTCGGGAAGCTCATCACCGCGGGGGCTCAAAAGTCCGCCACCGCTGAGACCACCATCGTCAGGAACAATGAGAGCAACAGCGCCGGTAACAGCACTGCCGAGGTCGCCAACGACACTGGTAGCAGCACCACCAAGGTCGCCAGCAACGCCGGTCACAGCACCGCCAAGGTCACCAACCTGAGCGATGATGGGCTCGACAGGGTTGGGAAGGGGAAACGCGGGACCGTCGGAGTCGGGAAGACCGCCGTCAATGCCGCCAGCATCTCCCCCTGGGGTGCCTGCAGTTGGGGCGGGCAGAAGGGGACTCAGGATAGCGGCGGTGGCATCGATCGGGACGACACCGGGCAGGATCGGGCCCAGAGAAGGACCACCACCGTTCGGGAGAGAAAGGCCAAGGATGGCACCAGCGACTGGTGCTGGGGTGAAAACAGCAGCGGCGGCGTTCATTATGGAAAGGCTCTCAACAGAGGCGATGAACGGTAGGATGTTGTTCAAAGCGGCAGTCGGCGTGACTTCAGTCCCCAGGGTACCCGCCGCAGTCACCGGCTCCAAACCAACCAGCGCCGGAATCGTTGTCGCAGTGCCGAGAGCGATAGGCAGTGCTTGCCGCTTCTCGTGGTTCTCGTTGTTCTCGTTCTCGGGAGACGCATCCGCCAGTATACGGGGGCCACCGGGGAGGCCAACGCCAGCAGCATTGCCAAGTGCGCCGCCAGCAACGCCTCCAGCAACGCCGCCAGCAACGCCGCCAAGTGCGGCAAGAATAGTCTGAAGCAACTGGGCTAAGGCACTGGCTGGCAAGGAATTGAGTGGTAAACCATCCAGAAGGCCCTGGACCTGGTTCAGGACAGTATCAAGCAGCGACCCTGGGCCACCGATAAGTGGAATGTCGTTGGTGACTCCCTTAACAGTGTTAAGAACGGGGTCAAGCGGTGACGACACAGCACCAGCGCCATTCGTGACTCCCGCAGGAGTGTCGGTGACGGTGTTGAGCGGGAGGCCATTGAGTAGGTTTCCCAGCTGCCTCTTGCCGAGAGGCACGGCCGAAGAGACACCCGGCTTGCCGCCCGGAACAAGGGCGGTCACAGCGCCGACCTTGTCAACGATCTGACCGAGCAGTTGGATAACGGGCAGCAACGAGGCCAAGACCTCGGCCTGCGAAGGGCTGACCGGCAAGCTTGAGGCAACAGGGTGAGGAATGACGCTGGCCAGATTGGTCACCGCCGGAACGATCGAAGTCAGTTGCGCAACGTCGGCAGTCGGGTTGCTCAAGACAGCGGTCAGGTCGGGCAGCGGGAGGCCGTCAACGGGCACGGGAAGGCCGGTCGAGATGGGAGGCAACACCGGCAAGGCAGGCGTCGCATTGCGCTGGTTAGCGGGAACGGCAGGAAGTGGTGGCAAAGAAACAAGATCGAGGGGTCCCAGCTGGGGCCGCGGCAGAGCCGCCACGAGGGCAGCGTCGCCGGCCAAGGCGGCGACGCAAAGCAGTTTTTTGGCATCCATGGCGGATGGCAGGCGGTGGATCAGCGAGGACCAAGAAGAAGGCAGAGTAAACGAGTGGTGGTAGTCGTCGTCGTGGCTAAAACCCGAGGACTGGCGAGCAAAAGCACGACTGCATGCAGCCTTTTTATCGTCCGGCCATGGTCGTCGATGGCGATGGCTGCGCGGTTGTGCAGAAAATGACGAGACATTCCTGGTGTTGGAGTCCAGGCAAGGAGGGAGTTGAGGCATTCCGTCAGGGCAGATAAGATAGCACAAGCGGAAGTTCTGGGTCAAACGCGTGCAAGTCGGGACGCATTCTTGGGAAGCGATTGGTGATGGCACTCGCAATATTCCTAATCCTGAATTGAAGGCGCCCAATCATCTACCTCTGCCGCACGGCGCATGGGCTCAATCTCCATGCAAACGCGGGGGGAGCCCGCCGAGTGGAACGCGGCCCGGCGGGAGCTCCCGAGCAACGTCTCTCCTTGCTGCTTGCTGGGCCAAGCGAATGGCGCCATGGGCTCTGCTGACTTGAAATTCTTTTACGCTTCATCGTGATGGCAGGGGCCGCGTACGAGGTCGGACTTTCGCGCAAATTCTTGCGCCTCCACAGATGCGCCGTGGCCATCGTGACCTTTGAAGTTCCTTAAGGCGTCCAGGAGCGTGCCTCGGCGTCGTATGCATTACTCTTGCAAACAAGGGCTTCACGAAGCTATTCCGCCGCGGCCGCCTCGAGGGGCGAAGCCAAACCCACCTCTTCCGCTGCCGTCGGGTCCTTTCGGTGCTCGTACGTGCTGCTCTGCGCCTGGCGTGGCCGATCGAGACCGCGAAGCGCCTGAATTTGGCTTGGCCGAATGGTTCGGGTCAAAGAGCTGCCTCTTGGGCTTGGGGCTTCGAGTTGGGGCCTGGTCCGGCCCATCGGGCGCTCTGCCCCTACCTTTGCCTCGGGAATTCCTGTTGCCCTGGGCGTTTCGAGGAGATGAAGATCGCTCTTGAGAAGATTCCGGCGCAGGAACAGGTGATCCGAACAAGCGCTCTCGCACCTCCGCATATTTGCGCTGCTTTTCCTCACGCTCGCGCGCGGCTTTGGCCTGGCGTTCGGCAAAGTCGCGTTCAGTCTTCTTGCGCGTCTCCTCTTCGCTGTCGTCGCCATCGTCTCGGGCCAGGACTGAGGGTGGAGGCTTCCTGGTGAGAAGCTTGACGGCGGGCTTGATGTCGTTCGCGAGCGGGACTTGGCCCTGGGCCTGCAGGAAGAGCGGCGTCTCCGCGGGAGTCTCTCTGAAAAGCGGAGTCAGTGCAGGTCTGGGCGTGGGCGGGCGTGGGGGTCGAGTTACGCTTGCTCCCACAGCTGCTTATTGAATTGTGCATGTTGTACTCGGCGCTCGGCCTTGCTAATCTTCCTGGCAGGCTCGGGCTCGGGAGGAGCTGCGGGCTGCTTCTGCGCGCGGGTTAGTAGGTAGTCAAGTCGACGTTGGGCAAGCTTACGTCGGCCATGCTCTCCCAGTCGTCATCCCAGGCGTCCGGGACGGGGTTGTTGCGGCTGCTCATGGCGCTGGGCTACTCTAGGTAGGCGTGAAATAGGTAGCTGGAAGTGGTGCGCGGTGGTGGTTGGGAACGACGTCGGGATCCAAGCTGTCAGATCGGCATCGTCGGCGAAATGGGCTCGGGCCTGCCAGGTCTCAGCCCTACGCGCACTGTCTGCTGCTGTCAACGCGCCGTCGGTCATGGTCAGTCGTTGTCGCTGCGGCTTGACTGGCTGGATCTATGTAGGTCGGTACGAGTAGAGGGTCGCGCAGTCGTCATCGTCCTTGTCCCCTCATATGAAGCGACACGGCAGGGACACGGGTTGCCGTTCGCCCCGAACCCATGCTAGGAAGCTTCTCCACGGCACCTTTTCCTGGCAGATCGACCGCTAGATTCCCTTAGGAGCTAGCGAGCCGTCATCTGGTGTGTGCGAATGTGAGCCGCAAGACATCTACGCTTAGCCGCTTTGATTACATGTAGCTGCCTGCTCGCTGCTGCTGAATACTCGCTCTTCCACTCTCGATACGTCCCGCAAATGTGATCGCCCGCTTCGATCTCTTGCTGCCACCGCGTCTCACCTTCGTCCGCTTCGCCCCTGTCAGCGCGAATCCTGCTCCGCATATGCCTCCCTGATCGAGGGGCATCATGTCGGCAACCCACGCCCAGACCGCGGCGATCGATCAGGCTTTCTTCAACGATCTCTCGCGCCGGCCGCCCACGGAACACGATGCCCAGCCGCAGCCCACCGAGGCGGCTGCGAACGCGCCCAGGCAGAAGCGCATAGCCTGCGTGCTGTGTCGGAAGAGGAAGTTGAAATGCGACGGCCAGAGACCCACCTGTGGCACCTGCAAAAGACTGTCGCACGAGTGCGCATACGACGAGGTCAGGAAAAAGAGCGGGCCTAAGAGAGGATACGTCAAAGCACTGGAAGCTCGTTTGCGTACGTCGCATGCCTTCTCGCTGTCGGGGCTGTACTGACTGCTGCTGCTGAGCAGAGCAAGTCGAGACGCTCCTAAAGACTCACGAGTCCACCGATTCGAACCAGAACGAGCCCGAGACGTCCAACATCTTCTTGGGCGACGTCCAGAACCATGATATGCAAACGGATCCCGTTTCGAGCGCAGCTTCTATGGCTGCCGACGCCTTTCTCTTTGGATCGCCCGCCGAGCTTGCTGCCGCGCAGCACTCGAGCACTGGAGGCACCAACGCCAGCCCAGGAACAGACCCATTTTCTTGGGAGATGATAGGCCTGGGCTTGGACGAGCCGCTTCCCGATCGAGACGTCATTGAAGAGTTGTTGGTCTCCTGCGTCTGCCGCCTTCCTGGGCGAGAGCTGACCGTTACTCGACAGGACCCGTGTATATTTTGAAAAGGTTCATCCATTCATTCCTATGATCCACCGCCCGCGCTTCATGGCAGCACTACACTTGGCTCCACACATGCGCCCTCCCATATGTCTCAGATACATCATGTGGTGCCTCGCAGCTTCTCTCACAGACAAATACGAGGAACTCCAGGATCATTTCTACCGCCGAGCGAGGAAATATGTTCAAATAGACGAGATGAAGGGGCATGGCGAGGCTATCACTACCCTTGCCCATTGTCAAACGTGGGTGCTCATAACTTGCTACGAGTTCAAGTGCATGTTCTTTCCAAGAGCGTGGTTGAGCACCGGAAGAGCCGTGCGGCTGGGTCAGATGGGGAATCTCCACAAGCTTGACGGCGCTGGACTCGATGTCAAACAAGTACTCCTACCACCCAAGGATTGGACTGAAAGAGAAGAGCGAAGGCGGACGTTTTGGATGTGCTACAATATCGATCGTTACGCCAGCATCGGCACGGGCTGGCCCATGACGATAGACGAGAGAGACGTTAGTCGCTGCATATATTTTGTTGGGTTCGCGCTGACCATCGCTAGATAACGACAAACCTCCCGGCCAGCGAGGAGGCCTTTGAGAAGAGCAAACCCATGGCTACCCCGTCCTTGGACCAAGCTCTGGAGCCGATGGGTTCTTCGGCCCTGTCGCCCACCGCTGGTGTGTGTGTGATGGCGTACATGTTCGGTCGCAACTTGACTCATCTTCACCGCCCTACTTCTGATGAGCGAGAGGACGACCTCAATGGAAATTTCTGGAAACGTCATAGGGAGATGGATGACGCTTTGTTAAACATCGCTCTTGGTCTGCCAGACGGCCTCAGACTGCCCGCCGGAATTTCAGACCCTAATGCTGTGTTCATGAACATGAACATTCATACTTCTACAATTTGCCTTCATCAGGCGGCTATATATAAGGCGGAGAAGAGAAGGATGCCTCCGCATGTCTCAAACGAAAGCAAGCTCAGATGCGCCACCGCTGCCGCTGAGATAGCGGGCATCATGCGGCTCGTGAGCCACATGGATATGGCTGCGGTACGTGCCTCGCTGCGCGCCCATGGTGGAAGTACTAACGGTCGTGGCACTAGATGAACCCTTTCCTGTCCTTCTGCATCTACGTCGCTGCGCGCGTCTTTGTGCAATACTTGAAAACCCGTCCGGACGATCAGCAAATGCAAAGCCACCTGCGATTTCTCCTTCAGGCGATGCGTGCCCTCAAACGCAGAACACCTTTGTCAGGATCCTTTTTGGTACAGCTCGATTTGGAATTGGAAGGCGCGGGGGTTCTGGCGAGCTTTGGAGGCAACAAGCCGAGCGGCCCAACCTCCATCCCAGCCAACACTGACGCCGTCAACTGTAGCCCCATATTCGAGATCCGCGAGTCACAGTCTGCAACTGCGCAAATGAACACGTACGGCAACAGTGGTTTCTCATCCAATACGGCACCAATGCCACCTGGACAGAAGCCTTTTAGCTTTCCGGCTAACATGGATGTGGAGACATCGCCGTATGGCTTCACACCTGGTTCAGGTTCAGGTTCAAGTGCTGCGATGCAGCTTCCAAGCCGACAGAAAACTCCAAACACGAGCAGCTCAAGCCAGTTACACCCCGAGCAGGCGCACTTCCTCCCAAGGTCCATGAGAGCAGAGAATGACCAATCGGACATGGACGTTACTCCCGAAGGCAGCGGCGAGCATGATTCTTTGTCGTCTGGCACCTCGCAACGAGACACGTCGCGGCATTCGTCATACACGGTGCCGTCGGAGGGCATGCCGACCGAGTCGTCGCAGCAACGAAGCTACTCGATGAACCCCACGGGTCTGACACCGTCGGCCATGTTCTCGTCGATGGGCACGAGCACTGGCGACGAGTTTGGAGACATGGCGGCGCAGTTCTACAACTCGGCTTCGGCGGTGCCCGGGTGGGACGTGAGCGGCGCGGGGATGACGGGCTTGACGCCGCTCCCCGACAATGGGTGGATGCTGGAGGAGGGAGGGTGGGAAGGGTATGTGTTTAGCAAGCAGAACGGGTGAAAGGGATGGAGGCTGCCAGGTGGCCACAAAGGAGGGCGTTGGTTGAAGCGGCGCCACGGCGAGCAGGCAGCAGTAATGTAGCCATTGCGATCTTCGGGATTGGCTGTACGATAGGCATCTTCTGGTAGCGATTCCATCGGCATAGGCCGCGTGTGCCGTATCCAGTATCCTGTAATTTGGCGGCGCAAGCGATGGCGGATCCTGATGGGCGTTGCCCTGGTTGGCGCGTCAGCGCATCCAAGGCCGTCTGGCCCAGACACGCGCCTTTCCTAATCGAGATGGAGCGGGCAATCTTGCTCCCGGCGGCCCCCCAGCGCGCCAGGTGTCGCTTTTCCAACAACGTCTATCACTGCGATACGCTCCTACATAACAATCCACTCTCCGCACTCCAGCGCTCGTAGCCTCCCGTTGCACTCGGTAAGTCCATCGCCCCCCCTCGCCGCCGAGCCTGCCCTCGCACTCGTCATTTCCACTCCCTGCGACCACACTGCCCGCTCCCCGATCCGCGGCCAGCCTCCACATCAGCTGCCTCGACGCTGCCGTCGCTACACCATCCCACGCGACCCTCGCATCAAAGCAGCGTCGCCCTCGGCTCTCCCGCGCACACCTCTATTGACACGAGCCGTCTCCGCAGGTTTAGGCTTCTTCACACCGCTTCTTCACCCAACACCCCCCTTATACCCGCATCACAACCAACCAGCCGCAGCAGCCATGGGTCTCACATTCTCGAAGCTGTTTGACAAGCTATGGGGCAAGAAGGAGATGAGAATCCTGATGGTCGGTTTGGACGCTGCAGGAAAGACCACGATTCTGTACAAGCTCAAGCTCGGTGAAATCGTCACTACCATCCCCACCATTGGTGAGTTTGCCCGCCCCGCACCGTCGCTAGCATCGCGAGACTGAGACGCGTCATCACCCAGGCTTCAACGTCGAGACGGTCGAGTACAAGAACATCCAATTCACTGTGTGGGATGTCGGTGGACAGGACAAGATCCGTCCTCTGTGGAGGCATTACTTCCAGAACACCCAGGGTATCATCTTCGTCGTCGACTCCAACGATCGCGACCGTGTCGTTGAGGCCCGCGAGGAGCTTCAGAGGATGCTGAACGAGGACGAGCTGAGGGATGCTCTCCTCTTGGTCTTCGCCAACAAGCAGGATCTGCCGGTTTGTTCCCTTGCCCAAAACAGCTTCGCAGACAAAGACCACTGACGCGCCCGCAGAACGCCATGAACGCCGCCGAGATCACCGACAAGCTCGGCCTCCACAGCCTTAGGCAGCGCGCCTGGGTAAGTTCCGCCGCATCCCGATGAAAAAAATAAAAAAATAAAAATAAAAATAAAAAAGCAAAAAAGCGCCACAAGCTAACAGCCGCAGTACATCCAATCCACTTGCGCTACCTCCGGTGACGGTCTCTACGAGGGTCTCGAGTGGCTGAGCAACTCGCTCCGCAAGGCTGGCCACAACTAGAGGACGAATCCCGTATGACCCCCGATTCCCAACGATTCCCCTCATCCCCCGGTCAGTCGTCGAGCTGCTTGTCACGCGGTGGAGCAAATGTCTTGGAGTTGTCTAGCAGGTTAACATGGTTGGAGTGGCAAACGGGTCTGGCTTCTTTCTCTTTTTGATTCACGAAGAAAGGAAAACACGATCAGAACGGTCTAACTCTTGCCAAACGAAAACCTGCTACTTTATTTATTTGCATAACACACTACCTTAGCTTCTTTTCCCGAGGCATCCCTCTTTTTCTCTCTCTCTCAGTTGCTCTTGCGCGTATATTCTCGAGGGAAAACGGAAGGTTGACAGACAGGGATAGCGCGCGCGCGCGTGCGCGTGCCGGAGCTGGTGCAGGTGCTAGTGCGGTGCAGGTGCAGGTGCTGCTAAACTCTCTCTTACTCTTACTCTCGGACGGACACATACGCACATCACACGCGCACACACACTTTTTAAACCCGGAAACTTCTTTAGTCAATTGTCGTTTTCTTCTCGCTTTCTGTCATGCCCCCCCTTGTTTTATTTTCATGTCCTTCATCATGGTTCTTTTTTTCAGTTTTCAGTTTTTCAGTTTTTCAGTTTTCTGGTTCCTCGCGGCAAGAAAATTATACTACTACTTTTTACTACTACAACTACTACTACGCTACTACTGCAGTACTATTACTACTATTACAATTGCTGAGAGAGGGCGTGTGCGGTGGTGGTGGTGGTGGTGGTTTCTTACGTCGCGCAAGCGGTATGTACTGTGTGCTTGCTTGCTTGCTTGTGTTTTGCTCGGGTTGTGTTTTCTGTGGTTTGTGCTGCTGTTGCTGTGCTGCTGCTGGAGGATGGGGGATGGAGGACTGCATACGCGGGCTGGCTTGCTCACTTACTACTTCCTGCATGCACGTATCAGATGGGTTTCGGAATCAATGGCGCTTGCTTGCTTGCTTGCTTGTGGGTAGGGTGTGAATGAACCAGCAAGCCAGCCAGTCAGCCAGCCATTGACCAATCACTTGCCGCTTATTCGCTCTTTCTTCGTTCGTTCTCTTCAGTCTTGTCTACCTGTCTACCTGCCTGCCTATTTGCCTTGGCTTGTGCTGCCTCTCTCTCTCTCTCCCCTTCTCTCCCCTCATCAACATCCTGCGCTACTCCCTGCCGCTCATTCGTGCTGCCTAACAAGGTCCAAGGTTGTGGCTGTAGCAGCAGGCAGTCCTTCCTAGTACCTACCTACCTACCTATCTATCTATCTGTCCTCTCGGTTTCGTTCCCTGCCCGGATTGTCGCGTCACTGCCTGCGGTGCGTGGGGTATGCTTCCAATGGTCAAGTAAGGTGCGGGCTGTTGCCTGGCCGGCCGGCTGCCTGATCGTTTATCTATGTGGCTGGCTGGCTGGTTGGTTGGTTGGTTATCCTGCCGCCTAACGCACTTGCTTAACGCAAAAACACTGCAATAGAGGACACATGTTGCCACCACTACCACTACTGCCACCGCCACTGCCACTGCCTAACCACACGTCCTCTCCCGTCCCCTCTCCCGTTCTATCCCGTCCTAGGTATCTTATCCCGCCCCTCCATCTCTTCCGCCCCACGCCGCGGGCGGCTCGGCCTTGTTCGCGTTCGCGTCTCATATCTTCTGTTCCTGTTCCGTCCCGTAACGTACAGCACAGTACTGCCATCCTGCTAACCAGCCAGTCTGCCTGCCTGCCTGCTTGGCTGGCTGTCGGTCACGTAGGTAGGTAGGTAGGTAGGTAGGTAGGTAGGTACGTGTGTATGGGGAGGGAGGGCTGTTGCTGTTGTTGTTGCTACCGCTACTGCTACCACCATCACAGCCGCTATCACAGCACAGCACAGCATCCCTCATCTAACCAGACCAGACCAGAGCGCGGAGGCGGAGTATGGGGTGGGCGTGGTTGAGTTTTGCTTGTTCTGCTTCTTCTTCTTCTTCTTCTTCTTCTTCTTCTGCTGCTGCTGCTGCTGCTGCTGCTGCTGCTTCCGTTTAGGTTCCAGGTTCTTGCGTTTCTTAAGCTTCTTGCGTTGCTGCTGCTGTGTGCGCGATGCGTGCATTGCTGGATGGTTGGATAGATAGACGGACGGATAGATGGTTGCTTGGGCACACAAGCCTGCCTAGCGGTATGGTATGGCATGGTATAGTAGCGGTAGCTAGCAGTAGCAGTAGTAGTAGCGGTGGCAGCAGCAGTAGCGGCAGCGTAGCAGCAACAGCAGATATCCTCCAAAGCGCAAGCACCAACACAGCACAGCACAAGCAACAGGGCAAGGTATTGACGGCGCAGCCATATAGGCTTAACCCGTCCCTCCATCTAGTCATCCAGTCAGTCAGCCGTCCTCCCGTTCATTCGTGCCTTCATTCATCCTGTGTTGTCGTAGCGTAGCGTATCATATCGTACACCCCCAACCAGTGGCTGAGGCGCTGAGGTCTTACGTACGTATGTGTGTGTGTGTGTCCCACGTGTGTATGTGTGTACGAGCGGCCGCACAGCACTCCCTCCTCAAGTCATAAGGTAGGTTTTCGTGTTATTTAGGAGTGTTTCTTCTTATTTCTGCCGCGCGATCTTGGGCTTGCGCTTCTTGAAGACGATGGTGCCTGTGCCTGTGCCTGTGCCTGCGCCTTCGGTTGGTGGCGTATTTGTCTCTGCTTCGGTCTTGGGCGCCGTGTCTGCGGCTGCGGGTGCGTCTGTGGAAGGAGGAGGCGGGTGCAGTTTTGCGTTCGTGTCCGCGTCGTCGGGTTCTTCTTTCTTGATGCGCGGTGCCTCCGCCTCCGCATCCGCACCCACACCCGCACCCGCATCCGGGTCCGCCTTCACAGTCTCAGACGCCGCAGCCCCGGCCTCCGTCTTGACCCGGCCCGCACCACCCAACAAAGCCTCGATATCTGCGTCCGCGTCCGCGCCCCCCTTGCTCCCCGGATACGACTTGAACGTGTTTCCCCAGCCGCGCTTGCGGGCCGGGACGTCGCGACCGCCCACGGCGTCGTTCTCCTCGTCCTCGTCGCCCTCTGCTTTGCGCTTGCGCACGCCAATGTTGAGGGGTTTGGCGGCGGTGCCGTCTGCGCCGTCGTTTGCCCCACCATTGCTGCCGCTACCGCCGATGCCGCCGCGTATCGGCTTCACGGCCACCGTCTGCCAGTCCCCTGCCATGGCCATTTCGCTCCTGTACGCGTCGGGCACGGCGACGCCCATTTCGGCGAGCTGCTTGAGCTGGCGCTTGCGGTCCTCGGCGGTGGCTTGGCGGGGCGGGGCCGGGGCGGGAGGTTTGGCGCTGGAAGGCTTGCTACTCGCGGGCGTGGTAGTGGAAGCCGAAGCGGCGCCAGGCACGACGCCGTTTAGACGGGCGACCTCGGCGCGGGCGCGCTCGCGGTCCCGCTCCTCGTACTCTTTCGTCTTGTGTAGGTCGCGCAGCGAGCGCTGGATGTTGTTCTGGTGCTTGGGCGTCGCGTCGTGCTGTTGGCGCTCGAACTTGGTGTCGCGGATGTAGGTTTTGCAGAATTTGCACCAGTACTTGGGCGTGGATTTCCAGTATTCGGCCATGGTGGCAGCGGCGGTAGGTGTGTATGTGGGTGAGTGAGTGGGTGAGAGAGAGCGTGAGAGTGTGAGGGAAGAGGGAAGATTAGAGTTGCGGAGTTTAGAGCACGCAAGGCTGGCATGTGGTCGGCGGCAAAGTCCGAGGGCGCGCGTCGGCGATCGACGAATTTTTGGGTGCCGCTGCTGCTGCTCCAAGTCTGCTGCCAAACACACACATCATGGCCGACCCTTCGTCCACCAAAGGCCCCGTGGCCGAAGCTGCCAAGAAGGCTGCCCCGGAGGGCAACCCCGCCCTGCGCATGATGGGTGCGTAGCTAATACTCCACCACCACCACCACAGCTAACGCCTCCTCCCAGGGCTGCCACGGCTGCGCCTCCCCTCGCGCAACTGGCTCATCTTCCTCGGCGTAACGGGCTCCTTCATCGGGGCCGTCTACTACGACCGGCACGAGCAAAAAAAGATGCAGCGCAAATGGTGCGCCAGCGTCGCGCACCTGGCCTCGGAGCCGCTGGCCATAAACCAGATGCCGCGGCGCGTGACGGTGTACGTGGCCGCGCCGCCGGCCGACAGCGCCATGGCCGCGCGCGAGCACTTCGTCGAGCACGTCAAGCCGATCCTGGTGGCCGCGGGCCTGGACTGGGACGCCGTCGAGGGGCGGGTCGAGGGCGACGTGCGCGCGCAGCTGGCCGAGCGCATCCGTACGCTAAGGAAACAGCACGGCGAGAGCTGCAGTGAGCCTGTGCCGGAGGAGGATAGGGCCGAGCTTGCCGTCCAGCAGATGCGCGCCAAGGCGGGCATCGTGGAGTGGCCTGGCGTCCAGGGCGATATTGTTATTGGCAGGAACACGTGGAAGGAGTATGTGCGCGGCTTGCACGAGGGCTGGCTGGGGCCGTTGGACGCGCCGCCGCCGCCACCACCGCAGCCTGAGCCTGAGCTTGCGCCTGAACCGGCCTCTCCCACTCCTACGCCCGAAGCCAGCACTCCCGCAGCAGCAGCAGCAGACGCGGACGACGCCTCCCCCACCGCCACGGACAAAGGCCCCACCACCCCAGACGCAGACGCCGAGTCCCAACCCGCCGACACGAAACCCGCCAAGCGCAAGCAGCCCGCGCCGTACATCTCGCCCGCGGACTACAGCACCGCGCCGCTGTCGCCCAACTGTCCGCCCCAGCTCCCCCCGAGCACAGCCATCCCCTTCCCGCACATCCTCGGCTTCCTCAACACCCCCGTCCGCATGTACCGCTTCGTGACGCGGCGACACCTGTCGGACGCGATTGGCGCGCAGGTGGCCGCCGCCGTGCTGGCTGCGCATCGGCCGTTTGCTAGCGCGGGGGGGTCTGACGTTCCTGTAGCTGGAGGCGTGGCCGTAGACGCAGGAAGCGCAGCCAGTGAAGAAGAAGCAGCGGCAGCCGACGCATGGGAGCAGCAGCGCCTGCTCCGCTCCGAAGAAAGCGAATGGCACAAGAGCGTGCGCGCGCAGGCCGAGAAACGACACGACGCGGGCGAGGAGAGCCTCTGGGTTGATGGCATGGTGCTCGACGCGCGCATTGCGGGCCGCATGCGCCGGTTTGTGCTGAGTGAGGAGGAAAGAGCGAGGGTGGAGCGCGTGGGGCGGGGTGAGGAGGCGTAGGTGCTGTGAGAGAGGGGAGGGAAGGGAGCGGTATAGTCATCTGGTAAAGATGGAAGTGCGCGATGAAGATATAAAGACAAAGCGACGGGACTCTCCAATCTTTGGAAAATGGGAAATGGCACTCTGCCTTTTTGTATATGTATTTGTATACGTACGTAACACGGCTCCTACATACCACACCCACGATGCTAAAACATGCGCGACGTTGCATAGCCTGCTTGCCTACCCACCCATCCATCCATTCATCTACAGCTACATTCGTACATGCTCACTAGCGCTTATACAACCCACGCCCCACACGCACTCACTTCTCCCATCACCACCCTAAACAACCAAGCACCCACGCACCCAAGCAAGAACGAAAGCAACAAAGCAGGCAACCAAGCAGCCATCACGCAGCAAGAAGCAGCACGCTGCGCCGCCCCCGTCTACTTGCTTACCTACATACACACCACACCACACCACAGCCTCAACTCCAACACTCCAATACATCATCAACACCAAGTCAAGTCAAGTCAAGTCGATTCACAAGCCAACGGCAACCGCGACGATGGGCGTTTGTATCGCAGTATCCCACTAAATGTCTCCTTCGTGGCTGGCTTCTCTAGTTTGCGTTAGTGACTGCACTAGGTACCTACACTTACTTACTTACTTTTGGCAATGTTGAGGAGAGGAATGGGAAGGGATGGGAAGGCAAGGGAAACAGACCCATGAACACAAGACCAAGACCAAGATCAAGCTCAACAACTCGCACTCACAGCTTCACAGCACCACGAACACAACACAACACAACACAAACCATAAATCTTGATCTCGTTTCATTTGTGTTCATTTTCATTTTCATGCTCTATAGATGGGGCACCGGCGAGTGACGCCTTTTTCGCATCAGAAGTTGGCTGGCAGTTGAGCCGTCCCAGGGTATAGGCAGCAACTGACCCGACTCCCCCAACTCCGGTCAACAACCCAAGCAAATTTCGCAAGACTATATAGGTAGGTATGGGCTGCAATAGACCCCTTTCTTAAATAACTTAGGCCTTGGCCGCACCCGCCTTGATGAGCAGGATATCGCCGTCCTCGACGACGTAGTCCTTGCCCTTGGTCATAATCTTACCCTGGGACTTGAGGGACGCTTCGTCACCAATCTCCTTCAGGGCGTTAAAGTTGTAAACAATTGCCTGAATGAACGTCTTCTCAAAGTCTGGGAACACTGCGTTAGCATCATGGTCGACACGATAAGGTGGGTCCACCTTATAGCTTACCTCCGTGAATGACACCAGCGGCCTGCGGCGCCTTGGTGTTGACGCGAATGGTCCATTGGCGGACTTCATCAGTACCAGTGGTGAAGAAGCTGTTCAGGCCGAGCGCCTTGCGCATCGTGGTGATGGACTTGGGCAGCGCAGAAGTGACACCGAGGTTCTTCAGCTCCTCGGCGGCAGCCTCCTCGGTCTCAAACTGGGTGAGACGCTCCTCCAGGCAGATGGAGATGGGGATGATCGGGTCACCGGGAGCGTGCTCCTTGACCCACTCAGCGATCTTGGGAAGGTGCTTGTTCTTCTTGCGAATGTAGTCCTTCTCGCTGAGGTTGACCAGGTAGACAACCGGCTTGGCCGTCAGGAGGAATAGAGTGTTGATCAACTCAACCTAGAGCGGAGTTAGCCTCTGCCGAGACAAATCTGCCATGAAATGCGTGTGCGAATGTGCAAAATCAGACGGGACGTCTTCTCATAGGATCCTCTAAGCGTTGTAATTGGTGAGGTCCTCGAAGAGCTGGGATTATATCGGGACTAAGCCCTTTGTCATCACGAAAAGCACGGGGGTTCGACCGCAGTCGACGATAATATAAGGAAAAAAAAGGCAGCTTACCTCCTTGGGGTTCCAGTCGGCCTTCCGGACGTCCCTGCCGGCCTTCAGGTGCTCGAGGATCTTCTCAACCGTAGCCTGCTCCTCCTTGAGCTTCTTCATCTCCAGAGACTGACCACCCCTCCTGGTCTGCTTAACCAAGGCCTCATGCGCCTTCTCGGCGAACTCGATATCCTTGATGCGGAGCTCCTCGCTGATGATGTCGAGGTCACGGACGGGGTCGACGTCACCCTCGACGTGGATAATCTCCGCATCATCGAAGCACCTGACAACCTGGAAGATGGCATCGACAGCACGGATGTGCGACAAGAAGGCGTTACCCAGACCAGCACCGGTCGACGCACCACGCGTCAGACCAGCGATATCGTAGATGGTCAGGTGGGCGGGGACCTCCGACTTGGGCTTGTAGTGCTGGCATAGCCAGTCAAAGCGCTCGTCGGGCACAATAACGCGCGACTCTTCCGGCTCAATGGTGGCATAAGGGAAGTTGGCAGGGTTACCAAGGTGGCACTTAGTGATGGCTTGGAACAGCGTGGACTTGCCGACGTTGGCTAAACCGACCTAGGAGACTGTCAGGGTAAGAACTTTGAACACACACGGGGCAGTAGGCTGCCTACATACGATGCCACTCTTGAGGTTGTTTCCGGGCCTGCCCAAAAGGACCTTCTCCTGCTGGACTTGCTTCTTAGGCGGCATTTTCTTCTTCTTGCTACTAGCGTAGCCGCGGACAAAAGTGATGCAGAGGGGTGCGCGGGGCTTGGGCGCGATAGCAGCTAGCCGCGAGAGCGTGGGTATCAAAGAAGGAAAAGCGTAAAGGGTGAAAGAGCTGGAGGGGGGAATGGTGAATGTGAGAGGAGGAGACTACTAAAAGCCTTCACTCCCAGGAATGGCAGGCGGATGTTGATGAGGGAGGGGTGGTGATGATGAGGTGGGATGTGGTTGCCGAAGAAATTTCCAGGTGGTACACCGTTGTCGGCTACATCATTCATCCGCCTCCGGCGCGGGCTTGGCTCATCACGTGCTGTACCCCAGATCCCACCCGGTCAGCCGCAGGCTGGTCTTTGTGAGCTCTACACTTCTCCGCTTCACCTGTTCTCCTGTTCATACGTTCCTTCCTCTCGTGCTTATACCCAAGGGTCTCTACCCGTCAGTCTTGGCTGCGCTTCAATCTCTGCTTCACCGCTCCACCGCCGAAATGGCTTCGTCCCACTCGAGCAGACCCAAATCCGGCCACGGGAACCCGCGCAAATCCAACCACCGCTCCACCTTGTCTCTCCAGAAAAAAGAAATCAAAATCCACGTCTATGATTTGCTTCCGGTAAGCTACAGCTACATTCCATCTCGAAACACATTTGCGCCCAAGCTCCGCAGATCATTTCCAGGATGGGTCTGACATCTCCGCAGCCTGGCAAGGTCTCTTCCTTCCTGTGGGCTGTAGGAGGCTCGCTGCTTCATTCGGGGGTTGTCATCAAGGACAAAGAGTACGCGTATGGCGGTCATGATCACCGCGGCGTCACCGGCGTGTACTGGACTAGGTTCGTACGTTCTAATTTACTGCAAAGCTCAATGGCTCATGGTTATCAGGCCGGGCTTAGAGCCGCCGGGAGGGACCTTCAGGACGGAAGTGTTGCAAGGCTTCTGTTTCGCCACGGATGAAGAGCTCGACGCAATCATCAGAGAGGTAACTGTCGCGTTTGCCAGGAGGAGACGCAAGCTAATACATAATCCAGGCATCCCACAAGTTCCAGGGCATGTCCTACAATCTTTTAACTTTCAACTGCAACCACTTCACCTCGTACCTCTGCGAGAAGCTGACGGGTAAGCCGGCGCCTGGATGGCTGAATCGTGCAGCGAGTATCGGCGTCGCGCTACCATGCGTCGTGCCGCGGGAATGGATTGCTCCTCCCGACCACGATACAGCAGATGGTGAGCTCTTGGACGATGATGAAGACGACGAGCGAGCAGCCATGCTACATGGCGAGCGTCGAAAACTCCCCCCGTTAGAAGAACATGATGACGGCCTGGACAGGACCCCCAGTCGAAGCACCCCAAGACCCGGCAGCCGGAAAGGAAAGGTTCCTCTGGCACGCAACTCGGACTCGCGCCTGTCCGGAGAGAGAGACACCAGCGGGAGAAAGATCCCTCCAGCCGAACGAGCACCCGTCTCGTGAGGCACGCAATCTTGACGATTCTGAGGATGACTGTTCTGCTTGATGAGTATGCGATTATGGGCGATGGGTTTGAAGAGTGGCATCGTACTTGTGATTTCACAGCGGATATCAAACATGTTTTCTTTTTATAAGGTTAAGCACCACGTCCGCCAAGCCTTTGCAACGCCGTGCTGCCGCATATATCATACAACCAGCGACAAATGGCATTGTACATGCAACCATAATGTCGATGGCGAGCCAACCATGATCCATGACCTTGATTCCAACAATCCCTCTCTTAACCCAGTCTCCTCGGCTTCTTGGCTCTTGCACCGCCAAACTTCAGCTTGGTGTCATCCGTTACCCGTATGATCCTGTTCCGAATGTTGTAACCCTCAATTCCCAAGATGACCTTCCTGACAGCCTCGCGCCCTTCGCCAAAGCCCTTGAAGATGAGCTCCACTTGCTTGATGTCCATCAACCAGCCCCTCTCTTGGATGGTGCTCATGACGAATGCGCCGAGCTGGTAGGCGGCATCGTAGGTGCCACGGTGTTGCTTGCGGAAGCCGATGTTTCCGGTAGAGACAGAGAGCATGGGGTCTTTGTTCGGCTTGGTCAGAGTGATGTGCGTGTTGTGCCTATGGGTAACGATGTTCAAGTGGTGCGGCTCCGGGTCGCGCAGCAAGCTTGCCGCTTCTTCAGGGTTTGCGCCTTTCGAATTCTTGAGGTATTCCGAGGCGCTGAAACCGGTTTGAGGCCTGGATGCCGCGTTCGCAGGCATGAGAGAGTCTAGGATATCGCGCCGGCATGCACTGGTGGAAAAGTTGGCCCGCGAGGCAAGGAATCCGGCGCGCGGAAGGGCCTGTTGCGCAACGTGGCGGGAGAGGAGCATGGTGGCAGGGAGGGCAGAGAGAGCCCGCTGGGCATGGCCTTCGAGCATGGCGGAGTGGTTGCTGGAGACGATGATTGTCGGCGTCTGATTGAGAATCTGGAGCGCCGGAGGAACATCGGAAAAGGTCGGAGCTCAAAACTTCGAGAGGCGTCTCTCTGCCCGCCGCATCGGTCTGCGGCCAGTCAATATCTTTCCCGCCGCCCGCCCCAGCTCTCTCCACCTTTTTTCATCTCCGCAAGTCAATTCCCGGCTCTGCATCCTTTTAATTCAGTGCGCCTAGCATGAAGGCCTTCACCAACAGCTCTCTTGGAGCGCGCGCCGGAGCCGCCGCCAGATCTTCTCTGGCATCCCAATCATACGGCCGCTCAGTGGCTTATAGGCGGTTATCCACCGCCCTGCTTCAGTCGCAGCGCTCTGCATCGTCTCCTGTCGCCTCTTCGCAGCTTTCTCTTCCTTATCTCCAGACCCAGCTCCAGCCTCAAGACATCCTTCTCCGGTCATCCGCCGCCTACGTCAGGCATTTTTCCTCCCAATCAAGATTGAACGCCGACACCAAGAGGCCCCAGCCCGCCGAGCCCCAGGCCAAGGCTCCGAAGGACAGCGCAAAGAAGGAGAGCAAGAAGACCTCCGAGACCGGCGAGCAGAAGGAAGAAGGCGAGCCGAAAGCGGAAGGTGAGCAAAAGGCGGAAGGTGAGCAAAAAGCGGAAGGTGAGCAGAATGCGGAAGGCGAGCAGAAGGAAGGTGGAAAGAAGGAGGCTCCTCCTCCTCCGCCGCCGCATGGAGACAAGACCCCTTGGCAGGTCTTCACCGAGACGCTGCAGTCCGAGTTCAAGGCGTCGAAGGAATGGAACGAAAGCACCAAGGCTCTCGCCTCGGGCTACAACGACTTCACGCAGAACGAGAACGTGAGGCGCGCGCGTGGCGCGTACAGCAAGGCGACTGAGGCTGCGTCATCTACAACTGGCGCGGCATTGAAGACCACCGCCACCGCTGTCGGTAAGGGTGCTGCTTGGACTTGGGACACCACTGTGGTGAAGGGCATTAGGAAGGGCGCGAATGCGACGGGCCGTGGTCTGGAGAAGGTAACGAGGCCTGTGCGCGAAACCGAGGCGTACAAGAACGTGAAGGAGGTCATTGATGATGGCAGCTCGTCCCGGTACGGTGGTTGGGTCGAGAAGGAGGAGCGGAGGAAGAAGCGTGAAGAACGCGACATCAAGATGGGCAGACCTAAGACGGTCGAAAACATGGAGGAGGACCCAGAGTGAGCACCATCCACTGAACGACATGAGGAAGGTATGACTGACATTAGTGATAGCGCCGGCACCAACGTCACCCTGCACAAGGACGCTGCATGGAAGGAGTCCTGGCGCGACTTCCGCGACTCTTCTCGCCTGATGCAGTCTCTCTTCACCATGAAGGAGCAGTACCGCGAGTCCGAGAACCCGCTAATCAGCACGGCACGTAGCATCTCCGACCGTGTCGCTGGCTTCTTCGCCGAGAACGAGACGGCCATGGTCATTAAGAAGTTCAAGGAGATGGACCCCACCTTCCAGCTCGAGCCCTTCCTGACCGAGATGCGCGAGTACATCCTCCCCGAGGTCTTGGACGCATACGTCAAGGGCGACGTCGAGGTGCTCAAGCTTTGGCTGTCTGCGGCGCAATACCAAGTCTATGCTGCGCTGATGCAGCAATACACCACCGCGGGCCTCAAGTCGGACGGCAGGATCCTGGACATCAGGAACGTTGAGATCCTCAACGCCAGACTGCTGGACCCTGGTGAGATTCCCGTTTTCATCGTCACCTGCCGCACGCAGGAGGTGCACGTGTACAAGAACGCGAAGAGCGGCGAGCTCGCTGCCGGCATGGAGGACAAGGTGCAGCAGGTAACGTACGCCATCGGCGTCACCAGGATCCCCGAGGACGTGAACAACCCCGAGACTCGCGGCTGGCGCTTGATTGAGCTGCAGAAGAGCGGCAGGGATTACATCTAGATGCGCTCCATCTAGCTATGTAAATCTTTCCCCCTTCAAAAATCACCCACAGTCCTCCTTTTCCGCGTAAAAATAAATACCTCACACCCATGTCGGCCATTCTTGTTCCCAAGCATTATTCGGCAACCACTCTTTGCGTTTAATGCGGTATCGGCGGGCATTTCACGGCGTATGATCCACGAAGAAAAAAGTGCCTTTTTGAGCAGAGCAAGGAGGCGGTGGCCATGTTGTTGATTCCCCACTACGTGTACTATTATATCGCCCCGGCATCCTTGGTGGGAGGAGTTGTGGTGCACAGGCGGGCGACGGGCCGCCAAGTGCGATTTCCTACTTACTACTACTAACTTCCCCCCTCATGTACATTATGTGCTTTGTTCGCTGTTGTTGTTATACCTCTATGGAGATGCGGTGGGCTTTGGATTCGGGGTGTGGGATGCTGAGGAAGAGACGGGCGAAAGAGTGGCGGCCTGAATTCGAGACGACTTTCTCCTGTGCTTATGTGCTGCTGCGTGTGTGCGTGTCTGGGTGCAGTCAAAACTGGTGATAACTTTGAGTTAGCGGTATCTAACCGTTAGTGAGATGTTCATTGGTATATCTGGCTGGGTTTTGCGCAGCTGTTTGAACGCCTTTGCCGCTAGGAGAGGAATATTATGAACAATCAACGCTGAAAAGGAATTGGACTAAGAAGGACCTGCAGTAATAGTAGTGGTGCTTTGCAGTCAAGCAATCACTCCTATAATATAGGTGCTCTGTCTCTGTCATCCTATATGCGTTTGAATAAAACACTGGCAGCAGAAATAAACAGCTCAACGCTTTTCGTCTACGAACGTCTTTTAAAAGGAGTCGCCGCTAGTCCACTACTGTGTTTCTTGCTCACGACGAAAATGGCAACAACGGAAAAACAATACCTATCAACGAAGCCTGGGAGCATAAGCTAGGGGGAACTGACAAATTCCAGCAGACTTCTAAAACTGATTCATTGACTACCTGGGATTGCTCACTTAATGATAATGGCGACGAAAGGAGATGATGATGATTGATTTGATTCGATTGTACTGACGATCAGCGGCAAGGTGTAATGGTGTTTGTTTGCCCCATCGAACATGTTTATTGGAACCTTCGCCACCGATTCGCGAGCATGGGAAGACTGGTGTGTTCGACGGGGTGTGGAAGACAGACCGCTTCGTGTATTCCATCAACCCTGCACATTGCGTACGTGGCCCATTTTGTTGGGCTGCTGAAGAAGTCGATCTCAGTGAGTAATAGTATACGACCCTTGTATGTCGTTCTTTCCCATCTATAATCAGAGCGCGGAACGAACTGGTCGAAATAACGGCTGTCTAGATGTGATCACCAAGACGTTGAGTAGGAATTTGTCAGTCATGGACTTAGGTACGTCCCTTGACTGAGTTCGTGATGATCGACGTCCAACTTACAAGTAGATACAGGTTGTAAATTGAAAGCATTGGTGCCATTTCGTTTCACGACACCATTCAATTTGAATCAGAAGAACAGAAAGTTTTCATTCTCTTCTGGTAAAGAAACCCGACGTCTAATAAACCCCGTCATGTCCCGCATTCGTCTTCACGTATCTGCGTATTGTGCAAATTCTGTAGGGGTGAGCGGTGTCAGACACGATAGAGAAAGCTGATAGGGATGTTCTCGATTGATAAAATAAGTGTAAAGTAAAACCACCTTGTTGGGATTGTGAGTTTAGTCTAATTTGTGAATGAATGGCTATTCGCTGGTCTATAAGGGGATACCTTGTTAGGTATGTGAAATCTGCTAGAATAAGGTATTGAGGTGTCTATAATGCTCACTCAACACCTGTGGTCGCATACAGATGAAAGCTCATGTGAAGCAACTTCACCTAATATATATTTCCAAATTTTATACGTTTTAAATGCCTTGTGCACTTATATTCTTTTGTCTTCAGGCTATTACATGGTACCCTGACATCCTTTATCTTTGTAGCTGTCAAGTGATCGCTAAGAATGGCACTGAAGTTATTTATAACTACTAAGAACACTTCCTAGGTATATTTAAAGTAGGTAGACAGAGACTATCCGGCACCTTTTTACTCCTTAACCCCTATTTATCGCTAATATGATCAGGCATCTCTTAAACATCGTAAAATGTCATCTACAAGACATCTGCTCTTTAAATAGCGCGTTTTCGATGTTTCTTTTTACTGAGAATATCTATAATGTGGCATGGCAAATACTCTACATAGGTGTTGGTGATGTAGGAAATTAGTCACTGTTAATATTACTCCAACCCATCTGGCCGACTATTAATGTATATAAAGAAAATACATCACTATTTCATCAATCTCATTCACCAGTCATAACCAAATGAAGTTAAATGCTAATCATATTTCGGCGACTGAAGCATACAATGGCTATCTAGAGTAACTTAAGCTTTCGAGGCAGCCCTGGAGTGTTGCATAGATGGACTTGACGATCTAGCTTCACAAACAACATTACTGCCAATTCCGGTGTACGGCTTACGCGCTTGCTCCGGGAACTACACACGCTTATGGTTGTCGGAATGCCCAACCTAGACTTGGCTAGCCAAGGTCAAGACCAGGTGGGAGGATCGCCTTGGTTCCCCCCGAAAATTCACCACAAAGCTCTGGCAAGAGCCATCTTAAACTGTATGTAGGGGGTAATGATGATGACTAGCATAATTTGGTTATGCTGACCTTAAGCAGCGAGGCATATCGGCGTTGTTCGTCAAGTGCAGTCTATGATGCTGAGCTATATATTATTTGGAGTAGGCGCCTATAACTTTCAGTGACAGAGGGGAACAACAAGAAGATGCGTAGAGCTTCCTTTTCCCTTTGACTAAACCTTTGACCAAACCCTTGTCATACCAAAAACATGGTTTTTGGCTGTATTGTCTGTTCGAAAGATTATAGCTTCTCGAACAGCATGCCAACTAAATACTCACTTACCTACAGCCTTACGGCTAAACCACCTCACTAGCACCAACACCAGTACCAACACTAGCACCAAACAAGCCCTGCGCAGCTTTACCCGCCCTCGCCCCCAACCTCAACTCCAACCCCCGCATCCTTCCAACACCCCGCCAACTGCATCCCTAAACCCCAGCTGTGCCACCCCCGCACGCACGCAGCGTACCGCATCCACCCCACCCCAACCCGCGCCGCGCACGAAGCGCGCTCCCAGCTGCTACGCCGCAGCCGCAATGCAGCCGCACCCGGCGAATCTCACTCCGCCAGACGAGCAGCAGCAGCGACAGGGGCAGAGGCTATCTATCCCTCTGTGCCACACGCCCGCAAGCCCGCCAGCCTTGGTGCGCTGGGGCTTTAGAGGCGAGTTGGTCTTGGGCTTGCTCGCTCGCTGCTACTGCGACACCGAGAATTGCGGTGGTGGCATTTACTGCGGAAGTCACGGGGATGGGTGAGGTTTGGACAGACGTGGTGGTGATGAGCACAGTTGCGGTTGTGAGGGTATGAGAGCGTCGGCTGGGTGGGTGTGCGCGGTATACTTCGAGCGCGGAGGTGTGCGGGCTACTACATCTCTACGCAGTGGTTATCCAAAGGGCGCGAGTAGGAAGAAGCAAGACACCAAGTCACGGCAAAGGCGTAGAATCAAGAAACCCTAACCCTAAGCACGGTGCGGAAATGGCGCGGAGACGTGTGGTTTGGAGCGTTCGGTAGAGCGTCGCCCGTGCAGCGGCCAAACTGCTGCTTTTGCTTGGCTCGCCGTAGCTAGAGCGGTCATGCGGGCGTGCTGAGTTTGCAGTGATGATGAGTCCGTCCGGGACACATCTGGAGTGCTCGATCCGAAGCACCCAACACGCGTTCCGAGCAGCGGTGTCGCGGATGTCCATGAAGCTGGCAGAGCAGAGCATTGGCAAGGAGGTGAAGTCACAAGAACAACAGTCGGAAGACCCTGCCGATGCCCAGCAGCCGACGAAACGAGGCACGGTTCGCGGCAGGGACGGCACTAGCTCGCTGCAATAATAGCCACATGCCGAAGCGTCTAGACAAGACGGGCATCCCCTGTCGCGCTCCCTGGATCGGCGGCGGGAGGGAGCAAGAAGGCTGCTGCAGGGTGGCAGGCAACAGCGACCCTTGAAAACGGGGCACACGCCACCAAAAATCCGCCCGGATATACATAGCCCTTTTGTAAGGCAGAGGACGGAGCCCACTCCGAAAAGGGTCCGCGTGGGGCGGGAGCTCTAGCGCTGCGAAGATCATACCTACATCATAATTCGTCATGCTCCATTGGCGGGGGCACTCCTGGCGCGTCCGGACACGCGAGATTGGAGCTTCAGGGACCATAGCAAGGTCGCAAGGTCGTCGGGACTCGGGCCTGGTGGGCGCTCGGAGAAGCTGACAGAAGCAAAGACTCAAAACACCTCCACCTGGCCCGGTCCCGGTCCTGGTCCTGGTCCTGGTGCCTGCCGCGCGCTCCTGCGACCTGCTCCACCACCACCGACCGCTGTTGCTGATGCATTATCAATTACTGCCGCACCACCGCACGCCGTGCTCGCTTTCTGCTCTGCGCGCTGCGGCTCCACCATCCCCGCCCGCCTTGGGGCCGTTTGTACGGAGACCTAACCACCGTTTTGCCTTGGAAGTTCATGGGCCCGCTGGGCCCTGCCTCGGCATATATCTTGGATGCAGGCGCGTGGGGCCCGGCCCTGCAAAGCTTCCTGGATCGTCAGCTCTGGCCCAGGCCGTGATCATCGTGTATGTGAATTGTGCAGCTTCGGCCGGAATTCGCGACGAGGGCCTGTGCCCCCAAAAGTGAAGCGAGAAGCGAGCGGAAAGCTTGGATATCTCGCCGGTCCTGCTGGTGATAGTCGCCGATTGTTGCTTTTGGGCATGCAGGCACCCACGTCCGACGTCCGTGCCAGGGTGTTGTGCAGCGTATTGTAGTAGGGTGGGATTGGTGGGATGCCGATCTTCTTGTCTGCTACATCTGCTGACGACCGATTTCTGCATACTGGGTCTGGGCCTTTGGATCGAAGGACGCTGCGTGGGCCCCCAGCCCTACCTTATCACGAGAGTTTCGTTCGAGCTGACGCACTCTTCTCGTATCACTGCTGTCTGCTCTTCCGTGAATGTTACAGAATAGTGAATGTACTATATTGAAAACTCACCATGTGAACATAATTACCGATGGATCCTCGTTTTGGTGTTTTATGTAAAAATGATTGGGCATGAACATCATTGTCTTGAGTGATGCGCCCCGGAGTGGTGTGTGGACGTGCGTTGTGTCCATATTGACAGTGAGCCATTGAGGCGTGCCGTAATGAGCCAGATCTCTTGGAATATGAGTGCGGATGGAGAGGGCATGAATTGTATAACATAAGCTCTTCAAGAGCATTGTAGGTGGGCATGTTGACGAATAAGAAAAAGGTATGGAGTGTTTCTGTATGTTTCAGAGTATATATACCTTATCGCGAGTACCGTACTTCGTGATAGAGGTGGCTGGTGGTGGATGTGCTATCCTGAACATGGCTCGCTTGTGAGACCCAGCTGGGATAACCGCAGTAGGCGAGTCGATGAAGACGAAACTTCTGAACTGCACCATGTCAACTCACCGGCTGATAGAAGAACAACTATACCACCAAGTTGAAGCACGGTTTTACGGATGCTTATGTGTGAAAATGAGATCAGACTCAGAAACATCGCTTACCAAAGACCAACGAGCATGCAAGACCTCATTCATAGACAAGCCTCAACATTATCGTAGTGTGATATTCGGCATCTAGTAGTAGGGTGGTGCGACATACTACCATTTGACTGGATCTTCCAATCGGGCAGATGGTGACTTTGAAAAGTTCAAAGTATCTTGTTATTCGCCTGCGCCTGCCTTGAACTCATTCTCAGGTTTATTGATGTTCGGACCATATGTCTACGGGCTCAATATCCCGAAGACAAGAGAGTGATGTAGGTAACGAATCTGCCTTTATACCGAGATGGTTAGCTGAAGATAAGCCGCTACGGGTTGTAGGCTGGATAGCTCTGCTAGATCGTCAGAGCTAGAGACATGCTCTCAATGTAGTAAACCATTTACTCAACCATGAATAGGTTTCCATTTCGTCTGAGCCAGAGAGAATCTGCCATGTCGAATGCTGTTGTTGTCACGTTGCGGAGTCACGTTAGGCAGCCGACGATCCACGACGCGGGGCCGCCGATGGCGTCACCAAATGGTGCAACCAACCACAGGCGTTGGAGCATCTCAAACCTCAACAACACAACATCTTCTCATGCTTCTACTCGGCGTCAAGTTTCCGACGAGTCGTCTAATCCAATCCGCGATCCCATCGTATCTTAGCCGCTGTTCTCCATCTGCGCGCCCCCAGCTTCGCCCAACCCATCCTCGCCTGGCACCCGCATACGCGCTCCAGCGTCCAATCTCAACAACAGCGGCCCGATACTCCGACACAATGACCGGCGACAACCAACAGGCAGGCAAGAAGTCGTACCACACGAAAGCGACGGGCAATGCTCTCGAGACAGTGCAGAAACACGCGCAAGAGAATGAGCTGAAGCTCTTCGGGAGCTGCTTCTGCCCCTTCGTGCAGCGCGTGTGGATCTCACTCGAGCACAAGCGCATTCCCTACCAGTACATCGAAGTGGACCCGTACAAGAAGCCCAAGTCACTGCTGGAGGTGAATCCGCGGGGCTTGGTGCCTGCACTACGCCATGGCGACTGGGGCTGCTACGAGAGCACAGTGCTCATGGAATACGTATGCACCCTCGAGGGCGATATTGATCTAGACTTTGCTGACTGACGACCCGCAGCTCGAGGACCTTGATGCCGGAAATGCATTGTTGCCGCCCGATGCAAAGAGCCGCGCGCACAGCAGGCTGTGGAGCGACCATGTGAGTATCCTCGTGCAGTGAGTGAAGTGCAGTGCAGTGCAGTTCAGTGCAGCGTGGTTCAGTGCAGAAAGCAGTGCACCGAGGGGAAGAGAAGAGACGAAGCCATGAAATCTCATAGGAGCAAGAATCGGACGCACACTGACTGCCACACCAGATCAACCGCCACCTGATCCCTGGCTTCTACCGCTTCTTGCAGGAGCAATCTCCCGAGAAGCAGATTTCGTACGCATCGGAGCTCAAGACCGAAATCGGCAAGCTCGTTGACGCAGCCCACGCTGAGGGCCCATTCTTCCTAGGCGCAGACATCTCCTTCGTCGACATCCAAATGGCGCCTTGGGTTATCCGTCTGAACCGCGTGTTGAAGCCATATCGGGGGTGGCCGGAGCCGGAGCCTGGCAGTCGTTGGGCGAAGTGGGTGGAGGCGATTGAGAAGGATGAGAGCGTCCAGGCGACGACGAGCAGCGATGAGCTGTATTTGGATAGCTACGAGAGATATGCTGGTGGGTGTTCCCCTGCCTTAGTACCTACTTACCTACGTTTGGTAAGGTGGCCGTCATATACAGAGTTCTCGACTGATGCACCGACAGAGAACCGCCCAGACACGTCGCAGCTGGCGAAAGCCGTGAATTCGGGACGCGGGCTCCCGTGATTGCGGTTCTTGATACTATAACCGTAAGAAAGAAAGCCTTTTTACTTACCGATAATTTCTCATTTACCTGTTAATCCACCTCTTTCAAGCCGACGGAAGAGCATTGCTCGACGGCAGTAACGGATGTTGCTCGACATAAGCACAAGGATGCCTTCTCCTTTCTTGTTTGAAGCCTCAACAGCAGAAGCAATGGTACGAAGTAGGGTAGTACGTAGGTACATACCTTAATCCGCGAATACCCGTCAGCGAACCAGTCTCTCTCGGGCCAATCACGCACAATTCCGCCCCCCTCACCACGTCCGCCCGCCCACCAGCACCCCGCTCCGATCCGCAGCAGAGCGGGCACGGCGCGCGAATCGGCGGCACGCAGCAACGGCGGCGGAGAGCCGCCCGGGGGCTGGACTGAGTCCTGGGGCCTGGGCGCGCGCAGCGCGCCCCACCCCTCCCCGCAATAAGCTACCTGCTGGCACTTGACGTGGCTTGGCTATGTGCCGAGAAAGCTAGACAACTAGGCACGGAGGAGTGCCGAGGGGCCAATAGTAGTGGTGGTGGAGCGCTGCTGCTGCCGCTTCAAGGCCAGAATGCCAAGATGACGCGGTTTTAACTTCAGAAGGATTAATCGGATCACTGTGCGCCTGCTCGAGCACCAGTCTCCTGAATGAGGATGTTGTGATATACTCGGTTTGGACCGAGGTCCGGCGCCAGTGGTTAGAGTAGGAGGAGTAATACTCTAGAAGGATCATGTATGTTTGCCGGATGAGCTTGGCGGTATGTCCCGTGCTGGGCGAGCTAGGGTAACAACTAGCAGCTGTGCAGATCAAGCCAACGAACACGCAATAATTGTGCGCCGGTAGGTAATGCTCTAGGCGCACAGCTAGCAAATCGTACGAGTACGAGGCAAGCGAGCTCGCGCCCCCAAGCTCTAGATAGGCGGACGCACCTCCGGCGCGCCGCTCTAAGCAGCCTCCTCTACTCTACGACCTACTCTAGGGCAGGGTCGGGGGAGGACGCTAGCTAGCGCTGTACCGGGACGCTCGGCTCTCGGAGTCTAGACTCTAGACGCGGCAGGCGTTCTTACGCACGTAAGCTAGAGTAACTAAGTTGGCGCTACTACTACTACTACTACTACTACTACTACTACTACTACTACTACTACTACTACTACTACTACTACTACTAGTACTAGAGTATTACTCGAACTGCCTACACCACTACCCGTACCTACTACTGTCTCTCGCCTAGAGTACTCCTAGAGGACTACGCACGCGTACTTGCTTCCCCCTAGGAGTATGAGTAATCCGTACCGCGTCCGCAGCCTTGCTTCCCCCTAGGAGTATGAGTAATCCGTACCGCGTCCGCAGCAAACTAAACCAACCAACCTGCACCTGCCTGCCTGTCTACTGCGCGCTTAACCTACGCACGCACACTCTCTCTCCTCTAGGAGTAATCCGTAGAGTAGGTACACGCCGAAGCAACCAAACTAAACCAAGCCAATCCAAGCCAACGCAGACCAAACCAAACCACATTAAACCAACCCGCACACGTCCGCGCCCCGCGCCCGTCCGGCCAGCCGTTCGTCCCACCGAATACTAAACCCTCTCCCTACCTATGCAAAGCATTTGCGCCGCCCCGCAGACCGCAGAGCCAGTCTAGAGTCTAGACGCGGCGCAGACCCTGCGCGCTTGACCCCTGCTGCTGCGCCCCACCTCCACCAGCACCAGCACCACTACCACCACTGCCATCATCAGGCGCAGCGGCGCAGCGGCGCAGCGAACCGTACGGACGTGGTACCGGTGGTGCCTACTCTAGAGCACTCTACTCTAGGTGGATGTGCGTGCGTGCGTGCGTGCGCGGGGCATCGGAGCCGCCCGCCCGCCTGCCTGCCCGCCCACCGGATCTGCGGATCTGCGGCGGAGGCGCGGCTTGTGGGTTGGGGGCTACGGAGCACGGTGGGTGCGGTGCGGTGAGGTGAGTGCGCGGCACAGTCGGTTCAGTCCAGTTCAGTCAGCCAGAGGGTGGGTGGGGTGTTTGCGGAGGTGTTTGTAAAGGTGTGTGTGTGCAGATATCGAGACCAGAAACAGGGACGAGGAATATTTCCGATGCGGCTGGACGCGTCGCGTCGCGTGTCGTGTCGTGTCTCCGAGGGCTGTTCTTCTGCTCGAGATGCACAGGCAGGAAGTCGGCAGAGCGCGGCGCGACATCCCAGCAGACAGACAGACAAACAGCAGACGTGGCGCGGCGCGGGGAGAGGTTGGGGGTCCAAAGGAACGGTGAGCCGAGTCGCCGACGGTTCTGAGATGTGCGTGGTGCGTGTGTGTGTGGGTGGGTATGGTATGACGACGCGTGCGGGCAGCGGCACGGCCTGGCTGGCTGCTGGCTGGCTGTTGGCAGTGTGAGTTTGCGTGTGCCAGACTGCCAGTTGCCAGGGCCCTGGTCCGCTTGCCAGGGTACGCCAGAACCAGAGCCACCTCAGCCAGGGTCCTGCGCGGGGAACGAGAGGCCAGAGTTCCGTAATCCGTAACTACGCGAGGGAAGAACTGCACGCAAACAAGCAAGCAAGCAAGCGGAAAGGCAGGCAGCAAGGAAGGTCCACGCAAGCCTGCCTTGTCCCTCGACGATCCCTCATCATCATCTCAGCGATTCCTTCTCCGCGTCTCCCCATCTATCAATCGGCCCACTAAACGCCTGACATTGCTGCTCAGCATCCTCCTCCACCACCACAGAATCCTTTTCCTCCTTCTCCGAGGGCGAGGGCGGAACGGGACGGAACAGGACAGAACAGGACAGAACAGGCACTCTACCTACTCATACTCTCGCACTCTACCTCCACTCCCAAAGCCGAGCGACCGCAATCGGCAACACCAGACGCCAGCCCCAAAGTCAGCATACGCGTATGTAGATATTTTTTTTCGGGGTCCGGCGGGGTTGGGGGGTGCAGAGTGTGGTACTCTACCCTGTTCGTAGTGGTTGAGCGGTACACTACTCTACACCAGGAGCTCGGCGAGCGAGCGCGGTTCGGGGCTTGGGGCTCCCTCGTCCGGACGTTGTCGTTGCGGCGGGAGTCGGTGGGACAAAGAAGAAGATCGTCGACCCTACTCTACTCTACGTAGTACGGATCTGTGGGGTGGTGGGCTGCAGGGAAAACCCCTAAACCAAAAAGGCTGTTCTGTTGGGTTGGTGGCAGACACCTTAGTAGGATGATGTCGGCGCGCGCTGGTTGGTTGGGCGGAAAAGTCTTCTTGCGCCGCGAGTCGTCGAGTAGAGTAGGTTAGGTTAGGCTACTCTAGAGCAGAGTGCTTACGGCCGAGTACTCGTAGTGGTGGAGGTGGTGATGGTGAGGTGATGATAAGGCATCGTATCATCGGCCGCCGACCCAACGACTCGGCGCCCCGGCCAGCCTGATGAGCCAGCAGCGATCACCACGACCACGGCCGGGGAAAGCTAAAAAAAAAGGCGCGCGAGTCATGCTGCTTCTCCAGACCTCCTCATCAACTAACTGGTCGTAGTTCCCCTCTACTATGCCTACTTTTGCCATATCTCCGCAGCCCGCGTTGCTACTACGAGCACAGCTCGTCCGCCTGCGGCTTGCTGCTTCGCCTTCTCAAACTCCGCTTCCTGCGCGCGCCCATCGCACCATTGTGGCTGGCCTGGCCGGATGAAGCTCCGGCGCACGGTACCGGTACCGCGTATGGGGGAGACCTAGAGTAGGAGGGACGCGACGACACGCGCCTGTGCTGGCGCTGGCTGAGGCTGAATCCGTGCGTGCAGCTCGAGTACTACTCGTACGTAGAGTGCTCGGGCAGAAAAGCTGCTGCCTCCATCGTAGAGTAGAGTAGCTTGTGTCGCCGACAAACGCGACCCTAGAGTACTCGAGTACTCTAGAGTAGGGGACCAGCACCCGCGAGTACTCTAGTGACTCGCTTGCTCGCTTGCTCGCGCCCGGAAGGGGCTTGCGGCATTCAATTGCGGCGGCGCGCGGAGGGCGGAGGGCTTTTCATGCTAGCTAGCTAGCTACTCTAGTTGGCTGGCTGGCGCGCCGCCGCAATCAAAGCATCGATCGCGCCGGGAGGAGACGAGACGAGGAGAGGCGATCAGGGAGGGGATGAGGGTTGCGGGTTGCGGGAATTCAAGGGCGTAGGGTACGAGTAGGGGTCGCGTAGAGTAGTACCGCCGTCGCTGTCGCCGCTGATCGAGAGGTTGTTTGCGGAAGGGTCTCCGCCGTTAATGGTTCGTTGGTCGTTGGCCTCCATGGCACGTCTGGGGCTTCCACGGATGGCGCCGACACATGTACCTGCTCTTTCGGATGCATGCTGCTAGGGGTCTGCTCTACTCTAGTGCCGGAGTACTGAGTATTCGTAGAATAGTGCGCTTTTCTATGCCCGTCTATGCTCGTTTTGGGCGGGTAGGGTAGAGTAGAGTGGATTCTCGTACGAGGATGAGGACGGCTGCTAGAGGACTAGTTTGGTGGTTCTTGGACTTAACCTTACTCGTCCGCGCAAGCATGCCTTGTTGTTGTTGTTATTGTTGTTGCGGTAGTGGTGGTGTTGTCATCTGCTGATGGATGCTGGACCCGCTCGCTGCCGTGCTGGTGGTGCTATGGCGGGATCGGGACAGGTCGATCAGCACGGCTCTACTCTAGAGTAGAACACCTAGCCACCTAGCGAGTGCGACCCCGGATCCCCCCGTGGTGCCGGGGCCGGGTGCGGATCCCGTCAGGCCATGTAGAGTAGATGCAACCTAGGTATCTTCTTCACGCGCACAGGCGGCAGCGTCATCATTATTGAGCGTCGACGACAACAAGCGTATGACCAAGCACGCAAGCAAACACTCACGCAAGGACGACCTCAGGCCTCCATCACCACCCCTTCTGACTGACGATATGGCGCTGTAGAGTACTCTAGGTAGCAGCCATCTAGCGCGCATAAAAACCAAGCGCAACGAATGATGCCTGTACTCCGTACTCGTAGAGTAGCTTGCCATGGCACGCGCTCTGCTCCAGCTCCTGCAGTAGCAACGGCAGCAGCAGCAAGTTCTATGCGCGCGAAAAAGACGGCTCCTTCATCTCAGCATCCGCCCCATCCCAGCCCAGCCAAAGAGCGTGTCTCCCCGCCGGCCAGGTGACGGGACACGCCTACGTACGTGGGCGCGCGTGTGCCGCAAGCCCTGTAGGCGTGCGCTGCGCTGCCCTGCGTGCTTGTGCCTCAGCCGCGCGCGCGCGCGCATGAGTCGTCCGACGCCTGCATAAAGTAGAGTAGACTCGACCTATGCGCTGGCCTTGTCAAATCACCAGGCGCCTGCCTCATCTTCTCGCGACGGCGGCGGCGGCGTCGTCGAAGCGAAAAAAGTTGCTGCGCCTCAAGGAAAGGGAAGGCGAACGAGAACGAGAGAGCCGCAGCGTGATGCCATGTCCGATCCGCGCGCTACTGTACGCGGACGAGCCCTGCCCCACCATCCATCCACCTCCGCTACCCCGTCACCCCGTGTCGAGGGCGAGGGAAAAAAAAGAAAAAAAAAAAAAAAAGAAAAAAAAAAAAAAAAGGTGGCTGAATGCGCTGCCGTCGTCGCTCGTTGTAGCCGGCGGCGGCGCCCTCCGGACGCCCGTGTGTGCGCGAACCTGACTCTCGTGCTTGCGAAAAGGCTAACCACAGCAAAGCGACGACCCCGCAGACCGGCTTCGTATAGGCGAAAGTCTAAACGGTGCGAGCGACGCGTGTACTCTAGGCCCAAAATGTCTTTGATGATCAAGAAGAAGAAGGAGAAGGAGAAGAAGAACAAAAGAAGAGAGGGCGTCGTGGACGGCACGGACTCGTCTTGTTGGGGTTGGGTTGGGTCTAACTAGGGATCCTACGGGCTGGTCGAAAGCGGCAGGACGTGCGCGCGGGACGGGGTGCTGGGAATCTGCACCTCTCCCTGCATATGCTACGACGTACCGCCCCGGGGCGACCAGCCTGTTCCATGGCTCGCTTGTTGCGTTCGGCGCTAGTTCCAAATCCAGGGCGCTGTAGCATTGCCGTTTGCAAGTGCCAGCGCCGACGACTACCTGTAAGGTTGACGTACCAGAGCAATAGTAGAGTAGTATACCGTAGCGTTGGACGGTGAGCCGCGCCCTCTTCTGCAACGCAACCCTCCCCCCACCATGTAGAATACTATGCCTGTGGCTGGGCGGCCTAATTTAGGCCCTTGCCTTGGTTGCGACCGCCGGAGAGCACCCCGCTAGGGCTGGTCGACTACGAGTACCCTTTCTCGTATTTGGACCTCTATGGATATTTTGATCTGCTCAATTTGCAGCAAGGTCCCCTTACCCCACCCCACCTTGGCACTATCGAAGCAAGCGCCTGCACCGATCGGAGCTTGTTCCCTGGGTTCCGTGACCGTCTCACGGCCGCGTGTTGTAGGACAGAGGATTCTTTGGGGGCTTGCATTGGGGACGTCGATCATTGCTGGGCACAGGTGACGGTCAGTTTACCATACGCGGGTGAGATTCGTACGAGTGCGCTAGTCGTGCATGACATGACACGGGAGCGCTGAGACATGGGCTCTGCAGTCTGCGGAGACGGATGGGAGTTTCATCAATTCCCATGTTGCCAGTGTTAGTAAGATCCGCACACGGATTGGATTCCCGTTAACCATATAGCACATTATGACGCCAGGCGCCCCGCACGCCCTGAATAATCCCAAAGAGCCCAACTTCCAAGGGTCCGCGGGTCGCAACGAGTTTATGGCCGGAAAAGCCTCCGAGACGGCCCCTGTCGCAGAAGTATTGCATGGCGGCAAAATGTGCCGAGTCTTCTTTTCTTGGGCCGCGAAAGAAACAAAAAAAAAATAAAATAAAAAACCAACCCCAAAAAAGAAGGGTGCCGGGTCACTCAGTCCCTGCAGCAAAACTTAATTTCAGCAGCGCGGTTTCCGAAGGCGCCCATGGGCCGAAACCGAAATCTCCGTTGATGTGCGGTAGATCCGCCTTTATTCAGACGCCATGGCAGCCGCTGCAAGGCGCGACGGAGCCTCGGTAAATGAGACGGCTGGGCTGCTGGATACCGAGACCGAGATCGCGATCGTGATAGAGCGACGTGGTGTTGAGCAAGGCGAGACCGCGTCCAGACCACATTGAGGCATATTTTATCTGGGGCAAGACGTCATGGTGACTTAGGGAGGGTACGGGGGCATGGCACGTGCGAGCCGTTGGTGCTGTGGCGGTGACCTGAATACAACCCTAGGGGCAGGGCGAGGGGACAGACGGACTAGGGGACCGGCTTGGGCGCGCGCGTTCCTGAGCCAATGGATGATGTACAGATGCACAGGGACCCTGGGGCGGTGCAGATGCAAGACGCAAGACCGGATGCGTCTCCTGCCTGGCCTCGAGCGATCATCGCATCTTGCTCGTTTCAGCCGCCAAAAGGAGGTCTGACGGCGTGAAACCGGGCACAGCGCTTTTTTTCAATCTCCGGGCGACTCGCTCGCTCTCGTCCAAGGCTCAGCAGGAGCGGGGGGTGCGGCGTGCGGCGTCCGGCCGTTGCGCGCAGGGTTGCCTGACAATGCCGCGGCAGGGCCCAGAGAGGCGGCGGGCTTGCTGGCACAGTTGCACAACGCGTGTCCCGGTAAGATTGGTAGAGTTTGCGATCAGCTCGCTTCGAGGGGGTCCAACGCGCATCGTGTCCACGTGCGGAGGGCACAGGGCGGGATCGGCAGAGGGTAAGTATTCTATCGTCAGTAGAGAGAAGCATTCAGATCCAGGAGATTGGCTCACAGGACCCTGACGAGAGGGCCGTCGCGTCACAGGACGATTGACGACGATGGGGCAGATCTCCGATCTGGGATTGCAGGAAGGGAGGGGGGGGAGTCAGGCCGGGAGAGGGAGGAGGGTTTGACTCGATGTTCGGGCGGGATCGAGGATGGGGTGGCAGATCTAGATTTTTGTGGGAGGACGCTTGACGCTACCGGTGAGCTGAGGGCAACGGGCTTGGGGTAGCCGGGCACCCCTGCATATGGCCCTGTGATGTCATCCGGAGCCTGGAAGCTGAGCTGTCAGCGCGAGCCGCACACGCCCAAAGCGGGAGAGCGTTTCGATCGACCGATGCGCCGCAAGCAGCAATGGTGACGGAGGGGACGCGCGATCCACGCGAGCCGTGGCTTATGCCATTCGATGCATCGTCTTTCCTGGAAAGCCCATATGCGACCCTGGACAATCCGCAGATGTGCGCCCTGGATGCTTCCCTGCACACCTCCCATAAGTAGAGTCTGTCCGCCGCCCTCGCCTTATCCATCGAACTCCACCACCAACCACTACCTCCACCACTACTACACCTTCACCACCACCTACTTCTCCATCCCCCCCCCCCCCCCCCCTCTCTCTCTCAAGACCATGGACGGAAAGGATTCAATCGGCCGCCGCATTTCGTTGTTGAACGACGACGTCTCTGCGCCCCCCCACCGCCTGCCCTCGCTAGAGCCCGCCATCCGTTCGCGCACCTCCAGCTACGCCTCGTCGCCCTGCCTCTCGCCCACGCCGCGCACCCCCCAACTCCTCCGCAGCAACTCGACCGACTCCAACGCCATGACCAGCCCGTCACCCATCACTCCCACCTACGACTTTGCCGACTCGCAGTCGCCCAAGATGGCCCAGATGCCCTACTTCTTGCACAAGGAGTCGCAACTCATGCACTACGCCCACCACCCTCTCATTGGCCAAGCCTACCCCTCCCTGCCCGCCCAGCAGGTCTTCATCCGCGCTCCCGGCGCCGAGCGTCAGCCCATGCCGCCCGCCAACCCCAAGACCAAGAAGAACCAGTACCCGTGCCCGCTCGCCAAGCAGTTCAACTGCTCCGACTACTTCACCACCTCGGGCCACGCCGCCCGCCACGCCAAGAAGCACACGGGCAAGAAGGACGCCATCTGTCCGGACTGCCGCAAGGCCTTCACCCGCAAGGACAACATGGAGCAGCACCGCCGCACCCACCAAAACGGCCGCAACGCCCGCAACGCCTCCAAGGACGCCGACGAGTCGCGCGCGAAAAAGCAAAGGACGTCGCTGTCGCGGCCCAAGCCTTCGCCCATCCAATCCTCCGACCCCGCCACCATGTCCCTGGTCGACCCTTCGCTACCCATCAGCCCGGCGTCCAGCTTCGGCGGCATCGCTCCTGCCGTCCAGCCCGCCGATGACTACATGTCGCACGCATACGCCATCGACCCCAACATGAGCTATCCGCCTCCCGAGCGCTACCAGCTCAACCCGCCTAATCCTTCGACATATGGCCTCGAGACGTTGGCACTCGCCTGCGGAGAAAAGAGGAAATTCGAGGCATGAGCGAGGTTGTCGACTCGGTCCGAAAATACATTTCCTTACTCGGTCACTCGGCGATACCCGGCCACTTTTTTTTTTTTTTCTTTCCTTCGTCCGCAGAATCTTCACTCTTGCCATCGACCGAAGCGTGCGCACTCGGACCCGACCGGATGGTCTGCGTCTTAACTGACCTATTAATCTATTTTGTTCCTTCCCCATTCCTATTCCATCTACTCACGAGCATTGCACGCAATAGACGCATGCCGTCAAGGCTATGACCGGGGTAATCGCGGGACCAAAACGGCGTTGGTGATTTTTTTTTGGACCGATGGGATGGTCTTTGCTTTTTTTTTTCACTTTGCACGATACACACAAGGCATGGGTTCTTCTCTTTTTTCTCCTTCTTGATTACTTTTCTTTCATGTTGCCACTCGGCCCTTTTCATCCTTCAGGCTGGCGGCGACCGGGTCTATTCTTTTTTCTTCTTCTTTTCTTTTGCATTCTAGAGGAGCGCTTTTTGCTCCTTCGTCACTAGGGAAGGAGGGCGGGATGAGCGGGCGTTATGACGGACGCATAGCGGGTTTGCCTCCCTCATCATCACCATAACCGAGGGAGGCGAGGCGCCGGCGCCTTTGTTTTTGTTGCACGACCGCTGTATCAAGCATCGGTGATACAAGCACTTTTTTTTTGTTTGCACACCCCCCTCAGCACAACCGCCGGGGGTGTAGCGCAACATCAGCAGTCGCGCCGAAGGGGTGAGAGAGGCGACGAGTTATCTCTCTCTCTTCGCGCGCGCGTGGTCTTGAAGATTTACACTAGCACCGCAAGGATCTCTCGACGCGCGCTCGGCGGCGGCGCCTGTCGTCGTTGTCGTTGTTCGTCGCCGTTTGGCAGCTTGAGAAACAAGATGCAAAGAAACACTGGAAAAACAAAGTATACTTGCCAAAACATGACGTTCCTGGTGTGGTGGTGCGATGCTGCTTGATTATGACATTGAAGGAAAAGACTAATTTTTCTTTGTTTTCATTTTTGTTTTTGTTTATTGAGAGAGATTAACGAAGAACAGGTCCTAGTCGGCCATGCACTCCCACTCCGACAGATTAACAGACTGACACTGACAGTCAGGCAGACAGGGCGCAGGCGTAAGGACCTCCGCGCTCTTCCGCTTCCCCCTCCTCTCCGGGCTCCCCTCCGCAAACCACTCACTACTCCTACGACTAGGTAGAGATTCTCTACCCCTCCTCTCGTTTCGTTTCCTGAGACGCCGCCCGCTCGACCTAACGACTTGACAAGTAATCGTCGCCGTCCCGCCGTTAGGAGTAAACGCTTCGGTTTCGCCGACACGCTCGTGCGCGCCTCCGAACTTCCGTCGCCACCACGTCCATTACTCCGGAGAAGTAGCCGTAGGACGAGCCGCGTAGGCCTTCTCCATCACACTACTACTACCAGGTAGGACAGATCAGGGCAGGGCAAGGCAGGCACGGACGGTGCGCGCGCCAAGTGAGTGGATGAGTGAGTGAATCCTGCATGCTTACGCCTGCCTGCCTCACGTTCTACGCTGCTTCTGGTCGGGTCTGGACCGTTGGGATGGATGGGGGAGCGTGGGCGCGTGCGCTGTGCGTGGTGCGTCCCTGCGTTTGGTTTGGCGGGTATAGCTGCGGGATGGGATGGGTTGGGATGCTGGGGGCACGTGGGTGGAGGAGATTGATGCGTGCGACTGCGGTGATTGATGGATGGATGGGTTGGTGTGGGTGCGTGGGTGCTGGTCAGGGGCCGCGCTGGGTATGGATACATAGGCAATGCATGGGGCCGCGACTCGTTCGTTCGCGAGTCGCGAGAGTGAAAGTCAATGTCAGTGATGAGCGGGATAAGCGGGATAGGCGCGGATGCGTGCGCTCGAGACTCTGCTGCGATTTTCGTTGCTTTTCGGGGCTGTTCTATGGGGCCTCTCTTTCGTTTCTTTTTGCTTTTTCTTTTTCTTGCTTCCTTTTGAATTAATTGTAATTGGATTTGGAATCGGCGCTGGCGTACTCGTTTGCCGACGCCTGACGCTTGACGCTTGACGCTCGACGTCTGACGCCTGACTGACAAGCAAGCCTTGCAAGCCATGCACGCGGTGTTTTGGTTTTTGGTTTTGCTTTTTGCCATGTGTGGCGGCGGGTGGCAGGGCGGGGCGGTGGTGCCTGGCTAGCAAGACGGCCTGGCCTCTCTCTTTTCTTTTTTCATTGTTGGTCGTTCTTTCTTTTTGCATCACGACGTTACAATGCGCGTCCACTTCCATACCTAGGTATCCCCAGCAGCTCGCCTCGCTCCTCCACCTCCGTACCTCCCACCCCTCATCTTCTCTTCCCTTCCTCCGGTTCCAGAAGCAGACAGACACAGGCCACAGCGCGCGCACGCACGCTCGCTCGCACGCGACCGTTCCTGGCGGCGTCAGCCAGCCCAGAAGGGCGGAGCGCCAGGCTGCGCCACAGACATCATGCGCGGCGGAGCGTTTCCACTCGGTCGGTCGTAGCACCCACGAAATCGCAAGCGGTGGGCGGGAGGCCTGGAGGAGGAGGCACGGAGGAGAAGGAGGGGCCGTCACGCCGTGGCCATGGCCTGCCGTGCCTGCCTGCTCTGGGATAGGGCGTTGGGCGCCTGTCCCGGATCGGGGAGATGGGCACGGAGTTAGGACATTAAAAAAAATAATAAAAGAAAGGAGTTGGGCTGCTGGGAGGGCGGTTTCGGCACGCGAGCGCGAGCGCGAGCGGGGCGGGGTCGCCTCGGTGAAGGGTCCTATTGTCACTGCGGTCACGAGATAGGCCATTGGGCTAGCTAAAGGAACCCGCTTTGCATCGGGGCTAGAGCGAGTAAGCTTCGATGAGCATCTTGATCTGGCGAGCCCGCTCGGCCTCGCTCTCCGGAGCGAAGACCCTGGCAACGCTAGGTAGAGTACCTACGCAACGCAACGCAACGCAACGCCGAGCTTGGCCGGTTCGGGCAGGCGGCCGCGAACATCATCATTGCGCTCTTGCTTGGTGATTCGAACGGCGAACGGCGCGTTCATGCGGCGGCATCTCCCGTCGAGTGGTGATGATTGCCCCGGACAGGGTGGGGAGTTCCATGTGGTTATTATTATCGCGCGCGCGCGTCATCTTGATGCTTCCATCCCGCCATCCATCGCTGCAAGGGAAAAAAAAAGGGCTTGCTGCTTGCATCATCGTTGTTGCCGCGTGCTCGAGCGATCGTGAGGGTTGGGCCGCGGCTGGCTTGCGAATGGCCGATCCGTGGGCCCTTCTCCTTGCTTGCTTTGCTTGCCTCGACCCTGCGCGACGGGCTCCTCCGTCCGGAGCTATCTTCGAGCAAGGCCTTTGCCACTGCGTCGTTGCCATCTTGTCCTCTTTGATCCTCTCTCTACTCTACCTTACTACGTAGTAGGTAGTTACCGTACCCTACCCACCTACGCGCTACCTTACTTACTACTCCGTACTCCGCACCTACTCTGTGCAGATTCGAGATCCTCTCCTCGCCTTCGGCTGTCCCGATTGTTGTATGTACTGTAGGTACTGTACACGTCTCGCTCACCCCTGGCTTCCGATCAGCGCAGCGCGCGGCATGCCTGACGAGGCGACGACGTCCGCCCACAATAGAGGCCGCGCGCTGCTTCCATCTCGTGCTCGTATCGCGTCGTATCGGAGGTAGATCCGCGTGCTAGAGTCGCTGCGCAACGCGCAAGGTGCACCGCGCCGATCCCCGCGTCCTTGTCCTGCCGAATGTCCATTTCCCATGCCAACCTGCTCCGAGGACGGCGCTAGGCGTCCCTGCTACTACTGCTACTACTGCTACTACTACTCTACTAGGCAAGTGTGTCGTTTCGTATGCGTGCCCGTACCTGGACTGGGTAGAGAGCGCGAGAGACGCGTAACTACATTGTATATTGCATCAAGTATGTTCGTACTACGTATGTACCTTCCTGCCGTGCTACTGTAGGTGGTGGTGGCTCGTTCTCTCTCTCTCTCTCTCTCTCTCTCTCTCTTATGCTCTCTCTAGGCGTACTCATCCACAGGAGCAGAGCGCGACGCGTACGCAACGCCAACTGGGAGGCCTGTCTTCACTCATACTTATTCACTACGACCTACTTGATTGCTTGCTGCTGGCCCTACGCTAAATACCGAGTGCGAGGTGCTCCGCCTCCCTCTGCCTATAGGTATGTACTATACCTCGGCCGTAGCCATCGCCGCACTGCACAGCCGCCACCTAGGCCGCCCGTCCGCCCGCCTGTCGCCGTCGTGGAGTCGCGTGGAGATATCGCTGCCTACCTAACCTAGCTATCTCCGCGTCTAGCTAGCCATACGGAGTAATGGCGATGCCTTACTGCGCAACCGTGCAACCGTGCCACTTTGCCCCAATGCCCCAATGCTATTGACGGAGGACGGAGGACGGAGGACGGAGGGTAGAGGAGTAGCCGTAGATTGCAGATTGCAGACGCCACGGTTTGGCCTTGATTGCTTTGCAGACATGCTAGCTAACGCTGGCCATGCCTTGTCTTGCCTTGCCGGCCTTGCCCTGCACTTTCCCCCTCCGCATCGCGTCTCTGCTGGCCCTGCGCCCCCGCCGTCGCCGTCTGGAAGCCGGGTCCAAGGGCCAGAGTTAAGGAATTGTGGTAAGAATTTGCGTCGTCGGCCCTTGCCTTTGCATCACATCATCGCTCTTTCGTTACCTATCGACTTTCGCCATCCTTCGCTGTTTGCCTTTGCCTCTGCTGTGAGTAGGTGCGAGTAGGTGCGGCTGTGGTTCTGGCTGTGGCTGTGGCTGGGCTGTGCTTTTTGCCGCCGCCACTGCTGCTGCCGAGGACCCTGTGCCTAGGTCGGGTACTCTAGGTAGTTACGTACCTACTGGCCGCCTGTTCGCTGTCCCTGTTCGCTGTCGCTGCAGTGCGACGTAGGCGCTGTGTCTCGGCTCGGGCTGTTTGTTTGCTGTTGATTGCTGTGGCGTTGAGTGAGATGGGTGGGTATGGATGCGGGCGGGCGGGCGGAGGCGCTGTACGTGGAAGTAAGTGGAGGATGTAGGTGGGTGTGTTGTTTGAAGGGGTGGTTTCTTTCTTTCTTTCTCTCTTTCTCTCGCGTCCTCTCGTTCTCTCTCAAAGTCAAACATCATCGCCATCTATCTCTTTCGTCTCCATCGTCTCCGTCTTGCTCTTCGCTCTCATTCTAATCTTTAATGTCCTCTTTCCCCCTCACTCATGGAACCCTGCCCACACACACGCACCGCATTCGCGCTAGCTCGCAAACAAGCAAGCAGCACCCCTCCTCACCCCTCACCTCTCCTCACGCACACCTGCACGCCACTCCTCCCTCCCTCACTCACACACAAAACGCCACAAAACTCGGCCCCCAACCCGCTCCCGCTCCCGCACCCCCTGTCTGCACCCAGCCCAGCCCAGCCCAGCCCAGCCCTGCATGCCGCCCTTGCCCGCTTCTATGTTTATTTCTAGGTCTTGCCGTCCATGCGCCTTCGACCGCGTTCTAGTCCCGAGCCGGTGCGCCCTGCCTATGTACCTACATACTACATACATACACCCTGTGCGCCCTGCACCCTGTGCCCTACGCCCTGCGTTTTGCGTGTTGCGCCCTGCGCCCGCCCGCCGCTCGCTCTGGACTGCACTGCGCTGCACTGCACCCCTACGCTACGCTACGCTACGCATGCGCAAGCCCGGCGTCGGCGGCCGCGGGGCGGGGACCAGGCCAGGGCCCGCCTTACATGCCTTGCGCTGCCCTGCTGTGCTGCAGCGTCACGCGTGGCGTGCGTGCCCGCGCTTACTTACTTACGGATTACCTGCTTGCCTGGCTGGCTGCCTACATACATACACACGCACGCACGCATGCATGTGCCTTGGCCCTGGCTGCGCGGTGGAGACCCTTGGACCCTGGATTCGACGCAAGGCTTTCGTGCGTGCGTTGCGTGTCGGTCCATCCACCCACCCGCCTGCCCGCTTGCTTGGCCGCTTGCATGCGTGCGTGCGCGCTGCACTGCACTGTACTGCGCTTACGGCGGACGCGGACGCGGCTGCCTGCGCCGGAGGAGGGGGAGGGTTTGTTAGGTAGGGTGAGGTGAGGTGAGGTGGTGTGGTGTGGCAGGGCGAAAAGCAAAAGGATATATACGGTGATGTAGGGTAGGGTATGGAGGACTGCGTGCGGGTGCGCACAAAGGAAAGGCGTGCTTCGTGGGGAGATAGGTAGGTAGGTAGGTACCTAGGTAGGCGGGTAGGTGGGTGGACTGCCCGCTCCGCCTGGCCTGGCCTTGTCTTGTCTAATCGCCGTCCTTCCCTTTCGTTCGGTCGTCTCCTCCTTCTCCCTCTCGGTTTTCTTGATTTCCTCATTCTTCGTTCTTCGCACAGCGGAAATGTAAACGTCGCTTCGCATGCTTACCTACCTACCTACCTACCTACCTACCGCCTGCACTGTACTGTACTGTGCCCCTCTTCCGCGCCCTTGCGTCGTGTTGTGCGAGCGAGCGGGCGTAAGGGCTGCGTAGGCGTGTGTGGTGTAGGCTAGTGCGTGGTGGATGGTGTGCGGTAGGATGCGCTCATCATGCATGCATGCACGCACGCATGTACGTAGATGCGCATGCTTGAGTCTGTCGCCCCGCGCAGCAAGGCCTGACGTCCTTCCTTTTCGGCTGTGGGGATTCGCAGGCTGGCGGGGTCGTGGTGGTGCGGTGCTGGTCGGGCATGCTACGCGTGCTACGGTACTTTGGGTGCGTGTGGTGGAGGCGCGTAGGTACGTGCCTCTCTAGCTGGCTTCCTGGATTGCGCGTTGGACGCCATGTGTAGGTGATGGTCTTGCCGGTTTGTAGAGTAGTCCCACGGTCACTTTTGACCCCCCTCTTCTCTCGGCGGATAAAATGTTAGTGCCTGTTTGGTTGCGCCGTCGCGGTCGTGGGTAAGTATGGTAGTTGTAAACGGTATACCGGGGTGCGTATTGGAATCTAGATGGCGACGTCCGGTAATGCAGGGTAGGGTGAAGTGAATGGTGATCAGAATGGTGAGAATGGATATCTTATACTCGAAGTCAATCGTTGTATTTGAAAACCCACTCGGAATTCTAGGGTTACGCCTCCATTCTATTCAATCTAGTAGCGTCTCGCGCTCTCTATCTGCAAGCTTAAGTATACTATTCTATCATAGCCATTGCCAATCCATCCCTTCATGTCTCTAAATGGACATGTACACCTTGACACAGGTTATCAATTCAATCAGTGTTAGTTCTGAGTCGAGTAGTTGCGTCTCATCCTCCTTCAACTTTGAGATTGCTAAGGCGAAAACTTCCAACCCCGGAGAGGAAATTCTGACTGGAACATAGGCCTAGGAGAGGATGGTTCCTCAACGTTTTTATTGTTGCCAGACAACAACGTTTTGATGACGGCCCCCTCCGGATCATATGAAGGATGTGCGCTTTCAAACTCTTCCAATCTATACACTGTCTCTTCAGGCGATCCATGCACACTCCCTTCAGGCGTATAGATTGTCGAATCCGGTGAAGAAGCCTCACATGAGGCGCCTAGCCCGTTGTCCTGCAGGGGAAGTGTGTCGGAGCTGCCATCCGTACTACAAGATTCCCTTTCCCATCCTAAATCCCTCGCAACAGAAGCCTGCGCCTGAGTTATCCTCGCCAAACTGATCCGCTGAGCCCATCGGTACTGATCCGCTAGCATATCGAGCAAACTCCATACCCCCTCGACAATATCTAGCAAGTCACCTGCCGGCCTCGCATGGAAAACCTTCCCTGGACGCCGTAGCCAGGAAACCAAAACGAAAGTAAAGCGGATGTAGTGGTCAGCCAGACTCCAGCCTGACTTGTCGAGCTCCTCGCCGTAGTCGGGGAGATAGATGCCGCACAGGCCTGCGCTGAGCTCTTTCATGACGATGCCTCGATGTTCCGTAAGGTTGGGCTTGGTGACCCTGCCTAGATTCCTCCACATGAAGTCGTCTCGGAATTCGGCCCACGCTTGGAGAAAGGCGCGTTCAAGCATGATGCTTTCTTTTAATTGAGCTCCGTTTTTGACGCCGAGTTTATCTAGTATGCCTCTGATATTCTCCACGGAGACAGATCTGAGATGCATCGACGTAGACGAAACGTCGTTCATGGGTCTTTGGATATACGGTCTATATGGTTGTTGCGGCAGTGCTAAGAGTGTTCTGTATGAGCGTGAGAATATACGTTCGCTTTCGTGGAGTGACGATTGGATGTGAAGTTATGATTCAACTGTCGGTAAATCCGTGACGTACCCACACTGGAGTTGTTAGCCACCGTTATAATCAAGAGAGGTTGTTGCTAGGGATACTAAATCGTACGGATGAGATAATACCTGCCTTGAAGTAACTCGGCGGAAAGGATGTGAGCGGCAGAGAGAACTACCCCCAGTGAAAAAAAGTAAAGATGATAGTAGAACCATGCGACTGTGAAAGCTTTATACTGCTTGCAAATCAAAAGGCAGGTGGAAGTGGTGATCGTTAAGTCTTACAAAAACGGAAGGAGCACTAACTGTCACATTAGTCGAACCAGGGGTCGCAAAACAGGCAGTCACGCTTGGTTTCACATGCTGCCTGAAGTGCGGTACCAGGTTCAAAAAATCATGAGGTCACAACGGATTTTTGTTCCATGGTACGCTCATGTTGCGTTGCACGTGGGACCCAGACGCTTCTACCCACTTAACAAAAAGAGTCAAAAATAAACAAGAATAGATCGCATAATACTAAAATGAACCAAGCGTAGAAAGTTAGTCGTTCAATAGTTTGTCATACTAACCAGTAGCAGTAACCCGATACTCTTGAGGAGAACATCCTCCTTCCTAATTTGTGCATTCCCTTCTCTGTTCTTGCACCCATGGGTATCTCTAGTTACCACGAACTACTAGCACAGCCGCTGTTGTTCCATCGTTAACTATGGAAGTATTAGATATCTGGCAACGCTCCAGGACCTATATTAATTCTTCCAATAACACCACGTGTGTTTCAAGACTCCTATGACTCTTTGCTTCGCGACCAAGTACCCTGTTGCTGAAATACACTGCGTGTTAACTAGATTCCAGTCAGTGATTGTCTAAGACAACGACCGGCGGAAGTTTGTCTTTTGCACCGAATACCACATAAGCAAAACACTATAGAAAGTCATCAACAAACGCCACTGCTACAAAGAAGTGTAAAGAACAGAGTTACGCGATAAATATCAAGCTACAACCGGCTTTAGCCAGCGCTTCCACGACCTCGCATGATTCAGATCAACCCTCATGGGATCCAAGGTAACCTTCAACAGTATCAGCAGACGGGGCTCCGAGACTGCTTACAAGAGTAGTGGCCTTCTAGAGAGTACGTTGGGAGGGAGAGGATTTCTAGGTGTGAGTGTAAGTGAGGAAGAGGGTATCAACCACTAACCCTCATCTACAACCTGCCGAACGAGCTTCCCTGCTACTTTGTCTACTGTTATCTGCAATAGAAAGACCTCACCCGACGGCGACCTCACGTACGAATTATGTACCAACATTCGAAAGCTGCGCTCCGTCCCCTGTAGGCCACTGAAAGCGAATCTTTCGCGACACGTCAAAACTGTCCATGAAAAAGAAGGCACCTTTGCTTCGAAACGATGGCAATGTACTGAATGCTCCCTCACCTTTGCCGATCAGAAATCTGTGGGCAAACACCTCAAGCGCCACGAAAATAGTAGTTCAAAGTGCAACCACTGCGGAGCTATTATGCCTTATTTCGAACTAGCAAAGCATAAGGAATCAAAATGCCCGAAGCTACCGGAATGCATGGCAGCTTGTGCTGATTGTGGCAGAATCATGACCGCAAACGTCATGACCGGGGTTGATGGCCACAGGCCGGGATTGATGGCCCCAGCTATACTATGGTCACACACCATCTACATCCGCCGCTGGTGGTGACCATCGTCTTAAGTCTAAGTCCTTGATCTTCTTGCCTACCGTTAACGCTCGGCGACGGACTGGCCAACGCCCTCCTCCACTCCCTCTCCACTATATATGGACCGGATGTGTTCCACGTAAACACGTATTTTCTCGTCCGCTCCAGCTCTAGTTCGAAGTATCCTCCATAAAGTCGCCTCGATCACCGCCTCCGCGAACAAACCCGAATCAGGCTCGTTTTAAACCCCGTCCACAGCCCATGTCTGCACTTCAGGGTTTCGGGAGCTTATTGACTGTATGTATGGGATGATAGGGCGGAGTTCGTGATACGGACGCAGACAGAAGCAAACAAGAGGAAGAAAGAAAGGTTTGATGGCAATCTCAATGCTGCTGCCTGAGCCCTGGCATCCACCAGAGACAGTTCGTGGTTGATTCGCTCGCTCATGTCTTCGGAGTAGGGAATCCTTCCGTCTATGGTTGGCTGGCAACAGTGGAAGAAGTGCCGCTCTGCTGTAGTCTTGAGCAGTGTGCCTCGTAATTACCCTCACGTGCCATCTCCATAGTCGTATATAATCAAGCAAATCTAGACAGCAGGCAGGCACACTGAAGTGCTGAGCACTCAATCTCTCAGTCAAATCAACCATTCAATCAATCAATCACTCCCTCATTCAGCAAACAAACACAAACAGACAAAGACATTCCCACAATACCTAAACCCCATCCAACATGTACGCCGCCCTCCATGCCGTGATGTCGTGACCTCCGGCCCCATCTATCAATCAATTAAACAATCAATCAGTCAATCAGTCCATCAACCCCTCATGCACACCAAACAACACACGCCCAAGCCCCAAACGCCACGCCAATGCAACAAGTCGAAGCCGAAATCGCAATCGCAACCGCAATCGTTCAATCGCTCTCCTCGCCCTCATCAAGCGCCTCGTCCTGCTCCTCGCGCTCTTCCTTCTCCTCCAGCAGGTCCTCCCTCTCGCCATCCTCACCCTCACCCTCATTCTCGTCCTCGTCTTCATCGCCCTCGTCCTCTGCTTCTTCGTCTCCTTCGTCTTCACCCTCCTCTTCCTCCTCTTCCTGCTCATGCTCATCCCCCAGCGTGTCGTCACCCTCGCCCTCCTCGCTATCCCGACGCGCGCGCTTGGCAACGGGCTCACCGTCGTGAGCGTGGTGGGGCGGAGCGTGCGCGGCCGCGCCGTTCGGTGCATCTGGGTTGTGCGGCGCGTTCATGTCGTCGCCTGGTGCTGCGGCAGAAGAGGAGGGCGGTATCGGGTCGCCGTTGGCAGCGGCCTCAGCAGCACGCTTTTCTTCCTTGACTTTGCGGCGGTAGGTGTTGCGCTTGTCGCATTGGATTGTGTTATAGCCTGTGGGGTAATATGGTTAAACCAATAGGGCTCTACTTGTATTTGTATACGAGGGAATACGCACGCTGTAGCTCACGGTCGACGCGCTCGGTGAACTGCTCGAATTCAATTTCCTTGAGTGCCTCGAGCACGTCCTTGGGCTGGATCGTCTTCTTGTTCTGGCGCGCCGCGACGTCGCTTGCACTGTATGTCGCAAGGTGGGTCAGCTCTCAGCGACGGCGGCCGTGGCGGCGGAGGAGGAGGAGGGAGGGAGGGGAGTGGCGGCCGTACTGTGAGGTCAGGTAGTTGACGAAGACGGTAGCGCTCTTGGAGATGGCGGCTTGTGCGATGCTCTGCAGATTGGTGTTGGCGGGCAGAGCGCCCTTGGCTAGGCGGTTGACCATGGTCTTGGGGAGGTTGAGGTCCTGGATGCGAATTAGCTTGGGGTCCGGCGGGAGAGAGAGGAAGAGAGCATGGACTTGCCTCGACGCTGAGGCCTTGGTCCTCGGCGGACATGACGGAAGCGTTGCTCTTGCGCGCGGGCATGATGTGGGTGTGCGGTGGAGGGTTGGCGGTGGAGAGGTGGTGCTGGGGGAGTACGTGTGTGTGGGAGAGTGGGAGTAGAGCTGCGGGCGCGGCGGGGAGACAGCTGTGGAGCAGAAAGTGCTCCGGCGCGGTGATGCTGCGCGCAAGGAAAAGCAAGTCGAGCCGAGGCCGACGACGCGACGGGACGCGTCCGGGGAGAGCGACTCCATCATCCTTTGTGAACTTCATCACGGCGTGCTCGAATTATTTTTCTACAAAATTCCTCTGTCAGAGTGTCTTCCTTCCATTTTCAATGCTGCTTCCGCTAGGAGAAGCTGCGCTTGCGCCTTCCTCAACCATAATGACAAGACCTTCTCATCCACCTCATGTCCACCTTTTCTCTCTCGCCAGTCTCACCCACTCCATGATTGCATCTATGCCTTTTGCTCGTATCCCTTAACCGTCAACACCATGTCGCCCACCGTTATTGACTTTGCCTATGGCACGATCCGCATTGACCTCACCCAAGGAAAAACGCACGTCTACCGACCCGGAGACAAGGTTTCCGGACGCGTCTGGTTTGAGCCGCAGCGACAAGAAAAGATCAAATCAATCGAGATCAGCTTCTACGGGAGATGCTATGTGGAGATCTATAACCCGCGGGAACGCCGTCTCTTACAACGAGTGCCCAAGTCTGAGGAGGTCACGCTATTCTGTGCCGCGAAGACTCTTATCCGCACCGATGTTATACGAACCACTTCGTTCTGGCCTTTTGAGTTCCAGTTCCCGGAGTATACTGATCCTTTGCCCGACTGGTTCAACACGAAACAACGATATGGGGCACTGTTTGCTGGCGGCGTTCATCCGCTTCCACCATCCTTTAAAACCGACGAGGAAGAAACAGACAACTTCGGATGTATCTCATATGAGCTGATTGCCCATGCCGAGGGCTATCGCAAACATCGCAACTATCGCGACAACTGTCAACTCCGGCTGAAGTTGAAGGATCCCGTCGAGACGGCATTGCCACCCTCAGCGCTGGGACCTCACATTCTCAAGCCATTGCACACGCAGTTACACCAGCTGGACACAGAACCTCACATGTTGAAAAAGCTATGGCGTTTCTGCATTTGCAAACAGAAGGACCACGGACCTCGAGTCGACATCACTCCGACAGGTCGAGTTGGTCTTTTGTTGTCCTGAGCAACCAATGCTAATATCGATTTAGTTTTCGTGCCTCATGTAGTCATACCTGGGCGTGAGATCTCTCCGTTGTTCTCGCTGGCCCCGAAGTCCAAGCCCGTTAGCCCGAGGCAGCCTGAATTAGAGTTGGAATGGCTTGACATTAAAATCGTGTCCAATACGTACGCCGGGCACTTATGTAAACAACGAGCTGGTACTGACCATGGTCCAGGTGGATCAGGACCCGTTCTCGTAGTTCTCGCAAGGCGCTCTGTGGCGAAATCGTTGAACCCACGGTGGTCGTCAGCAGACTCTGGCGCAAGCGGACCGGAGCAGCAACCGCGACTTGCCTCAACTACCCAGCGCTGTACTATCAACGATCAATGGGCAGAACCAACCCGATACAGCGCTGCCGCGATTTCCTGCTCATTCGGCGCTACAAAGATGAGAAGAGCGAAGATCCGCCCGACACTGTGTACCTTAACCCCAATCCACTGCCGGTCGACGACACGCGCTTCGCGCTCACAAATGCCATCACGCTCGACGACAACCCGCATTCCGTGTCAGATTTCCGCTCTTTTCTCGTCGCACGCGACCACGAGCTCCAAATCCGCGCCTGGTTGCGCTGCGGCAGCCAGCGTTTCAAGCTGCAGTGCAACACGCCGCTGACGATCCTGCCCAAGGAGGAGCCCCCGGAGCAAAGTACGTCCCCAAAACATGCCTCAAACCAACCTGCTAACCACACCCTCGCACCGCAGACATCTCCACGTCAAGTATCGCGCTCTCGGACGGCCCCCTCTCTGGTGGGCCCCGTTCCCACTCCCACTCCCACTCCCACCCCTACTTCCATTCCAACGCGCCCACTATTGATCTGTCCTCCGATCCCTCCTCAGCCATCATTTCCTCCTCTACTGCGACCTTTACCACCGCAACCGGCTCGTTCGCCACTACCCCCGTCCACGAGGAATCGTCCTCAGTTTCTTCACTGGGGTCCTCGAGCTGCCCGACTTGCCGACACGCGGATGCCGAATCGGCGGCTCGTATACTGCTGCTGCGAATGCCGCCGATTACGGAGTTTAGTTTGGAGAGTATTGTGGAAGCATTGAGTCGAAGCCAGAGTAGTGAGAGCGAGGAATGGAAGAGACAGAGGGAGGAGAGGGAGCGGAATGGAGGTGGGGTTGAAGGGATTAGAGAGGAGGACGAGGAGGACGAAGACGGAGACGAGGCCGAGGAAAGGTCAGGAAGAGGGAAGGAGAAGATGGAGGATCTCGGACTGGCGGAAAGGGGTAGACGTGCTTTGAGGAAGAGTCGGAGTGCAGCGTAGCGGAGTGAGTGGGTGAGTGAGCGAGTAACTATTATTATGGATAAAACCAGTGGCTCCGCAAAGTGTGTGACAAACACTGTTCTGGTGTAGTGACTCTGCTGCCCGCATGCACGGCCTAAGAGCCAAAACATGTTGCCAACATGTTCGGCTTTTCAGACGTTCAACCTTTGTCACCACCCGCAATAGTCGAACATGGAAGCTGTCTCAAGAGACAACATCGGACGTCTGGAACACATTGCCAACATGTTTGGCTTTGTAGACGTTCAACGTTTGACGTTTGGCTGCAAGTTGCGCTAGCTGGATAGGGAAGTGTCTCCTTTGGTGGACAAGGTCGGACGTCTAGAGACGCAAAACACGTTGCCAACATGTTCGGGCGCTCTAGACGTTCGACCTTCTTCTGTGCATATCACGTAGAGATGCCTTTTTGGGCTAGTGCGAGATTTGAGGATTCGAACTTTGGACGGCTGGGGTGGGGGGTCGGTTGAGGACGTATATATGATGTTTGAGAATATACATTGGTAACATATTCAGCGCTTTAGACGTCCGACCATTGTTTCACTCCGCACTAGCTAGATGTAGAAGGGGCTTTTGGGGATAAGGTCGGACGTCTGAAAGGCTGAATGTGTTGCCAATGTGTGTGCCTGTGTTGGTGTTTGAGGTGAAGCGTGTCGATGCTTAAAGTAAAGTCTAAGAGTAACACACGTTGGCAACATGTTCAGCTCTTTGGACGTCCGACTTTGTTTTACGCCGCGCTAGCTAAGAAGAAAACTATACTTAGTTATAGAAGATCGAACGTCTAGGAAGCTATATATTGCCAATTTATATGCCTCGTGTTTACGTTCGAAACACAGCCGTAGAGCAATACACGTTGCCAACATGTTTAGCTTTCTTGACGTTCGACCTTCAACTCTACCCTACGCTACGCTAGCCGAACATAGAAGTCCTTTCTATGCATAAGTTTAAACGTCGAAGATACTAAATATGTTGCTAACAAGTTTAGTGCTTTAGACGTCCAATGCTACCAAACTGAACTCCAATTTCTATATTCGGCTAGTGCCAAATAGGATAGCAAGGTTAGACGTAGGTATACGTAGCAAGATACGCATTATATACAGAAACACATTGCCAACTTGTTCAGCTCTCTAGACTTCCGAAGTTTCTAAACCAGACCGCAGTTTCCGTATCCAGCTAGCGCTGAGTAAGGTATTAAGTTCGGACGTCTATATACGTAGCTGGGAACGTATCGCATACAAAAACATATTGGAAACAAATTCAGTGCTTCAGACGTTCGAGCTCGCTGAGCAAGAGTTTCTAGATTTAGTTAGCGTGAGGAGTCTAACATTGGACGTCTAGGGAGACGAGAACATGTTGGAAACATGTTCAGCTTTTTGGAAAATGAGGGGATATATGTGAGTGTTTGCTCGTGCTGGTCGTTTATTTTTTGTAGTCACATATGCTATGAGATAAGCGGTTCAGCGCCCGAAGTCTTAAAGCGTTGCTAGACGAAAAGGCCGAAGTCGAATGAAGATGTTAATAAGTGTATCTAAATCCTATATAATAAAACAGTGTTTATATCACTCACTCACCTACTCCGTCCCACCCGCCACCCGCTACCCGCTACCCGCAACAGAGCACACAGCACAACCACTCCGCATCCAGAGATGTACCTAGCCCCCTCAGACAAACAAAAATGCCACTAGAAAACAGCAAGCAAGCACTACACGCAGCCCCATTCTCGTCGCATACACACGATATGCACGCCCACACATCCCCAGCCACCCAACCACCACCCAACCACCAAGCAAGCATACCCTACAACAAGACCAACAAACAACAAACAAGCACGCAGCATGCCTACCCCGCGCGCCATGTAGGCGGTACTGCGGCGACGGCCCGGCAGGCTACCGTTTACATGCATGCATACTCCGTACAGCACGAACAAGCAACGCCCCAGCCCCTGCACCCACCCCCGCGCGCGGGGGGCCGCATTTCATGCATCAGCGGGCTCACTTACTTGGAAGCGTACTACGTGCGTCAGCATTCTAGTTGCTCGACGTGAGGTGCAGCGAGTTTCATAGCTGAGAGGTGGGAACCAATAATGAAGGAAGGAGCTTGGAGGTGCGTTGATGGGCTTTGAGTTTAAAGCTGCAGACACGCTGTTGGTTTTATTTTACGGTGGGTGGGTGATAGTTGTGTTTTTTGGTAGTGTAAGTTGCTTATGGTTCAGTAGGGTGGTGGTACCCGTCGAAGTGAGGGAAAAGACAGAGAAAATAGTTGGGAATTTGATCGCACAGAACTAACTGGATAGGCGACCGTTATTTCATTCTCGAGACCTGCTCTGCGGTCTCTGCTTGACTTATTCAACCAGCTAGCCAGCTAGCCAGCTAGATTTCCTCTACCCGGCGCCCTTGTCCATGTCCCCTAAGCTTTTAAGACTCAGCCGCGCGTTGAAACCCTCGTTCCAGCCGGTGCCACCTGTCACTGTGAACTTGCCCTCATCCAGTAGCTCGAAATCGAAGCGACGGATAATCTGCGTTCAGAGCAGCGTTAGCGCTTCCACACTCAACAACACGCGCATTCAGAGGTAAACAAACACTGGATACTCACCTCCGGCAACACCTTATGCATTTCCATCAGTGCGATCTCCTTTCCCAAACAGATCCGTGGCCCGGTACCAAATACAAAGCTCGCCGCTTCCATCCGCCGCGTTTTCTCTTTGCTTACCAACCACCGCTCCGGGTCGTACATTAGTGGTCTCTCATACATTTCCGGGTCGCGCTGTACAACCATCGCGTAGCTCGTGACATCGGTGCCTGGAGGGATGTAGTGTCCCTGCACAACCTTGCCCTCTGGCGGTACGACGCGTGCGAACAAGTTTGTCACTGGCGGCGACAGGCGTAGTGCTTCCTTGATGCAAGCACCGAAGTATGGCAGGTGCTCGAGAGTTTCTTCGTACTTGATCGGCGTGGAAAGCTTGCCGGCCGCGTCGGCGGCGGCGATTTCCTGCTGTGCGCGGCGTAGCGCCGTGGGGTTGGTCAGGAGGTACCGCATCGTGTTGCCGAGACCGGTGCCTGTGGTGTCGACGCCAGCTTGAATGAGAAGCGTGACATGTGCGATTTTCTGGTTTTTGGGAACTGGTTCGCCGCCCTTCATACGGGCTTCTAGGCAACTGTGCCAAAATATCAGTCAATGTCAAAAGATGATCGTAAACCTCTTGAGTATAAACTCACTGTTGTAGAAGATCTTGCTCGCCTTCAAAGGTACCGCGTTCAACCTCAAGTTCGCGCTGATTCACCTTGACAGTGGCTTGATGCATCAACCAGCCCATGCCCCCCTTGTCATCAGACTTTGGCAGCAACAGGCTACTAACAAACGGCAGCTTCAAGACGAACTGGTTCAGAAATGTCCAGCGAGAAGCAAGGCCGAAGAATCTTAAGCCCTGGCGCCAGCTATCGAGCAACTTGAGATGATCACCGCTGCTCTCGACGAATCCAAAGGCTTCCCCGAAAGCTAAGCGGGACATGACGTCCGCGGCAAACCAGCTGGTGGAACCAAATGTCAGTCATTATATGTCTTTTTGGTCAACGGCTAAGACAGGGAGGCATACGCAAGCCACTCGCCCAGTTGCACTTCCTTCTTAGTCGTTGCCAACTCTGTCATTTGCTTTGTGAACAGCTTAACCAGATCATCGATGAGGGGCTCGGAATGATTTTTCAAAGATCCAATCGTCCACTGCAGTCCGGAGGGATTAGCTGACGGTCTGGGATTTCCTAAATTTAATCATACCTGCTGCCCACCAAATGCAGCCCTTAGTCTTCGGTGCTCTTCACCGTCCAAAGTGGAGAAGAGTTGCGGAGGGCCCAATGCGCCCGATCCGTAGAAATTGGCTTTTCGGTTGAGATGCTTATCCCAGTAAATGTCCTCCAAAGCCCCATGCATTGGCATTAACAACATCTGTGGTGCCACGCGGATCGGTGTGTGCGTCCCATATTTGTTAACCAAAGACAGCAACCACTGGGGCTCGACCTTCGCCACCGAAATCAGAGCCGACGTCAATGAGGTTGAGGTTGCGTACCACGGGCCAGGAAACTTGGACAGGGGATGAAAATAGATATTATAGACAATTCGACAAGCCAGAGCAACGACTGCCACGCCGAGAAAAACGAGAGCAGGCGGGAAAGGCAAGTCGACAGAAGTTAAGACCGCCATGACTGATCGGAGAGTATTCCGAGAAGCTTCAACTGACAGAAAGAATTCAAACTATATAAAGAGATAAGGTCTGCGTATGCAGTGACTGGCAAAAATGAGCTGGCTCGATGCATGACTTATATAGTTGAAGCAACCCAGTGGCACGCGATCGCAGTGCTCCTCATAAGCCCTACTGCAATGCAAGGTGAAGAAGCAGGTAACCAGGGTTACTCGGCGAGGTGTGGGCCGAAACGATCAATTGCCTAAGGTAGTTACTACCAATCAGCAAGCAACCATCGCGATCCCACATTAGCTTGCATGGGATTGGCCGTGTGAGCATTCTGGGTGGAAAATCGATAGATGCCAAAAGCGGGCTGCATGTCGGGACCCCTCAGCGCCTGCTCTTTTTGCCGGCGAGTGGACCTGATACGACTTGACCTGCAAGCCGTGCATATGTGATGGATGGAATGCCGGTTATGCTCGCCGTTGCATCGACGCGTCAGATCTGCAAGAAAGGAGGCACAATGTATAACAGTAAGCAGGAGAGTAAGAGCAAGGAGGACGACGCGGACGAAGCTGACGATGGAGGAGATCGGCAGCTAGCGGGCTAGCGGGCAACAAGCGAGCGGACTCTTGGCAGCGTTAGGGTCCGCTGGCGAGACCGAGCTCCCAAGACCTTCGTCACAAGCCACGAGCTACGACGCGCCCCGAGTTGATCGTATCGCTACATACTCTTTGCTCCTGATCCCGCCAGAGCATCGCCGTGCAGTCCAGTCCCGCCCGCTTCGTGCCTGCCCCATTTCCCGGATCCGTCCTGCGCGCCCCGTTACATGAGCTTCGGCCCTGACACTGTCACCCGTATCCCTCAACGCTCAACCAGGTCCCCCACGACCGAACCCTCGGCGGTCTTTGCGTCAGCTCTCTATAACGATTCGCGCTGATAAACGGCCACCAAACGAACCGGTTCGACCGGTTTCTGCCGCAGGGACCGTTGCGCCTTGCTCCTTGAACCACTTATACGCCAGCATTCGATGTCGATTGGATGCACCCTCTAAACCCTTTTCTGCGGGCCTTCTTTCGAAGCACTCTTCCGGCGCAGTGCTCCCCCGCGCAACACCACGTACGTTCGCGCTACCTTGTCGTTTTCTGGTTGCAGCTAACCAAAGCTCTTTTTGCCTCCAGGTCCTACTTGTCCCCACGACAGACGTACTATTAAACTCCAAAGACCGCGAGAGTAACGCCCCATACACCGATTTATCTGGCTCCGAGGAGTTTCTAGCCAGCCATGTCCTCCGCATACCTGGCGGTATTCCGCCCGGCGGTCAGGGCAAGGACGCAACATTTAGGGACAGTAGGGGCAAGGCAAAACAGTACACCACGGCGAATGGGCGTACGGTAATAATTAAAGACACGTTCGTTTACAGCAACAAAGGTATCTATGTACATGGCTCTGGAAGAACTTGCGCTGACCTTGTCAGGCTTCAAATCGTTGAACCAGGCATCCCTACTGAATGACTTAATCTACTACCCCGATACTTTCGACGCGCAGCCATGGCTCGTATACTTTATTTCACGACCTTTGATTGGACAATTCGAAGCGATACCCATCATTCCCGCCCTCATTGCCCCTCCCCCGAAGCCAGACCCTGCCAAAGATGGGGATGCCGGGACCTCTTCCATGCCGCGCAAAAAAGAGGTCAAGAACTTTTCAGAGCTCTTAACACTATTCCCAATGATTGCAAGACAAATGCAGCCGGGCCTGGAGCGGTTGTTTAAAGAGTTTGGGAAGGAGTTTGAGAAGCCGCTGCCTGCGCCTCCGTCGAAGCCGGCTAGTGTGTCTAGTCGGCGCAGTTCCATATCATCTGGCGTGAGCATGCCGGTTTCGTTGCACAGCAGCATCTCGGGATTATCCAACGGTAGTACCAAAATACCGTCGACGCTGGAAATTTACGACGAGGAGGACATGATGAGGCGGTCCTTGGAGACTGCCGTAACAGCGGCTATCGACCTTTTTCAAATGGTGGACAAGCAACAACTCTCGCATCTTGGCGCAACAACTGATCTGACGGGTCCCATTGTTGAGCGTATGATCGAGCGGTATATCTGCGAACAGCTGCATGAGTCGGTCCTGTTGCTAAGGATTCTCGCTGTCAGACGTCTCGATGATCTAGAACTAGAGGCGCGCATCCGGCAAATGTTGGATATAGACATTTCTCAGGTCGGCATACCCATTGAAAATGGCCAAGATGGCAAACGGGAGCTCGCGGCCCGCCTGTCACGAGGCGTGGATGTATTCAAGAAGATGAGCGGCGCCGGAAGTCCACAGGAAATGCTGGACATTTTGCTCTCCACACACAAAGTCATTACGATGCCCGAGTCTGCAGCCAGCCCTGAGCAGGAGGGCTCGCTTGAAGACTCGGAGAAGCATGTGGCAATGTTGACGATCAACGCCGATACCCTTGTCTCGCTTCTGCTTATTGTTGTAATTCGCTCCAACGTCCGTCACCTGCAGTCTCGGCTTTCGTACATGCGGCATTTCATCTTCATAGATGACGTGGAAAGCGGGGAGATGGGGTACGCATTGAGTACCTTGGAGGCTGTTTTGACGTATCTGGTCAGAGACTCTGGATGTCTGCGGAAAGCAAGCAAAAAGAACAAGCAACTATGGCAAGCTACAAGGAATGGCGATCTTATTGGAATGCGGAAAATCCTCCAGCCTGGTCGGAAGTTCTCAGTTGATGCCTCTGCCATTACCGACGAGCCAGAGCCGACCTCTACCGGACCACACATCAGTTGGGCTGAGCTGCATAGAAAGTCGGTTGATGGAAACATTGACGACTGGGTTGGGCGAGGGCGCGGAGCTGTTGGAGATGCGGATGCCTCCCCTGAACCAGAACCAGGTCCCCTGGCACATGTTTTCCCATTCCAGCGAGCAAAGACCCCGCCCCCGCAACGTCCTAAGATCAAAAAGCGTGTTTCCATGCAATCCCGGAGCAACTCTAGTTCGTCGCAACTATCCTTCAGGTCACACGCAGAAACGATCGAGTCACATGTTAGTGGCTTCGAAGGAGATACCTCCATCGAGAGACTCATTCGGACACAGGATCCGGCTGGCCAGTCAATACTCATGATGGCCGTTGAAAGCAGGCAGGACAAGGCCCTGAGGTACATGCTCAGCTTACAAGACTTCTTCCCTCTGGAAACTGTGCTCGATGACTGTACCTATGACGGGACGACGCTGCTCAGCGCCGCGATACAACAGGCCCATACGGGCGTGATACATACGCTCCTGGACTTCGTCGCGGAACGAGCTTCAAATAATCAAGTCATAGCTGGATACTTGGCACGACAAGATTCGCAGGGAAGAAGTGCAGCACATTACCTTTTCGATCAACCTCTGCTTATACCCAGGCTTGGGCATCTGGTGGATTGGAAACTAAAAGACAAGAACGGCCAAACACCACTTTTTGCACTCTGCAGGTCCTACGACCACCAGGAATATCGTTCGATGGTAGAAGCTGCGATATCCGCTGCTGCCAGAGCACAGGGTGATGACCAACCACTGCATTTGGATGATCACATCGACGGCAAGGGAAACAGCCTGCTGCACATAGTCAATGATCCGCAGCTGGCGCTGAAGTTGCTCTACCAGTGCGATGCTGATGTCAACGTTGTGAATGACAAACAGTTCACACCCTTGATGGTAGCAAGTAAATATGGCAGGACTGATCTTGTAAGGGTTCTCTTCGGCGACCCGAGAGTTGACATCTACCTGAAAGACACACGTGGCCTGACGGCAGTGGAGCTGGCCAAGGACGACGAAGTGCGCAATCGAATTGACGATCTAGTACTCTTGTCGAACCCTCCTGGGCCTGACGGGCGTACTACCACCGTGGTGCGGTCGTATTTTGTCGAAGACGGAACCATCAGGGTGGTTCTTAAATCAGGAGCCCCCAATGGCAATGCGGCAATAACCGTGACGACATGCCGTCGGTCTCTGGCTGATTTCGAAAACCTCGCCAGGTGGCTGGCCATGGAGAACCCCGCGTCCTGGATCCCGTCGGTCTCGGGCTTCCCTTCGCCTTTCCTCATACCGTCCAAGCCTTCCCGGGCCATACTGCGCGACATTCAGCTCAAGCTGGATAGTTTCCTTAAGACTCTACTCAACCATCCGACGTTTTCCACGCACGAAATGGTCTGGGAGTTCTTCCTTGTACCCGAAATCGACACCAACATGCTTGCCGAACGCAGCAAACGGAAAGCAGAAACGCGTGTTGACCGAGTCAACGAAGACTACACGCCAATCCTCGAAGTCCGCGAAGTCGAGCTCTTCGTCCAACATGCGCGCGATTCTGTCCGCAGCATGCATCATTCCACCAAGTCGGTCCTCAGGCGCGCCAACAAACTTCGTACTGCGCAGTCTGACCTCGTCGATGCCGGATTCATGGCTTCTGCGTCGATCCAGATGCTCGGGTTCCTCCCGGACTCCCACAAGTCTGCCTTTGATCGCTACACGCAGACGCAGACACAGATGGAGTCTTCGCCGTTGGCAGGCTTCTACTACAGCACGCACGCCATCCACACGACTATTGCCGCGATACTGCAATCGCTCACGAGACCCGGCGCGCTCATCGGTAGCATGTCGCAGACGCAGAAAGTCATCGACCGTCACAAGTTGTCTGTCCGGCGCAGTGACCGTTGGCCGCTGGGTTTGCTCGACGAGACAAGGAAGAGCATGCAACGCGATGCGGCAAGTAAGGTGGAGAAAAGTCAAGGCGAGCTGGAGAACTTGGGGCGTGAGCTGCGGTACACGCAGCAAACGGTTGCGGCCGAGCTGGCGGCGTGGCAGGATAGCAGGGTGAAACAGGGGCGGAAGACGTGCCGCGAGCTGGCGAGGAGGATGGTGGTGGTGGAGAAGGCGAGGCTGGAAAACATGAAGCGCGCGATCAGGGCAATACATCACGACGAGAGGGGGCAGCCGAGAGATGACGGGATTAAAAAGGGAGGGGCCGGTTAGTCTAGAATGGGCGGATTGCGGGTAGTGTTAGAGATAGATACCACTGCGAGCACGACTTCACTTCTCCACTGGCATAAAGATCCATAGTTAAGTTTGGGGTTCCGGGTAAGGGTGGCGTGCCGCGCGGCAGATCCATCGGCGATAGATCTACGGCTATCGACAAGCTTCCACGGCTCCGGCCCAGACAACAAGCCAACCCTCACAAAGGCCACCTCGTCCTCCCCTAAATCCAACAGTAACACTCTCACGGCTCGAATCGCATCACCTCACCCCAAAGAAACAAGGACCTCTTCAAATTTGCGCAATCCTACATCTGCCATCATGGTAAGTGAAGCAGCCTCCCCCTCAAGCCCCACCAAGAAAACGCAAGTAACCGACGCTCGACCCCGCAGGCCACGGACTCACGAAAGCGCCTCGCGCTGGCGATAATCGACTTCCTGAACACGTCGGTGAGCGACGGCACGCTGTCGTCGGAAGATGCCGAGTCGATTGAGATTGCGACGAACTGCGTCGCCGAGAGCTTCAAGGTGGACCCGACCGACACGGCGGCCATGAGCGACGCGCTGGGCGGGCAGAACCTGCTGGCCATCTACAGCGTGTACGAGAAGCTAAAGGGCAAGAGCACGCCGTCGACTGAGGGGGGCAGCTCGGCGCGGGAGGCGCGGCCCAGCTCGCCGACGCTCAGCAGCGGCGGAGGAGTCGGAGGGGACAAGAAGGCCGAGGCCGAGAAGCTCAAGGGCCAGGGCAACGCCGCCATGCAGAAGAAGGACTACAACGCCGCCATTGCCCTGTACTCGCAGGCGCTTGACCTCGTCCCCCTCAACCCCATCTACCTCTCCAACCGCGCCGCCGCTTACTCGGGCGCCCTGCGCCACGAGGAGGCCCGCTCCGACGCCGAGATGGCCACCGCCGCCGACCCCAAGTACACCAAGGCGTGGTCGCGGCTGGGACTGGCGCGCTTCGCGCTCGGCGACGCCAAGGGCAGCATGGAGGCCTACAAGAAGGGCATCGACGCCGAGGGCAACGGCGGCTCCGACGCCATGAAGAGGGGTTACGAGACGGCGCGGCGGCGGGTGGAGGAGGAGGGCGGCTCGGTCGACTCGCCGCGCGCGACCTCGCCGCGTCCCGCCGGCGGCGCTGGTGCAGGCGGCATGCCCGACCTGTCGTCGCTGGCGTCGATGTTCGGTGGCGGTGGGGGAGGAGCTGGCGGCCAGAGCGGCCAGGGCGGTGGCATGCCCGACCTTTCGTCCATCATGCAGAACCCCATGATGCGCCAGATGGCGCAGAACCTCATGAGCAACCCCGACATGATGAACAACATCCTGGGCAACCCGCGCATGCGCGAGATGGCCGAGCGCTTTGGCGGCGGTGCCGGTGCCGGAGGTCAGGGTCAGGGCCAGGGCCAGGGCGGCTCCGGCGGCGGGATGCCCGACCTCAGCAGCTTGATGCAGGATCCTAGTATTGCCGAGATGTGAGTCTCTTTTCTATCTGTTTTTATGTATGAGCGAGCATTGCTAACGGTATATTTACAGGGCCAGGAATCTGATGGGTGGTGGTGGCGCAGGTGGTGCTGGTGCCGGCAGGGGACAGTAATGGACTGGCTGCAGGTGATGGGAGATGCGCGCGCGCATATACGCGCTCACTTGCCCATGAGAGTCCCACAGTCCCTTCTCTATCCGTCACTTCTACCGGTTGTCCAGGCTGCATCCTAGCCTTCTTACCTAGAAAGTTCTGAGAAGAGATACCTACCTGAACCACTCACCGTGCAAGTCAGGCAGGCAGAAAGGGAGGAAGGGAGGGTGTTTGCGTTTGCATCTGCATTTGCATTCTGCAACACACAAGCAGGTCACGAAAAAATCAAGGACGAACGAAGTCACAGAATACATGAGACCGGGGGGAAATTTTATTTTTTCTTTTCTTTTCTTAAACTCTTTGCTTTTTGCTTCCTTGCTTGCTTTGCTCTTCGTTGATCTCGTGAGGTTTTCTTCTCCTGTTGTTGCTGCAGCAGCAGCAGTTTTCTCGGATGGATGAGTGAGATGTAACTACCCTCCGAGCTATAGATGCGTGCATTCATTCATCCGTCTGTGTCTGTGGTGCGTGGCCGCCTCTCCGCCTAGGTATCCCACTCCGTGTCTGCGCGCATGTCTGTCTGGCCTCTGTGTGACTGACGTGCGTCCCCTTCAGCCCAGCCACAACAACAACAGCACCGCGCATCCAGTCCGCCTCTGCCACTCCCCCACCTACTCACTCCAAATGCATATTCCACAGCCCATCGCCCAAATAATGCCCCGCCTCCATGGCCACGCCCTTCTTCTTCTCCTTCATATCCTTCGTCCCCATCTTCAGCACACCCACCAAGCAAGCATGTTCCTTGCCCTCAGCCTCAACCACGACAACCGACCCCGCAGGCAGGTCCTGCGCGCCATACGCCTCGTCGTCGGCGGCGTTTCCGCTGGCGGGCAGCCGACCCCCCGGGGACGTGAGCCCCGGTGCCATCAGCGAGGCCCCGGACAGCACGAACCGGATCGCGCCGCGGTCGATCCGGATGCGCGGGAAGCAGGCGCTGTATTTGTGCACGAGGGTCAGGTGCGGCAGCAATGGGTCGTCCATGTGTTGGAAGAAGAGGGGCGTCCCGGCGAGGGTGTAGAGGGAGACGCGGTCGGGGCTGCGTGCGTGTGGGGGGGGCGACGTTAGCTTGTCTGTCTGTCTGCTGCTTTGGTTGTGCGTATGGTGGGGTGGTGGTGGTGCGACCGCCAGCCTACTGAGACCGCGGAAGCGGAAGCGGGGAAGAGCAAAAGGAAAGGAAAAGACAACGCAAAGAGGACAGCCTTACAGCTTCACCAGGTCCATCTGGTCCTTCTTCGGTATTATCGTGTCGATGTACGGCTCCAGCAGCGGGTACGTCTCGACGACCTTGGCGCGGATGCCGCGCTGCACCGACGACTTGACCTTTGTCTTCGCGCCGGCATGGATACTGCCCTACTGTCAGCAATTGCTCTGCTCTGCACTCTGCGCTCCACCAGCCCCGGCTTCGTCGCGCAATTGAGCGCGCTGCGCAGCAGCTCTGCTCTGCTCTGCTCTGCTCTTGTGGCCCCGCCGGCTCCGGCGAAAGCTGAGCGAAGCGAAGCACGAAGCGCGCGAAGCGAAGCACAAGCTGAAGCAGAAGCAAAAGGAAGGCAAACTCACTCCTTCTTGAACATGGCTGCGGTGTCGCGGTCTCGCGGGTCCTGGTTGTAGGTAGGCGGGGCTGCGAGAAAGGTGGAAAGTGGGAGAGAGGAGGGGTCGTCGGGCTAGGTGTGGATGCGAAGATCGGTGGCCGGGCGGCAAAGCCCCACGTTCCCTTCGATGTTCTGACGTCCCGCGCTTGGCTTTTTGGCGGGGTGGTCGTGTCTGGCCGCCGCGTGGGGCACGTCGTTGCTATCGGATATATTTATCTAGGTACTCAGGTACACACGCACGAGACTGGCAGCTGTCAGTGTCACGGTGTTGGGTTAGGCTGTCGGTCATTGATAAGAGAGAGCTGTTTTTCTTTCCTTTCACGCCGCACGCTGTCTCTAATGGTGCATTTCACCTTTCAAATCCGCCATCATCACCACTTCAACAAAACACACCAGTTTGCTTAATCTATGAGACACTTCATGCACCAAACCCACACACCACAGTCATGACCGTCGAATTAAACTCAGTCAGGACAAAGAAAGTTCTTTAGGTATCATGTACACGCGCGGAACAAACCCGAAAAACAAACAGCTCGGAAGAAATAAAAAAACAGAAAAAAGAAACTAATAGAGCCGCTTCCAGACGGTCGTCGCTGTCGTCTTCGTTGGTTCGTTGTGCTGCGCTTCCGCCCTTCCCCGACGCCGTCAAAATGCCCGCGAGAGCTCCGCGCTCCATGGAGCTCTGGAGATGTATGCCTCCCTACCCGTCCGCCGCCCAACGCCCTCTGAATGAAAGCCAAGGTGAAACGCGTGATTCAGAACTTCGGCCGCGTGAGCGAGAGAGCATCCTGTATGGTCGAGTGCAGCCCCCCGCTTCGCGCCGCTGGCTCGCTACTTCTGGCAATCATACCGCGCTTGATGCCCGCACCTGTCATGCCGATCGCAGCAAGGGCTGATGCAATCACAGCGGCTGGTTCGCTGCGAGCGTGCCTTCGTAGTCCACGCCCTCGATGTCGTCGTCTATGTCTTCCAGCTCGCCGTCGTCGTCTTCGTCTTCAAAGCCCACTTCAATCCTTGCCCTGCGGAGCCGGTCCTTCATCTCTTCCCTGCGTTCATTTTGCCAGCGCATCAAAGCCGCAGCAGAGTGCACGCGGAAGCCAAACACGCGCGGTTCGTAGCGGCGCTGCACCTTCGTGGGCAGCATCGCAGGGTACACCTGGAACAGGATGTTGTGGAAGGAGGTGCCGAAGTAGGCGCCGTCGATAGATGCGTGCCGCGACGACTTAGGGTTGTAGAGGTCTTCGCATCGCGCGCAGTACAGCTTGACAGGGGATGTGTTGGGGATGTCAGATTGGCCCATGGGCAACAGCGGCTGCGCATCGCACATCACACGCGGGCATTTGCCAAAGTCCGCCTTCTTAAACTTTTCGAGCTGGTAGACTGTCAGTTGTGATCCTCTTTCGTTTTGATGGTGGCCGTACCATCTTGGCCAAACCCCTCGTGGTGACAATATAACGGGCGTGCACTAGGCCGTACAGATGTCTTGCCGACTTCTCGATCGCTTCCCGCATGTCATCGTCGCAGTCAAGGTCGAAAACGTCCGTAACGAGATCGAGCGCATATTGGTAATATTGGACTTCGGTGTTCAGGCCCGTCAGATTGAAACGATCGGTGAGATATTCCTCGTCGATTTCGCAAAAGTACTCGTTGCCGCGTGAGGATATAAACTGTTGGTGCCCAATGTTAGCAGGTGTCTCAGAATTCTGCACCGTGCTGTCACGAGCCCCCTCGATATTCCAGTCGCCAATTCCCATGCAGTATGAGTCTCTGATGAGGTTTTCGTCCGCTGAGATCCCATAATCCGATGCTTCTGTGCTGGACTCGCTGCAAGACGTATGGCCGCCCAAAAATACGGGATCTTTGGTTCTCCTCTGATCCAACTGCACCAAAGCCAACGAGTTCTGACCCGCGCGCTCGAACCGGTTCATCCGCTCCGAATCAGTCTCCAAGGAGTCATGGATACGCGCGGTTTCTTCGTCATCCCTCACGCAAGCTTTCTTGCTTGGCGTCGCAAGAGGCATCGGCGGCCGTTCGTGCATCGCGTCCGTGGACCTCGGAGGCTGTTCGTTTACCGGCATAGGTACAGGCCGTATGGGAGCGGAAGGATCATTGGAGTCGGGCGTGCCGGACGGGGTTCGCGAGAGGTCAAGCTTTCCAAGCGGCAGGTCTTAAGGCAGCATCCGCGGCAGCGCAGGCAGGCACGGGCCGGCGAGCACAAAGCTCAAAGAGGCATCCGACCACAAGGAGAGAGAAGAAAGGCAATAAAATGCACCTACCCAATCGCGCCAGTAGCTTGTATAGTCGCTATCCGTCTCGCTGTTGAAATCGTCCATTCTCACTGCCCAATCCACGATTGCTGATTTTGAGGTGAAACGGTTTGAAAGGTGAGAAGCAGCGATCGAGCTTGTGGCGGCGTGATGTGTATTGAAAGCGAAGAGCGTGCGGAAATTGCGAGGCTGTTGGTTGACAGTTGGGCGGATACGGCTGGTTGGTGCTATGGCAGAAGGCGCGGGTGAAGTGGGATGTCGATCCTTGCCCTGGCGAGATCCCGAAGGTCTTGGCACGCCAAACCGCCAACTCAACACCACGGCCCTGCTATCACCAACTTCACCCACTCTCTGTTCCCAAAAGTCGACGCTCCTCATTTTGGCTTGGCTGGCTACGCTAGCGCCGATGAGGGCATGTTGTACGATCATTAAGAGCAGAGCGACATGTACTACTCATCCTTCATTGCGAACTGTATCACCATACTAGAAGAATTGTCTCATTTCATTGTACCACGTCAACCATAGCAGACAAAGGTCTTCAGATCCAGCACGTTGATGTTGACCCTTCACCTCTTTCTATACGTTTATGACAATGTTGCAGACAAGTACCTTATAGACACCTTGGGGTAGAACCGGGCCATTGTCTCCGATGCGCCTACACTCTGTATACCAAGAGGAAACTCGCCATAAACATCATGAAGATACAGAGATATTCCAGGTTTTGGAGATCGTGACAAAAGATCTTCACGATCAACAGAAACACACGATACCCTAGACTGCTGATGTAGAGGATTGACGGCCATCAGACTGCTGGGACGGAGACGACGCTTGATCGGCTGGGTGCTCAATGGAAGCAATGCTGGAGGCTGAATCTATACACAAAATTGTTAGGTTGAGATGAAGTGGAGACATGAAAGTTGGTTTGTATTCAAGATATGGGACCGTGTTGACATTATGGAAAAAGATGCTGACCTGCGTCCGAGGCTGTCTGCTGCCAACGTCTGTATTGGTGCCAAACCAAGAGCAAGGTAGGAGGGCATGACACCACTAGAGCGACAATGGCAATGAGGGCCTCGTTTGATAAGGGCATTTCCGCAGGGTATGTGCCGGTCTGTGACCGTTGTTTTTGGGTGTGCAAATATGAAAAGGTAGAGCGTTAGGGGATGAAACCTCAAACCGCAGTTTAAGGAGAGGATGGGCTTTGTCTTGCCATGAAGAGCTTCGGAGGGCTAATACTTATGTCATTCTTTTGCGGCGGAGCAGGTTGGTTTCAATGCCAACCTCACTGAGTTTCCTACATGGGGATTCTGGTGATAGCGAATCGTTTGCTTCGATCCCTCGGCCGGACCGAGCGAGGCACTTTTCAAGGACGGTCTGCTAATCCCATCTCTTACGATTCCAGCAACTCGGTGCGGGATTCCGGTCACGACCAATGATATAGGTTCAAGCTGGAGGCTGTGCATCTGTAAATCATCGCGACAGCCTCCATGCAGAGATCGGCTGGGGGATTCTGGGCTCAGCAAATCAGAGATCATCCTGCACAAGGCTCGAAGCGAGAGACAGATAACGTGCCCCATCTCTTGTGTAACTGGGGATTCTGGTCGCAACCAATAATGGCTCGATACTTAAGGCTGCCGTGCAGCCTTGTCAGTAATCACTACACCGGTCAGCGGGGTTTTGGAGTGTGCGAATCAGCATCTCCTACAGCCCCTCCAGGTGGTTCAGCGCAACAAGGCTACTTAAAGCACTCCTTCGCCTTCGAAATTTCTTTCCTTGTCCACATCATTCATCAACGGCAGTGTTTGTCTCTTGATTTTTTCAACTCCCTCTAAACCGACCAAGCCGAAAGTATGGAGGCTCACAAAGAAACCATCCGTCGGCTGTACCTCAAGGAGGACAAGACGAAGAAGGAAGTAAAAGAAGCCATGGAATCCATGTACGGCTTCAAAGCAAGGTACGAAAGTTCAGCATTAATTCTACAGACGACATCGCTGACTTCAGCAGCGAAAAACAATACGAGCGACAATTCAAGAGATGGGGTTTCCGGAAAAACTTGAAGGCTGAGGAGTGGAAGTTTGTGTCGAGACGGCTTGAGAAGCGGAAAAGAGAGGGCAAGGAGACAGATTTGAAAATCGACGGCATCTTGGTCCCTAGGAAAAAGCTTCAAAAAGAGATCGACAGGAATTTTGAAACCGCCTTGGAGCGATATGATCCTCGTAAGAATTCTTTTGCATCAGGGATAATTGCGGCGCTGACTTCGAACAACCAGAAAAACATCGACTGAGCCAAACCCCAGATGGCCTGGCTATTTGCACGCCTCCTGCACTTCATTTTGTTGGTCTTCAGTACGATAACCTACCCTTTTTCGGATTTCGGCGCGCGTTTGAGGCTCAAGGTAATACTCTTAATCCCCTCCAGGCTAGAAAATTTGCAGATCATTCAAACTGATGTTTTGGAAGCTGGGAACTTCCGACGCCTGATGACAACAAACATTTTCGACCTGAAAAATATTGTAAGAGCAACATCAAGAAACTCATGGAAAGTAAAGCAATTGGAAAACGCCGTCAACAGCCTAGCCCCGACGATGGTACCCAATGGCGGTCAGCTTCTTGCCGGTGGACCTTTTCGAGATAACAATACGACGGACCCTTTCGAGGCATTTTTGCTTGCTGCTGCACTCGCTTCCAACCGGATGGATGATGGACTTCATTATGTCGAACGCGACTCCTCGGGCAAATGGTTCCAAAATCGGCCATGGACGGAATTTCTTAACAACATCCGACCCCGGGTCACCGTGCCAAAGTTTAGCCAATTGTTTTCTCGCCAAGGTCCGGAATTGGAAGCTTTCGCCGAAATTTTGTTCAAAGAAGCGCTCCTGATTGGTAGTGTGCCGATGGTACGCATCCTGTTAGAGAATACACCATTAAATCCAAATTCTGTGCTGCCCGGTATCTTTAAATATTACCACCACAACGGATTGCCCCTGCAATTGGCCATCTCGAAGGGCGACGCGTCAATGATACGACTTCTCTTGGATCATGGCGCTGACCTGAACAGAGCTATCTGCCGCGACTCACTTTTATTACCAACAGCCATACGTGAACATTCTAGGGAGTTTCTGGACGCTTTATTGCCCTTTGTTGCGGACTTCAAGAACTACATGCCACGGTTTGCTGAACGTGGATACGTTGATTTGGTGCAATTAGTACTTAATCAAGGAGCGGATCCCAACCAGAGTTACCGGAATGAAACTCCTCTTGGGTGTGCTACAAAAGCCGGCAATATTGACATGATGAAGATTCTCATTGCCGCCGGAGCTGATATCCACGGACTCCACAATGTTGATACAAGGCCTCCATTATTCCTTGCGGCGATGTTCGATCAATTGGAGGCCACACATATGCTCTTGGAGATGGGTGCGGACATGAACATCACAGATGGCAACGGGTCTTCAGTCCTCCAGTTAGCTATGTGGTACGGTCATATGGATATTGCAGCCCTACTTTTAAACAAAGGTGCATATCCGGAAGTTGTTTGCTACAACGGCATGCATATCAACGTGCACGCTTGGGGGCTTCCCACGCCGCTCCAAATTGCAGCAAATTCTGGACATCTCGGAATGGTATCCTCGCTTTTAGAGCACGGCGCAGATCCGAATGCCATTCAAATGCATGAAATATCCCTTGGTGATAAGAGGAAGAGCCCTCTTCTACTGGCAGTTCAGGTGCAACCAAGCCATGCTACTCCGACAGACAAATTGTCAATGGTCAAGTTGCTGTTGGAAGCTGGAGCAACAGTCAACTTTCCTTACATCGACGGCAAAGATCCCACCACGCCGGTTATTGAAGCAATGAGATATAATCATCAGCCAATCCTGGACCTACTTTTGGCCTTTGGCGCAGTTTATTCCATCCCTTCTCCAAGGTTTCCTGGCACATGTATCAGCGCACTAGTATATGCTGCTCGAATGGGGGACATGGCCACAGTCAAACGACTTCACGATGCTGGAGAAGACGTTAATGCTTTGAGTCCTGAAGGGAAAACACCACTAGCTGCTGCTATTCAGGGAATTGGAGACCACGGGGACCACTCTGTTGCTTTCTATCTTTTGTCCACAGGGGCAGATATAAACCATCCTTGTGCGGTGCCTTCAGCATTAGAGGCCGCTATTAGCCAAAATGACGACAAACTGGTTGATTCTCTGCTTGAGAATGGGGCACGGCTAGACGATCCTTCTGCGCTTTGTGAAGCCGCTCGCTTGGGGAGCTATTCACTGGTGAAACGACTGATGCACGACACTCTGGATTACGAAACCACCGAAAGCCGATGGTATAGACCATGTTACGGACATGCAGCACTCTGCAATGCAGTCAGTAACCGTGATGCCAACATGGTACAGCTCATCCTTGACGGCGGCGTCGACCCCACTGCCCCTTGTCTGACTAAGGCGCTTGAAATATGCTGTACCGATGAGAGCGGCTTGCCATTACTGCGCATCCTTCTCACCGCAGGTACGCCGGTTGATATCTCGTGCATTTGCAAGCGCGGAAAACGCGCTCCCGAGCTTCTGGGAGAAAATGACGACTGGCCGGATTCTCCGCTGCAATATGCTGCAAATGCGAGACAGCATGATATCGTTCGGCTTCTTATAGCCAATGGAGCGAACGTCAACTACAACGGTCATTCACGTGGATCACGTCCAGCGCTCGAATCTGCGATATACAACAACGATACTGAAATGGTCGAAATCCTCCTACAGTCTGGTGCAAGCTTGAAAACATTCCTTCAGGCTGCAATTGACACGGGATCTCTCGAAATTATTGATCGTCTCCTTGAAGCTGGGGCAGATGTTAACGCAACTTCAACTAAATATTATTGTACCGCTCTAGAAATGGCAATAACCCAAAACGAAACTGAAATTGTCACGCGGCTCCTTGAAGCCGGGGCAGATGCCAACACTTTTATGGAAGAATCATCAACTACCGCTCTCGGCGAAGCAGCAAGCTGGGGATTTGTCGAAATCATGATCAAGCTCCTCGAAGCTGAAGCGGACGTCAACGCTCATTGCGATTGCTATTACGGACAGACGGCACTCCAAGCCGCAGCATTTGGAGGATCTCCCGAAGCCGTCATTAAGCTCCTTGACGCCGGGGCAAATGTCAACGCACCACCAGCAGAAAAGTGTGGTGTCACCGCTCTCCAAGCAGCAGCGCGTAATGGGTATCTCACAATCGCCATCAAGCTCCTCGAAACCGACGCAGACGTCAATGCTCCTGGCGCAGAAGAGGAGGGAAGGACGGCGCTCGAAGGTGCTGCGGAACATGGAAGAATCGACATGGTACAGCTCCTTCTCAATGCTGGTGCGGAGGTGAAGGGGACCGAATTCGGCGAAAGGCAGTACGAAAATGCGGTAGGGCTGGCAAAGAAAGAGGGCCACAACGCCTTATCAAGGCTTATTCAACGACACCGCAAGAGCTTGGACTGATCACATTCTTGCTCCTGGATAGGCCACTGGACCATGCGGAACCGGTTGGCTTCTACCCCACAACACACGGTTTTCATCGATCACTCCTTTTGTACAGACGATAAAAAAGAAAATCTCCAGGACAACAAGGGGGTAATCCAGCAACCTACGAAAAGGCACACTTCTGCCAATATCCCTCGCACAGCGCAGACAAATGCCCGGACATACAAGAATCTACTCACTATTGCCATGGTCACGGCTGACTCATGAAGAGGATTCGATTAATCCATTAGAGTGGAACGGTATAAAAGTGCTTTTTTTTAAGAAACGAAAACTGAAAGCTCTTATGACGGTTCTCCTTGTTTTCAAATTTTAGCCAGACGTTTAATGGTCAGGAGTTAGGAGTTGGGTTGGCGTTGACTGGTTTGAGTTGCTTTGAAGCGATGACTTACAGTTCCCTCTAATCTGTTGATGCAATGAGCATGTCTTTCCATTCTCACTTCCAATATCATAATAATAAATCCATCGTCTACTAAAGAATACCTTATAAATCGTTTCTTGAGTTAAATTCACACTACTTAATTAGAGCACCAGAAACGCTACCTATCTCTTAGTATAAGTTCTCGTCTACTACAAAAAGCCTCTATAAATACCCCGCTATCCTTTAAATACACACGCATCCCTACTCCCTCGCCTACCTACTCTCCAGCACCCCAGCACAACCCCCAACTCGACCCGGCCCACCGGCACGGCTCGGCACGGCACGGCACGGCAACCGGCACAGCCAGGCCCATTCGAGACAGCACCAGTGACCTGGCAGCTTCGTCACCACCACTAGCAGCTCAGACACGGCCTACCAACCTACTCCTATTCCACCCCTCCACGGATCACGGCACCCAAATTACAGTGTGGAGCAGGGGGCGAGTGTGGCGCTGGTCCACCACAGCGTTGCACGTGGCCGCGCATTCTAAGCTCATAGGCCCAGACGAGCGTACTAGGCATGTGCGTGGTAAGTGCGAGCCTTACGATCGTCGCCGTGTGCGTGGCCGATAACCCGGATGCGCACATGCGGTGTGCGTGGCGCGTGCCGGGTCCCGGGTCGGTGGGAGCGTGGGTGTGGTGGTGTAAAGATACGGGATTGTGACGGGTAAAACTGGGTTTTATAGGCGGTGGTGTGGAGACTGGGGAGGGTAGTAGAGTTAGCGTGGTTTGGTGTGTTTATTTATACTGTGCTGGGCCCCATCTAGAGTATAAACGTTGAAGTCTTGAAGAACCGCTCCGCGGCACCAACACAACCAACACTGCAGTGAGCGACTCGCAAAGCGAACGAAGACAAAGCAGCCTGTACAAGTTGCCCTCAGTCGCGGTTCTTATACCGCAAAATAAGGATCCGCTTTCCTCCCTCCCAACCCACCTCGCTCCATAGCACTAGCTTCTCGCTGCGCTCAAACTGCAAACACAAACACTCATCAGATCTCCTTCCATAGTCACAAACACTTCTACTCACACCCCACTCCCTCATTATCAGTCACGCATCCACACAGCATCTCCAACCAACCCCACATTTCCCATCCAAAACCGCACACGAACGCATTCAAGTTATTCTATTCTTATATTTATTAAACTACGCCGCCCCTCCACAGGTAGGTAGGTAGGTGGCTCGGCTGCCACCACACCCATCGAACGAGGCAAGCTTACCGTACATACATATATCTACTACGAAGGACCCAGACAGCGTACAAAGACAGTCAGGGGCGCCACAGCCGTTGCCAAAGACCGTAGCTGCTACCCATGTAGCAGGCGAGGCAAAGTCTAAAAAATGCTGACAGCCCGCTACACGCGCGCACGCTGTGGCACCCTGGTACCAGAAGCTTGACCGTACAAAGCCCAAGCATCTTGCTACTAACCTGTTGTTGTTTTTGTCTACACACAGCGCAACCCCGCCGGGACACGAGCACGCAAAATCAGACACGCAGAATCAGACGCGCAAAGTCCCGGATACGTGGTGGACCATGCGCGCAGACTCCACTAACAATCAGTGTCGACTTGGCAAGCCTGCCCAATCACGTCCCGCGACGTGAGTGTCACTGCTGTCCAGAGGCTGAGGTCCCAGAGGCGCCATCCTCAGCCACTTTCGGCGCCGCACCAGCGTCCGCACTGTTCACCATCGTATCCGTGCCAGCGTAAGCGCTGACGTCGACGGCGGCTGCGGCTGCGGGCGTAGCAGCAGAGGCTGGTAATCCCTCGACGCGCGGCCGCTCGGGCGTCATTTTCTTGCTGGGCGGGGTGAGGATGGTCGGGCTCGTGCTGGGTGCCAGCGGCGCGACCGGTGGCAGCACCGGCGTCTCCGAAATGTCATGGCTTCCCGTCGGCTTGGCGCTGTCGTGCTTCTCGGGCGAGATGCCCGTCGACGGCTCCGGCAGCAAGTCCGACGACGTGTCGACCGGCCTTTGCGACGGCGTCGAGTGCTGCTGCGGCGGCGAGGATGCCTGCTTCATGGGTGAGAAGGACGGCCGCTGCGCTGAAAGCGGCGGCTGGAATGAGGTGTTTGGGCTGGAAAAGGGCGCAGCTATGGGGTGACCATTCGGCTGGTAGGGTGACGAGAACGAGGGGGCCTTGACAGGAGAAGGGGCACCGTAGCCTGATGATGATGGTCGCTGGGGATCCATGGGCTCCTGTCCAGGCGCTTGGGGTGTAGGTCGGCTAGGGGATGGCGCGCCTTGGGGAAGGCCGTTCGAGTATGGCTGTCCATGATTAAAGGACGGAAGCGGGAACTGAGGTGCTCCAGACATAAATGGATTGGAGCCATATATGCCAGCGTTGGGTTGCGGCTTCGGAAGCACTGGTGTCGATTCGCCAAGAGTGGAGTGCGAACTGTAGCCAGAACTGCGGCGCTGAAGGCCTGGGGGACCGGAGGACTGACCATGCGGAGACAGGCTCGGCCCATTAAGCAGGCCGTTGGGTGACGGTTGAGTGCGTGGCGGGAAGTCGAAAGTCATTGCGAGACTAGGAGACGGCTTGGATGGTGAAGGAGCCACTGCAGAAGGCTTTGTTGGGGAACTGTCCCCATGTGACTTGGGCGAAGCCGAAGCGCCAATGCGAAGCTTGAGAGGAGGCAACTTAGGCTGGGCTGCTTCATCCGTCTTGTTGCTCTCTACCGACCCTTCTTTCTTCACCTCTGCGCTCTTTCGTTTGCAATCGCCGCAGACAAAATGGAAGTCGTCCCTTTCGGCTTGAGATTGTGCAATCCCATGACAGGCACTATGCTGCCATACATTACATTTCTCGCAAGCGATACTGTGCGTGCCATCGTCCTGCGATAAGTTAGTGGCAGACTGAGTGAGCGGCATGGAAGGCTTGTTTACAAGATTCTCCCCGTGGACGCCGCACACGCAGCAGTCGAAGACCCAGTTATCCTCCTCCTGAGCCATCTTCTCAAGCTCCTTCTGTCGCCTTGCCATCTCGGCCTTGAGGTGCCGCTCCGATAGCCGCGCTTCGTTGCTCTCAGCCCTACTCCGGTCTTCGAGCTTTTTCAGCTCTTCTTCGTGCAAGATGCGTCGGACTTCGCGTTCTTTCAAGCGCTGCTCACGCGTCATCATGCGGGACTCGCGGGCCTACATGTGGTCAACCTGATGAACATCAACTGGGAAAGGAATGAGTGCATACCTCCTCCATATTATGCTGTTTTTCTTGCTCCTTCTTCGCCATCTCCAGATCGGCAACGCGCTTCTTCTCAGCTTCTTCAGCCATTTGCAGCTCCTTTTGCTTCTCCATGCGGCCTGCAATCCGGCTTGAGCGCTTGGCGTGAGCGAGCTTTTCGAGGTTCTCCAGTTCCTTCTGTTTTCTCAGCGCCTTCGCCCGTTGTTGCTCGGCTCTCTTTTCGAGAACGGGCATAACATCGGCTTCCAAGCTCTTGACCAACGCCTTCTCATTGGGATCCCTGCTCCTCCGTATCGAGCTGACAAAGTTCTGATACTCCTCCAATGTCACCGCAATACATTCCCACTTATAGCCGCCAAATGTGTCGGGCTCGCTATTCTTTTCCTCCTTGACCGCGTCTTCCTCGTCTTCATCCTCCGCAGCGCTGTCTTGGGGCGGCGTCGAAAGCTTCCTGCGCTTGGTGCCTCGTGTCGGCTTTCCTTTCCTAGCTCTGGGCTTGGCCTTGGCTTTGGGCGCGGCAGGGAGCGGAGGGTCAGTGCGACGGTACAGGCGATCATCATCGAAGACAAAGTATGTGCGGTCCTCAGAATCCCAGCCGATGGGGTCAACGCGCTAGTAAGATGTCAGCGTGACCAAATGTGGTTGCATCGGTAGAGTCACCCACCCACTGAGTCTGCTCCGCGTCCTTTTCGGGCATGCGCTCACGGATGCGATCGGCATTGTTCAGGGTCCAGGTCGAGAGCTGGTGCAGCACTCGAATCTTGGTGAAAGTGTCAAAGTCGTCGAACTTTTTGGGGACCTCGTCGGTGCCGTAAGGGTTTCGGTGAGGAGCTTTTGCGACGAACTGGCGGCGGGTGTACTCGTCAAAGATCTCTAGCCTGGAGATGTATCAGTCGGGCTTCACCCATGGTCGCGGGCAAGACGACTCACGTCAATCCTCGATGCGACGAGACGAACTTGAGCAGAGCCAGGCCAATTTGCGCCAGCATCTCCGAGGGCGCGGGCTTGAGGCATTCGGCCTCGAACTCCTGTGGCCGAGTCAGCACGCGCTCTCCAAAAGGGCGGAGTGGTGGGGGGCGATCGTACGTCGATGTCAATGTCCTCGTCAATCTTCACCGCCGATCCGAAGATGTATATGTACTGCACGACGGAAGTATACTCCCACATGTTGCGCAGCTTCTCGAGCTTGGAGGGCTCGCGGGGCTCGGGCGGCTGCGGGGCATCGTCGCGGGCGCGCTTCCGTGCAGGCATGGTGATGGCGGGCAGCAGCGACGCGTTTGCGGCGACTCGGACGGGGGCCGGGGGTGTGCGCGCAGCAGCAGTCGGGGGCCGAAGACCTTCACGGGCCGGAGGGCGCGTGATGCGGGATAGCGATCAGGGCTTGGGCGATGGAGTCGGGATTGCGCGTGGGTTTGCGTGGGGTCGTTGTCAGGGTGGGTGTGACGGGGGAGTTTGGCAACAAAGGTCCAAGTCCAGAATAATTCCACAAGAGCACAGGCGGCCCATCGTCACGTCGCCGCAAAGACACGCTAGTGGCTTGGCAGCGCCGCCCTTGGAGCCCTTGCGGCTTATGAGACGGCTCACGGCACACGCTTGGCCAGGGCTGCGCTTCGACCCATTCCTACGCCAGTCGTCTTGATTCAGAAGAAGCCAGAATACGGGCTTGCGAAACAATACCCGACTTCACCGTCGGACGTGCCCGAGAGTAGGTCAAGCGGGGCGGCCAAAAATAGTGAGAGGGGGAGCTTGGATGTCAACTGTGGCTTGTCCCGGTCCCTGGGCGGCTGAAACCGCCTGCCTCGTATGCGCAATCGCCCGGGGCTACGTGCGATCGCCGCCAGCCAGAGACATTTCCACGCTACATCTCCCGCCAGCCCTGCCCTTCTTCTCTTCCTCAACTTATTTCGACCCGCCCTCCTGCCTCCTCCCCCGCCGTAAAGCCAGTCCCCGCCGCTAAGCCCGCCCGACCCAGACTGTCGTTTCCTCCTGAGCCTGACCCCGGCGCGCTGATCGCCCGTCCCACCAGCCCAACGCTCTTTACCCCAGATTCGAGCTGCCTTGGTCCCTCCTCGCGCGCGCCCCCCACTACAATCGCCCTCGACGCGCCCTGATGCCGCCTTGGCCTTGACCAACAGCTTAGAAAGGGCCGTCGTCTCGCAATGGCGGACCGCGAAGGAACCAGTCATGGACGGGATCAGTCCGCGCCGCAATCGATACCTCTGCAGGACCTCAGCCGGCCCCCTGATGCCAACGACGACCCTGCCGCGCGCGGCCTGCAACACCGGAGGACCATAAGCGACCGGACGAGGAGCTTGCTGGGCACTCGAGACTCGCGCAACGCCAGGTATGCGCCCATCGCCGAGAGAGATCCGGATGGCAGGCCGTCACCACCACAGCTGTCAACCCAGGATTACAGTGACACCGCACCGAATACCGTTGGAGGAGCCTCGTCGTACAGCCCAGTTGGAGATGCTGGCGCCTTCCAAGAAGCCATGGGCTTTGCGGGCTTGTCCTTTGGAAACAACTCTCAGTCCCGCCAACGCCCTACGATAACGACGAATACGAATCTGCGAAGCCCACCACCACCAATTCTCTTGACGCCAAACGATGACGATCCTTACGGTGACCCGTACCCCCGACAGAGCTCGGAACAAAGCCAGAGCTATTTCCCGGTCGACGACTCAGACACGGCGCGTTTGACTGACACTCGCCATCTTACTCCGATAAGTGGCGCCGAGCCCATGACGCCGATAGCCCAGACGGGTCGCTCCAGCTTCCAGAGCATACGTTTCCTGACGCCGGATCGAGCGTCCGTGTCGCCCAACGCACGGCTTGGCGATGACCTTCACCAAGCGGAAAACGGGCTTCGCATATCGACTCGTGGGCTCGGGCGCTCCGACACTTCCGATACTGCTGGCTCGCGGCATAGGTCATTGTCGCCTTCCTCGGCCGGATCGCCTCTGCGGAGGGCAGGAACAATGATGAGGAACATCTCTCAGCGTGTTGTTAACTTGAGTAACGAGTCCGAGCTCATCGAACAAAGCATCCGCAGAAAGTCCTCCATTAGGAAGGACGAGCCCGAGCCTTCGCCGCAACTGCGACCAGGCAGCCCAGGACTTTTTGGCCTCGATGTTCCGCCCGGGTCTCCCGCTCTTTCTTTCGCGCCGGGATCGCCGCTCGAAAAGCTCCCTTCGCCCCTCTCGGCCAGCCGGCCCTTCAACTGGAAGATGCAGGCCAATCCCTTGAAGGGCAAGTCTTTGGGAGTCTTCCCACCGGACAGCTCCATTAGGATGAGGCTGTGCGATGTATTGACGCATCCAGCCACGGAGCCGGTGCTCCTGGTGCTAATCATCATGCAAATAATCCTTCTGACGATCGATTCGGCTCGCAATGTTTTCGATTACCCTCGATCGCCCCACTGGGGGGATACCTGGATCGACTACGGTCTTTTGGGCCTGTTCGTGGTATACACCATCGAAACCATCATTCGTATAATCGTGTCTGGTTTCTTCTTCAATCCCATTGAATACAGCACGATAAATCGCCAACTCGGCGTTCGGCAAGCGTTGATCAACAAAGGAAAGTCGCTCTTTACCTCGCCCCAACGCCAGCCGTCGGTGAAGCGCGTGGGGTCTACCTTCCCTCCAGAGCAGCCGTCGATCATTAGGTCTTTCACCACCACCACGCTAGATCCAGGAGACCCGGCCAACTTCCGCCAACAGCAGCGTATAAGACTCTCACATCGAGCTTTCCTGCGTCATTCGTTTAACCGATTGGATTTTGTCGCGGTGGTGTCGTTCTGGATAAGTTTCGTCATTGGAGTATTCGGCGTCGAATCTTCCCATCATGCCTACGTATTCCGGATGCTGAGCTGCTTGCGGATTCTTAGACTCCTTGGTCTGACCAGTGGCACAACGGTATGCATGTTCTCGCAGTTGTTGAATTACTCGACTCACATGTTTTACAGGTAATTCTTCGAAGTTTGAAAAGGGCTGCTCCTTTGCTGGTAAACGTTGGGTTCCTCATAGGCTTCTTCTGGCTCCTGTTCGGAATCGTAGGTGTCCAAAGCTTCAAATCGAGTTTCAGACGCACCTGTGTCTGGGTCGATCCAGAAGGCAAGCAAGACAATTACACGAGCGATCAGTTTTGTGGAGGTTATCTCGATCAGTCTGGCAACCAAATGCCCTGGATTACAGCGGACGGAGTACCTGGCGCGGAGAAGCACAAGGGATACTTATGCCCTGTAAACTCCTATTGCGTCGAGGGAGACAGCCCTCATAACGGCACACAGAGTTTCGACAACATCTTCCAATCTCTAGAGCTCGTCTTTATCATCATGACCTCTAACACGTTTTCGGATTTAATGTACAGTGTTGCCGATAGCGACTATCTCGCTGCCTGCATTTACTTTGCATTTGGCATCGTTATCATGGCCTTGTGGCTTCTCAACTTGCTTATCGCTGTCATTACCTCCTCGTTCCAGGTCATCCGCGACGAGAGTAAGACTAGTGCTTTCACCGCTCAAGTGGTGGATGGAGCCCCTGATGAGAACGAACAAAATGCGGCTCCGGCCAAGAAAGAGAGCACCATTCTGCGCGGCTACAAAACGACCGGCTGGTTCTGGTTGCTTGTCATCACTTACGGCCTGATCTGCCAGGCGTTGCGGAGCGCCGAGATGAGTGAACGACGCTCGACTTTCATTGGTAGGCCATCATTTCCTTGGAGCGATTCAATTGATATGTCAACTGATATTTTCAGACCGCTCCGAAACAATTGTAACTCTCGCTCTTCTTTTTGAGATCATCCTTCGCTTTGTTGCCGATTGGAGGCATTTCCATCGCAGTCGAAGGAACATGTTCGACTTGGGGCTTGCTATCATCACCACCGTTATCCAGCTCCCCTCTGTCAAGGCAAATGAAAACGCTTATGCCTGGTTGACGGTTTTTCAAATCCTCCGAATCTACCGCATCGTCTTGGCCTGGTCGATAACGCGTGAGCTTACCGTAAGTTTTCTTCCTATCTTTCATAGCCGCCAATTTCTAACTTCTGCAGATGACTGTTTTGGGAAATGTCACCGGTCTGCTAAACCTTATTCTCTTCGTGTTCCTCTTGACGTACCTTGCGGCGATCTTCGCCGCACAAATATTTCGTGGCGAACTCCCCAGAGAGGCGGACGGTGAAGTTCTCGAAGTCTCATTTTTCAACATTTTCAACGCGTTTCTAGGAATGTACCAGTGTTTGTCGAGTGAAAATTGGACCGACATTCTCTACAACGTCACGAGTTACGAAGTCGCTTACAACACCGGCTGGATTGGGGCGGCGTTCCTGATCATTTGGTACATTCTCGCCAACTTCATCGTCCTGAACATGTTCATTGCTGTCATTCAGGAAAGTTTTGATGTCTCCGAAGATGAGAAGCGCCTGCAACAAGTCAAGGCCTTTTTGCATCAGAAAGAAATAGGCGGGGCCGGTTCTGGTAATCTCTCGTTGTCGACCATCTTCAAACTCGGACAAGCGGCCAGTCGCCGTAAAGACCCTCTCGACTACGGTACAGCTGCCACGGAAATGCTTCTTAAAGACGCGGTCGTTCGAGATTTCCTTGACGAGCCAGAGCAGCCGCTTCTTGCGGGCGGGGAGCATGGTCACGCAGAGGCGCACGCAGCAAACCAAGCAGGCACCGTCAAAACAGGCGTGTGGTCCAGACTTTGGAGCCATTTTCTTCGCAGAGTCTGGCACAGAGAACCTAATCCCTTCTACGCTCGACTGGAATTTTCAAAGGCATATGAGGACCTCGATCCGCGTGAGATGGCCAAGGAAGTCGTATCGGCGACCGAGCGCCGGAAGAAGGCTCAACGGGACTACCTGCGAAAGTACCCCTCTTACAACGTCTCTCTGTTCTTGTTCAAGCCGCACAACCCCATAAGGAAATTGTGTCAACGCTTTGTTGGCCCTGGACGTGGCGATGAACGGATTGAAGGTGTGGCTCCTTCAATTCCTATCTGGTACGCATTTTCTGCTTTCATCTATGCGGCCATTGTCGCCATGGTGTTGCTTGCTTGTGTCGCAACACCCGTCTACCAGAAAGAGTATTTCAAGACCCACGACTACACTGTCTACAACTGGTTCGTCTACACGGATTTGGCATTTGCCCTGGTGTTCACAACCGAAGCGCTCATCAAGGTCATTGCGGATGGCTTCTTCTGGACTCCCAACGCGTACTTTCGGAGTTCCTGGGGATTTATCGACGGTGTCGTGCTCATCACCCTTTGGATCGACGTTATAACTCTGCTGTACAACGAAGGAGACGTCTCGAGAGCCGTCGGAGCGTTCAAGGCCCTGAGGGCGCTGAGGCTGCTGAACGTAAGTGACAGTGCGCGAAACACCTTCCACCATGTCATTATCCGTGGCGGTTGGAAGGTCCTTTCGGCTGCATTCGTCTCGCTTAGTTTCCTCATTCCTTTTGCCATTTATGGCGTGAACCTCTTCAACGGCCGAATGCAATCGTGCAATGACGGCGACTCCGGAATCTTCGACCTTTCCGATTGCACTGGCGAGTATATGTCTTCGCCGTTCGATTGGGATGTTCTGGCGCCCCGAGTGGCTTCCAATCCCTTTTACGACTTTGACAATTTCGGCGACTCGCTCTTCATCCTTTTCCAGATTGTGTCGCAAGAAGGTTGGATCAGCGTCATGTGGTCCGCTCAAAGTATCACTGGTGTTTTTACGCAGCCTGAGCCGTTCGCCGCGCAAGGAAACGCAGTCTTCTTCGTTGTTTTCAACTTGCTCGGCGCCGTCTTCGTCTTGACGCTTTTCGTATCCGTCTTCATGCGCAACTACACTGAACAGACCGGAGTCGCATATCTGACCACAGATCAGCGTTCGTGGCTTGAATTGCGGAAGCTTCTTCGTCAGATTTCTCCATCGAAGAGGCCATCGTCAACGAAGAAGCGCGAGACATGGGAGGAGTGGTGCTATCGCCGAGCAGTGAGGAAGACCGGTAGGTGGCAGAGGTTCATAACGCTCGCACTCTGCTTCCACTTGCTTCTTCTCTGCCTGGAGTGGTACCCTGAGCCGTGGGAGTTCAGCCGAACACGAGGTGAGCGAGTTGCCCTAAATGACATGAACCACCTGAAGTTAATCAGATCTAGATTACGTATTCCTGTGCTTGACGCTGTTGTACATGAGCAATATCGCGATCCGCATCATTGGCTTGTCCTGGATGCGGTTCACGAGGAGCTCGTGGGACGTGTACTCCCTGTTCTCCGTCTCCGGCACGTTCGTCACCACAGTCCTGCTCCTGACAAACTTCAATTCCAATGCCTACGTTTCACTGCACAAGCTGTGTCTTGTGTCGATCGCTCTCCTTTTGATCCCACGGAACAATCAGCTCGACCAGCTTTTCAAAACGGCGGCAGCGTCAGTGGGTTCCATTGCCAACTTGCTGGCAACATGGTTCGTGTTGTTCCTTGTATACGCCATCGCGTTGACGCAGACGTTCAGTCTGACGCGCTTCGGTGAGAACGAGACGAACAACGTCAACTTCCGCACTGTGCCCAAGGCGCTCCTCTTTCTGTTCAAGATGAGTAGTGGTGAAGGCTGGAACGAAAACATGGAAGACTTTGCCAACATCGTGCCGCCGTTCTGCGTCGTGGGCGAGGAGTTCTATGACGGCGACTGCGGCAGCGCGGAGTGGGCTCGGTGCCTGTTCATCTCATGGAACGTGCTGAGCATGTATATTTTCATGAACCTGTTCGTGTCGCTGATCTACGAGTCCTTCTCGTACGTGTATCAGCGCAGTAGCGGTCTCTCCGTCATTAGCCGCGAGGAGATTCGTAGATTCAAGCAGGCATGGGCCGAATTCGATCCGCACGGCTCGGGCTACATTCCTCGGGAGAAACTGCCACGGCTGCTTGGAGTAAGTATTATAACAATGATTGTTAAGGCGTCGCTAACATCACGCAGGAACTTTCGGGTGTGTTTGAGATGCGCATTTACGATGGCGACTTTACAATCAGCAGGATCATCGAGGACTGCAGCAAGCCACCGCGGTCGTCGAGCCTGCCCGTCAATGGTGCAAAGGAGACGCCCGAGATCGACCTGGCCCTGCTCAACGAGCGACTCTCCCTCTTGCCGGTCGAGGAGATTCAGATGAGAAGAGAACGCATGAATGTCTTTTACGAAGAGATGCTGGTCGGCAGTGACCCCGACAAGGGTATCCAGTTCACGTCGCTCCTAATGACGCTGGCTCACTACAAGGTCATAAACGACAGCAAGAGCTTGCGGTACGTTTGCACCTCCTTTCCCTCGACTGACAGCACTGACACGTGGCAGACTGGAAGAATTCTTGCGTCGGCGTGCCCGACTGCAACGCGTCGAAGAGGCCGTCCGGCGCAACGTCGTGGTTGGATTCTTCGACACGTTGTACTGGTCGCGCCGCTTCCGCCGCGCTCTCGAGGCCAAGCGTGCGGGCCGGATGACGGCGGTGCCGCAGTTCGAGTTCACGGTGGTCGACGACCAGGACATTACGAGCGCACGGGAGCGTGGGGAGATGTACCTGCCGTCCCCGACGTTCGCGCCCAGCTTGGCGTCGTCGATCGACATCACATTGACGAGCTACGACGAGTTCCGCAATGCGGCGCGGTCGCGGTCGCCGTCACCGCCTGGATCGCCATTCGCCGAGGGCCTGCGCAGCCGAGCCAACAGCATCCAGATGACACCAGTGGCGAGCCAGGCCAACAGCATCCAGGTGTCGCCAATGCAATCACCGCTCAACAGCCCGACATTGACGCCGATGCGGGCGACTGGCGACAGCACGACGATGGAGAGTTTGTTCGCGGCGGAGCTGAGCCGGCCTCCAAGCCCGCTGGAGCGGTCGTCGATGGCGCGGTCGACGTCGATAGCGCAGTCGATTGGAGCGCGGTCGTCGGGATTGGCGCGGGCCAACACGGACTCGGAGGCGCAAGACACGGTATCTGGGTTGCGCGGAGCAGGCCCATCGACGTCGGCGGGCGAGCGTGCGGCGCCGCGTCGCAGCCGTCGGCACAGCAGCGTGTCGGCGCAGGACGTACTGGACGTGCTGGACAACTCGATCTGGGGCGAGAGTATCCGGCGCAGCTTCACGGTCAAACGGTCGCCGCGGTGATGGGGAGAATTTTTCTTTGTTTGATTACTCTACTTAATCTAGAAGGAAGAATGAGAAAAGGGCGGCGTCGGGAGATGAGGTGCGCGCGTGGGTCGCGTGGGGATGATCTAGGTAGAGCAGCGGCAGCACGCTGCATACTTTTGCTTTTTTGCATTTCCTTTTCTTTTCCTTTCTCTTCTCTTTTCCACCTGTTGCATGCGTGCAGGAGTTTTTTTGTTTTTTAGTAGTAGGCATTTACCACGGGACGGATGGAGAGAGATGGAGGGGGAGAAGCATAGCGACGGCGTTCATCTTCTTTGGCTGAGAGTCTTGGGGACTCTCTTGGCAGGCGGGGCGACTGGCTTGTTTTGTAGATGCAGCAATCCACGGTCGCCGCTTCCCCTCGCGTTGGCCTGCGACGTCGCTGCGTCGCACGCGGCCTAGCGCGTCTCAAGGCCCGGCAAATCCGCGACGCGCCTGAGACTCGAGGGGTCCGACGAGAGCCAAGTATAAACCAAGAGTGCCGCGTTGCCGTAGCTATTTCTATTGCTAACTACAGTGTCGTCGTCTTCTTCTTCGCCGTCGTCGTTGTCCAGGAGACACAAGACACACCACACACCACACACCACACACACCACGCACAACCACGACTATACACGAGCACCACACGCACCACACACCACACACACACGGGCGCACCACACGCACATACACTCACTCACCCTCACTCTCACCATTGTACTCTCCCTCTCCCCTCCCCCTCGTACCTACACCAATTTGCGCGCGGCCGGCCCCCGCAACAAAAAGTCCTCCATTCATCACTCCTACACACACCGCTTGAGCTGGCGGCGCGAACAGCACACCACACCGCACCACCCGTCCGCTGCTCCCTTGGACGGCGGCACCGCCCTCCGCACCGCGCTCCCTCTGCCGACCCCGGCCCCGGCCCGCCCCTCGAAGCAAACAAGATCCCCGCGGCCGCCCACCACCTGTTCTTAGGTGTGCGCCTCGCCTCGTTTCGCCGTTGTTCACCGTTCCTTCGTTGAAGCTTCGAGAAGCTGCTACCCTACTATCGCTGCTGTTTCGTTTTCGCCTTTCGCTACTCTTCCTCTCCGTAACTCGCTTGCGAATACTGCCGTCGTTTTTCTGCTGCCGCTGCTGCTGCTGCAATGCCTACCATGGCCACCGCCACCGCTACCGCTACCGCCGCCGACGCCGCCGTCGCCTCTACGGCTGCCGCGACGACGACGACGACGTCGATGAAGAAGACGCCGACTACGACGCCAATGACGACAAAGAATGCCACTACTACTACGCCCGCCGCATCCTCCGTCTTTTCACGCCCCTCGCTGCACCGTCTGCGGACTAGAGATCTGGCCGCGTCGTCGCGCGCCCGCTCCTCGCACGCCGCTGTCGCTGCCAGCGCAGCAACTGCTCCGGCCCCACACGCACCCCACTCCACGGGGCGCGACCCTGCTGCCGCCCCTCACCACCCTCACCACCACACTTCGACCCAGACGCAGACGCAGAGCTACGCCGACCAAGTCCAGCGGAGCAGCTATGCGGCTGTCTCGTCCTCATCCCTCGCGTCGTCCTCGTCTGACGAGCTCGTCTCGGACGCCTCGCCCTCGTCCTCGCCCGCCCGCTCCACGTGCACCTCCGCCACCAGCTACTCGGCGCACTACTGCGCGGCGCGGGCGTGGCCGCTGCCGCTGCCGCCGCTCGTAACGGCCGACGGCGTCGTCAGGCATCCGCGCACGTGCTCGGCGTCGTCAACGTCGTCGTGCGGCTCTATCGCCGCGGCGAGGGGCGCCGCCCTTGCGCCTCCTGCTCCTGTCTCTGCTTCTGCTTCTGCTTCTGCGACGTCCGCTGAGCCTACGGCTAAAACTCCGTCTACGCCTGCCTCCGCCTCCGCAGCAACGCTGCTCCCGGCCCCGCCCATGCCGCCGCTCCTGCGCCGCAAGCCAAGCCACCCACGACTGACGCCGTTCGCGGCCTTCAGTGCGGGATCCTCAGCCGGCGCAGCCGTGCCGTCGCCGTTCGAGAGCCCGACGTCGGTCGTGGAGCACGAGGACGCGGCGGCGGATGCGGAGGCCGAGGCCGAGGCGCAGCGGAAAGAGGCGAGTTTGCTGGAGTTGTTGGAGCCAAGGCCAGTGGGGCGTGCGGAGGCAAGGTTTGCGGGCATTGCGGAGGTGTTGGCTGGGGGGATGGGGGTCGGTGTGGGCGTATGTTTTTAGATGCGTGTGTGTGTGGTAATGGTCGTCGTTGTGTTGGTGTGAGGGGTTGTTGGTTGGTAGGTTTGTTACGTTATGTTCTTGGGTGATGGAGGCGCGCTCCCTCATCATCTTCATCATTCTTCTTCTGGTTGGGATGGTGCTTATATAGGGGGGTTTATTGGTTGGTTGGTTGGATGGATGATGGATGGATGAATGGATGGTTAGGAGGGATGGTCGGGATAGGGGAGGAAGGGTGGAGGGGGTTTTAGGGGTTGCTGCTCTGCTGTTGCTGGCCTTTCTTTGCATCTCTCTCCTTCTCTCTTCTCTTCTTCTTTCCCACCATCCGTCTTTCTATCCTTCCTTCCATTCCTTTCGATCAGCTGCGATTGATCGTTTGATGAATCGAACGGGATGAGATGGAATGGGATCACGCGACGCAGACGGGTCCCTGACGACGACGACGCGACGCGATATGCACGACGCCGACGACGACGACGACGACGTACGAACGGACGCACGTCTTTGATGTCGTGACGACGGACGTGCAGCTTATCGGTTTATCGGTTTAGCTATTTTATTGTTTATTTTTTTCCTCTCTCTCTTCCTCTCTCGCGTGCTCTTGGTTGCTTTTTCGGTTGCTCTTTGCGCTTTTCTTCTTGGGGGAAGAGAGACAGCTCTGCGCTTTTGAGTGGTGGGGTGGGTTGCTGCGTGGGTGGCTTGGGTCGCTCTTTGTGGGTTGTGCGAAGGCTGTGGTGGCTGGGGTGGTGCTGGTGCTGGTGCTGGTGCTGGGGTGGATGGGGAAGGCAGGGAAGGGACGGGGAGGGCGAAAGGGAAAGGTTGTGCGGCGGTGTGGTTGGCGTGGTCTGCGTGGACTGTGCTGTGTTGTGTGTGTGTGTGTGATGGACGAATGCTTAGAGGGGTGTGTGTGTGGATTGGGTGTATGAGATAAATTGATTGAGGATGGATGTTTGAGATTGATTGATTATCTACCTACCTACCTCCCTAGTTAGTGCGTTAGTTCGTTAGTTACTTAGTTCGGAACCGAGATTGAGCCTTTTGTGCTGTATTGCATGCGTTTATTCCTTTCTTCCTCTTATTCGTGAGGTTGTTCGTGAGGTTGTTCGTCTGTTTGTCTCTTGGTGGTTTAGTAGGTAGTGTAGTAATGCTACTTACGCACGCGTATATGTATGAATATATATATATATATCCTGGCGTTAAAGATAGAAGCGCAGTAGTTGCTACTTAGGTAGGTAGGTTTAGGATATATATATAGCGCCGATATAGAGGTTGCTGGTGATCTGTAGTGTCTATAGATCGTGCTACCGTGTAGTCGGAGGCGTTGGTGATGGTGATAACGGTGATGGTGGTGGTGGTGGTAGAGTGAGTAGAGAAATAGAGAAGAGAGGAGAGGAGAGGAATAGAGAGGTAGATGGACGCGCGGATCGACGCACGTAGCGATGGTATCGGGCTTATAGCCCTATGTATATACGCTTGTATATGTGGGAAATAGAAGTAGAGATAGAGATGGAGATAAAGATGGGTGTATATATCGTATGCTTTTTTTTAGGTGTTACACGCCTAGGTGTTCCGGTTCGAATGTCACTACTTATATCGGGAGTAGTATATATGTTCCTTATCGAATTTACTATATAGACTAAGAAGACTTGTTAGATTAGTCTCTGCTCGTCCTAGAAGCTGAAAAGGTAGCACAATGCAAAGAGAACTACGAGAAGAATACCGGTTGCGTCGGGAAGAGTGAGTAATTAACGGTATAGAATAGAGGATAGATTAAGATAGAGAGATTCATCGGTCGTGGTGTCTACCATAAACATAATATAACGGTAATAGACATCGGTATTTGCTGCTGATGCTGAACAACGTGTTAGGGCAATAGGGAGGGTGCTGGAGCATGCTGTGCCGGTTTCTGTATGGTTACTTTGTACTTAGTAACGCTAATATGCTCCGAGCCGAACTACCTATATGTAAAAGTATGTTCATCGTGCTTTCATCAACTGCTTTGGTAATTAGGTTGGGCGTTTGGCTTCTCTGTGGTGTGGCGGTCGTAGTCTTTATACCTGCTTCCTAGCTTGCGTTGCAGTCACTGACGTATATCTAACTTTGATATATCTTTAGGCTGTTGCTGAGTCAGTATGTATTCCATAGAGCCCTCTAAAATCTCTACAGCAAGTTAGTACGCCGCAACCTCTAACCTTGCTATCAACTATACTAAGTAGGTATATATACATACACCGCGCCTAAGCATATCCACTTACAGCACCTTCCAAGAAACAGCGACAGGAAATTAACCGCGAGTGAGGAGGGCGAGTTCACTGTTTACCAAAGATATCATCGTGAAGCTTCGAAGTCCCTTTTTTTCTTTGCCACGCCACCATTCTCAATCTCGACACCACCCCCATCCCCAACCCCTTTAAAAGCCCTCACCTCGCCCAACCTCTCTTCCTCATGTATACACTGCACTGCCCACCGCACGCATTTGGTACCTCTACATCATCCGCGGGAACACTAGACCAACTATATCCGGGCGGAGTTCACAAGAAAATGCTTCCTGCCATGATGCCGTGCCTAAAGCAGAAGCAGAAACATAATCAGAAAAGGAGGCAGAGGGGGAGGAGGAGATACCGACCACAGCTAAGCCATGGTAACTACCGGCACCACCATCTCTCAGCGCCGACGCACACCACCACCACACCAACCTCCCCCATCAACCCCCCAGCACCGACGCACACCATCCATCATCACAACCAACGACAACCCAGCACCAACCAGCCGCCCGGGCCTACCGCTTCACTTCGGCTATGACGCTCTGCGCCTTAACAGCTGCGCGTCTTAGCGAAGCTGCAAAGCATTTACTATGTTCTTCTGAAACCAGGAGAAGGGTTATAGGCACGCATGCAAGACCGGCTGCCTGCCCCGCCCTGTGTGAGCTCCGCTGCTTGCGCTGGCTGTTGGGGTGTTGGGGTCTACATACGTGGGTTTGGGTGTGTGGGCTTGAGATAAGTGGGTGGGTAGGTGGGTGTGTAGGTGGAGGGTTTGGTAGGTGGACACTGTCACAACACCACCCACCCAGGCTAAGCAAAACAACAAACGAACAAACTCATCACAACAACCAAAGCAGCACAACAAACAGCCGCCCTCATCACCATTGCCTTTCTACGACGCGCATACCTAAGGCACCTAGGCATCAAGACCAGCCTCTAGCATTTTCGCCTGCCCATCCACCTGCCCCAAAACACGGTACGCACACCCACGAAGCGCAAAGCGCAAAGCAAAGCGTGAACTGTGCGTGCGGTTGCGACGAGCTTGTTTGTTTGCTTGTTTGGTTGTGCGTAAAGAGCCCGAAGGAAAGGCATGGAAATGGAAGGAACTGGAAGGAAATGAAAGGAGAGGAAAGGCAAGGAAACGGAAGGAAAAGAAACGTGCTAAGAACGCCATTCGCCGTCGTGCTGGTTCCGTGCGGAGTGCTGCTGCGCCGCTTCGTGGTTTTGTGTGCTGCGAGGTGGGATGCGCGAACGGCTTGCTGTGCGCTGCGAGGGTTTGCTGCGTTTCGATATGCTCAGCTACGCTTCGATGGGCTCAGCTACGCTTCGATGGGCTCAGCTACGCTTCGATGGGCTCAGCTACGCTTCGCTGCGCAACCGCCACGCTTTTGCCATGCCATATCAGCCATGCCCGACCATGTATACACCGATCCATCCATCATGAAAATCGTCCCTCGTCCCACCGTGCGTAAAGCGTGAAGCAGTACCATCTCAACCGACGTGCCCCAGGCTCAAACAGCAGCAGCCGCCGCAGAAGCGCCCACACCACCGGGCACCCAATCAAAAGGATCCCCATACCGGCCCCGGACAGCGCGGTCCTTCTCAACGAGCCCCTCCTCCGCCTTGGCCCACTCGTCCTGCGCCTTCTTGTTCAGCCACGCCCAGCCCGGCGCGTCCGCCTCCCGGCTCCATGCGTACCCGGACGGGGCATGCACCTGTGTCTTTGCGGAGGCGGCAGAGGCGGTCGCCAGTATTCCCGCCGCGTTGCTGCCGGCTGAGGCGTCGGCCCATGCGCTGCCATTGTTGTTGTTGTTGTGGCTGCCGGCGGGGTAGACGCGCTTGCCGTTCGCGTTGATGGTCGCGTCCGCGTCTGCTGTTGCGGCACCACGCGGCGAGCCGGTCGCTGCGGCCGTTGCGGCGGCCGTGGCTGCGCGTGCTGCTGCGCCCTGCGAGTCGGGCGGGCTGAGCTCGGCGGCGGCGGCGCGCAGGGTCGGCGTCGTGGGGTCTGCTCCTGCGGTGCTGCCGTTGTTGTTGTTCGAGCCACTGGCCGCCGTGACGATGCTGGCGCCCGTGTTGGCAATGTTGCCGCTGGTGGGAGGCAGGACGTCGTCGGCGCCCGGGAAGAGGTCGTCCGACGCGGCGTCGTTGGCGCCGGAGCTGCCGGGCGAGGAGTGCATGGTCGAGTCGCCGTCTTGGTCTTCTTGAGAGTGTGTGCGTGAGCGCTTGGTCGGTCGGGGGTTGTGGGCGTGGTTGTGGTTGTGGAGTGAGGTGGAGGAGGAGGAAGAGGCAGTGTTGGTGGAAGAGGTGTTTGCAGTGTTGGAGCTCATGCTCGTGTTGGAATGATTATTACCGGACATGATTGCTTGTGGTTGACTGCGTTTTTGTAGGCGGATCGCGATGGGCGCGGGATGGGGAGCGACCGTGCGTGTGTCGATGCTGGAGCGGAGGAGAGAGTGACGTTGGTCTAGCGCGTCGGCTCACCTGCTCTATCCGCAGAGCAATAACCTAGAAACTATACACCGTTGTGCCGTGGTGACTGACTCGCGTCTTGGCACGCGGCCGGTGTTTTTGCTTGAGCTTCGACTTGCGGCATCAACCTACACCTCCGCCGCCGCAACATCGCGTCCACCTCTCCCCACCGCCGCCATGGAGTCCTCACGCGGCCCCCCGCGGGTCAAGAACAAGCAGGCCGCGCCTGTCCAGATCAGCGCCGAGCAGCTGCTGCGCGAAGCCGTCGACCGCCAGGAACCCGGCGTGCAGGCGCCCACGCAGCGCTTCGCCGACCTCGAGGAGCTGCACGAGTTCCAGGGCCGCAAGCGCAAGGAGTTCGAAGACTATGTCCGCCGCAACCGCATCAACATGAACAACTGGATGCGCTATGCCCAGTGGGAAATCGAGCAGAAGGAGTACCGGCGCGCGCGCTCCATCTTTGAGCGAGCCCTGGATGTCGACTCGACCAGCGTCGTGCTGTGGGTGCGCTACATCGAGGCCGAGATGAAGACGCGCAACATCAACCATGCCCGGAACCTGCTGGACCGCGCCGTCACCATCCTGCCGCGCATCGACAAGCTGTGGTACAAATATGCCTACATGGAGGAGACGCTGGGCAACATCCCCGGCACCCGCCAGGTCTTTGAGCGCTGGATGTCCTGGGAGCCGGACGAGAATGCCTGGAGCGCCTACATCAAGCTCGAGAAGCGCTACAGCGAGTACGAGCGCGCGCGCGCCATCTTCGAGCGCTTCTGCCATGTCCACCCGGAGCCGCGCAACTGGATCAAGTGGGCGCGCTTCGAGGAGGAATTCGGCACGAGCGACTTGGTTCGCGAGGTTTTCGGCCAGGCCGTCGAGACGCTGGGCGAGGAGTTCATGGACGAGAAGCTCTTCATGGCATACGCGAGGTTCGAGGCACGGCTGAAGGAGTTTGAGCGCGCCAGGGCCATCTACAAGTACGCCTTGGACCGCATGCCCCGCTCAAAGTCGGTCAACCTGCACAAGGCCTACACGACGTTTGAGAAGCAGTTTGGCGATCGCGAGGGCGTCGAGGACGTCATCCTGAACAAGCGCAGGGTCCAGTACGAGGAGGCCATCAAGGAGAACCCCAAGAACTACGACAACTGGATTGACCTGGCGAGGCTAGAGGAGACGTCGGGCGACGTCGAGCGCGTGAGGGATGCATACGAGAGGGCGATAGCGCAGATCCCGCCCACCCAAGAGAAGCGTCACTGGCGGAGGTATATCTACTTGTGGATCTTCTACGCGCTATGGGAAGAGATGGAGAACAAGGACGTGGAGCGCGCGCGCCAGATCTACAACGAGTGCATCAAGCTCATTCCGCACAAGAAGTTCACGTTTGCCAAGATCTGGCTCCTCAAGGCGCACTTTGAGGTGCGGCAGATGCAGCTGGCAGCGGCGCGGAAGGCGCTGGGGCAGGCCATTGGCATGTCACCAAAGGACAAGATCTTCAAGGGCTACATCGAGCTGGAACTCAAGCTGTTTGAGTTCTCGCGGTGCCGGACGCTGTACGAGAAACACATTGAATGGAACCCGTCGAATTCGCAAGCGTGGATCAAGTTCAGCGAGCTGGAGCGCGGCCTCGACGACACGGACCGGACGCGGGCGATTTTCGAGCTGGCGGTGCAGCAGGAGACGCTGGACATGCCGGAGCTGGTGTGGAAGTCGTACATTGATTTCGAGGAGGAAGAGGGCGAGTACGAGCGCACGCGGGCGCTGTACGAGCGCCTGCTGGAGAAGACGGACCACGTCAAGGTGTGGATCTCGTACGCGCACTTTGAGATCAACGTGCCGGACGAGGGCGAGGAGGAAGAAGCAGCAGATGAAGACGAGGAGCGCCCCGTCTCGGACGAGGCCAAGCAGCGGGCGCGCAAGGTATTCGAGCGCGCGTACAAGAGCATGAAGGACAAGGAGCTCAAGGAAGAGGTAAGGTGCCCCCGCCACACCAGCACCAGCACCCGCACCAACACAGACACGAAGACGCCAAACCAACTGCTAACACTCCGCGACCAGCGCGTGGCGCTGCTCAATGCGTGGAAGTCGTTTGAGCAGACGCACGGCACGGCCGCCGACGTCGACAGGGTCGAGCGGCAGATGCCCAAGCGCGTCAAGAAGAGGCGCAGGCTTGAGACGGCGGATGGCGGCATGGAGTTCGAGGAGTACATGGACTATGTCTTCCCCGCGGATACGGAGAGCGAGGCCAAGTTGTCGAAGCTGCTGCAGCGGGCGCAGGAGTGGAAGAAGAAGCAGGAGGGGGGTGCGTAGGGGGAGGGAGAGGTGTTGGTGGTGGTGGTGAGCGGAAGGATAATATGTCCGTCTCTCCGTCTTCCGTACGAGTGAGTGTGCACTGCGTATCTGTATACAGTAGGTAGCAAAGTGCCTGGCCAGACCCATGATGTTACGAGTCAAGACGTGCCTCGGCCCAGGCGGGGCCTCCGACTCCCGCTCAACCAAAAAGTTGCGCAGCACCAGCGACTCGTCGGCCTCAGAAGGACACATTTTAGCCCCGCCGCCGCTTCACCGCCGGCCCCTCTGTTGCCTAGGTGCCCCCTTTCCTTTACGCCCGTACTTATGCCGTCGTCGGCCGCCGCCACTGCTGCTGCTGCGCGAAGGCTGTCGCTGTACAAGAGACCCGCTGTTCGCTGTCCTCCCTGCTTCGTTCGACGACCAATCACTCCTCTTGCGCGCCGGTTTTTGGGCTCTGTTGCTGGTATGTGTGCGCGTCTTCAGCTTGCCTATCCACCCACCTACCCCCGGCCGCCGCCACGCGGAGCTGAACAACTGCTGACACATTCCCTCTTTTATAGACTCGACTACCTCGACCTTACCCTCTCCATCCGCTTCCGCTACCGCATCCCCCACCCACCCACCACCGAAAAAGTCCCTCCCCCGCCGCCTCACCTCCTTCCTCGCACTCAGCGCGCTCTTCTTCACCCTCGGCACAGCCATGGCCGCCGCCCCCGCCGTCGCCGTCGCGCAAGACCTGATGCACCCGCCCACGGACGCCGAGACGCTCACGCTCTACGCGCCCGAGCCCAACACCCCCGCCGGCACGCTCGAAGCCGAACTCCAGGCCCTCCCGCTCGTGGCCGCCCTCCGCGCCGACAACGGCCTCGTCGAAGGCCGCCCGCACATGAAGATCCCGCCCGCCCTGCGCGAGAACAACTTCACGGGCGGCACGCTGCTGGGCCACGACATGCTGGGCGTCCCGCCGCTGGCGTTCGTGGCCCCCGACGGGAGCAGGCTGGTCGCACTGCACCATTTGGGGCCGGCGCTGTGCGGGCACCCGGGCATCGTGCATGGCGGCTTGCTCGCGACGCTGCTGGATGAGGGGCTCGCGAGGTGCTGTTTCCCGGCGCTGCCGAACAAGGTCGGCCTCACGGCGAGTCTGAATATCAGCTACAAGGCGCCGTGTCGCGCGGGCCAGTGGGTGGTGCTCCGCGCGGAGACGACGAAGGTCGAGGGCAGAAAGGCGTGGGTTAGGGGTCGGTTGGAGTCGATTCCGAACGAGGGGGAGGAGCCGGTCGTTATGGTGGAGGCCGAGGCGCTGTTTATTGAGCCGAGGCAGGCAAAGGTGAGTTTTTCCCTGCTGCGCCCTCCGTTCTTGGGGTCGGGAGTCGTGTGCTAACGTGTGTTTGTCCGCTGCAGCAAATGGCCAAGATCTACACGCCGCAGTAGTGCCTGCGTTGCGCTCTGTTCTGAGCGGACCTGCTTGCTTGCAGAGGTGCTTGCGCGCCGCCGGGACCCAAGACCCAAGAGTGAGGAACCGCCCACCGTCGATATCCGAAGAGCGGTTTTCCCGTGTTGGATGCCGTATCGCCCGCACCGCTCGCACAGCATGTTGGACAGGAAGGAGAAAGAAGAAAAATCAAAGGAAAAGAAAGAGGAGAAGGAAACGCATTTGGGACTACACTGGGGTATTTGCGGTGTCTGTTTTCTGCATTTTTCTATTTTTATTTTTTTATTTTTATTTTATTTTGGGGTGGTAGTGGGCGAAAGACACAGACATAGACGGGACGGGCGCGCGTTACTGCTTTGCGCATGCACGCATTTACTACCTAGACTTTTAGACGGCGGGGCGGGTCGATCTTTGGGGTTTGTGCGTGGGGTTGGGATCTGCGGTTGGGGTTTGAGATCTGGAGATATGGAGAGAGACAGAGAGAGAAAGCGAAATGGGCCTTCTGATCGTGCGTGCGTGTGTGGTGACAAGTGCATGTTGTTGCGCTCCTATGTTTTGTCCTATACGCTCCACTAAATTAACACATCGCAGACCGCTTGCATGTGTGCACTCCATTGTTGGCGAATCACTGTCTGGTGCCAACAGCAGAGAGCGCTGCTCCCGCCTTAGACGGATCCTGCTACGATAAGTATGATAAGATTCCCCTTCCTGGCCTCCCTCGAAAGACGCGTCCGCATTATGCAGCTCAGCTTACCTATCCATTACACCCGACCCCCGTCTGCATCGCTTACCGCACACCCCCAGGCCCAATCTACCCGCAGCACCACCCCGCGTACGGTACGTAACACGGCATACGCACGCCAGCCAAGGCGCGCGCAAGCGTCAAACCACCACGCCGCGCCGCGCTGACTGGCTGCTTCGAGGCTTATCTCCCCGCGGGGCAAAGCTTGGTAGTTTGTTTGCCCTAGGGTAGATTAACGGCAATATGGGTGTGAGTTGTGAGTGTGACGTCCCTCGTGGCCCGCGCGCTCTGCATGTCTTCGCCGTGCCCGGGCGTGCTGCGTCCTATTGGGTGGGTTGCTGGTGCTGCTGCTGGTCCGGCGCGCGCAGTGCGCGCAGGATAAAGGCGGGCAGGGCCCTGGCTTGCGCTGACTGCTCTCTTCCGTCCGTTCTGGTTTTTACTTACTCTGTGAGATTGTTGCTGCGCACTGAGTTGCAGACGCATCATGAGGAGCGGCTTCTCTGTCAATGCGTACACGCCGTCGCAGGTCGTCGAGATCATTTCGAGGGCCGGCGTGCACAAGGGGAATATGCATCCGTTGAAGGTGTTTGTCAGCGCTGTCAGCGCGGGCTGTCTGCTGTCGTTTGCTGCGGCTTCGTGCTTGACTGCGAATACTTCCCCTTGGGTAAGTCGAGACATTCCAGCTGTTGGTGATGTGAGGCTCATCCAACGCGCAGCTTCAAACAAACGCCCCCGGCCCTGCACGGCTGCTAGGCGCCCTCGTCTTCCCCTACGGCCTGGTCCTGATCGTCTTAACTGGCGCCGATCTCTGCACCGGGACATTCATGGTATGGGAGCGTCCCTAAGCTCACACAAAGTCACTCACTCACTAAACGCGCCCCCAGTACACCACCGTCTCGGTCCTGCACCGCCGCCTCTCCCCCTGGCGCATGCTGCTCCACTGGGTCCTCTGCTTCTGGGGCAACCTCGCCGGCGCCCTCTTCATGGTCGCCATCATTTTTGGCTACGGCGACGTCTTCGCCGCTGACCCGTACAAGTCCGAGGTCATTGCGTTCAGCACGAAGAAGCAGGTCGCCACTGAATGGCATGCCATATTCCTCCGCGCCATCGGCTGCAATTGGCTTGTCTGTCTAGGCTGCTTCTTCGGGATGCAGGGCCGCGACCTGACGAGCAAGATCGTCGGCATGTGGTGTAAGCCAAGCGCCGGAAATTGGTATGGTTGGAACTCCAGACTGACGCCGTTGTCTGCAGGGCCCATTTTCGCCTTCGTCTCCCTCGGCATGGACCACGTCGTCGCCAACATGTTCTTCATCCCCATGGGCATCTGGCTCGGCGCCCCGGGCATCTCCGTCGGCCTCTACGTCTGGAAAGGCATCATCCCGGCCCTGATCGGGAATATCATCGGTGGCGCCCTGTTCAGCGGGGGCTACTACTGGCTGATGTATGCGTACAACCAGGACGCGCCGCCGATTGATGGCGTGAGGTATGCTGAGCACGAGGATGTGGAGAAGGGGATGGATTCACAGCAGGAGTACGTGAAGGATGATGAGCTGATGCGGACCATTTCGATTTTGAACGAGGTTCGGAGGGTGAGGGAGATTGGGGCGTGAAATGATGGAGACAAACGTATCTACTGGCCTAAATGCTTACCTATGAAACGGGCCTTGGAGCGTCGTCGTGAAATTAATGTCCGCGGGAGCTCCCACTTTAGCGTTGGTGACGTCTAGCGTCCCGCGCCTCCGGGTCGCCTTCGCCTAGCCCGCCTCCACAAACGGACTTGCGCCAGACCCTACTCTACGTAAATGCGACAACATGTCTCTCAAGCGTCCTCGCTCGCCCTCGCCCATTGACGACCAACCCATCTTCCGCAGTGCCCCAGTTGAAGACCGTGCCTCCATCTTCACCGCCACCTACTCGCCCACCCTCTCCGCCCGCGCCCTCCAAACCCAGCCCGACTTCAAATCCGCCAGCCATCGCATCGCCGCCTGGCGCAAACCCACGGCCCAGCGCTCTCTCGTCAATACCGCCGTGCGCATCTACGAGACCGGCAGCGATGACGATGGCGAAAAGTACGCCGGCAAGCGCCTGGAGAAGGTGCTGGAGGGCATGGAAGCCGAAGGCGCCGTCGTCGTCGCGCGCTGGTACGGCGGCGTAATGCTAGGCCCCGTGAGGTTTTCGCATATTGAAAATTGCGCCCGGCAGGCGATACGGCTGTGGAGGGCCAAGGCTGCGGAGGCGGAGAAGGCGGAGAAGGCAGAGGCGACAAAGAGACAGAAGGTCGAGGACGAGAGGAGCAAGGAGGCCCTGGTGCGGACTTTGGCCGAGAGGGATCAGAGCATCAACGTCCTGAGGGGCTTGTTGGCGGACAAGAAAGGGACGGCTCAGCAGGCCGATGCGCCAACTGATACGAAGCCGCCGGCGCCCGCACCAAAGAAGCAGACGAATTACGGCGCTATGCCGGTTGAGGCGCTGCGCAGGCTGGAAAGAGCAAGAGACGCGACCATTTCCTTCATCTTGAACGAAATCGACAAAGCGGAGGAGGGCCAAAAACGCACTAACGCAGCAGATGGTTTAGGAGATTCTAATCTGCCGTCTCAGGGAGCCGATGAGCGTACACAGACTTGTGCCACGAAACAGGAAGACGCCGTGCGAGCGACGCGTAATGAGCCTGACGATGCGGAGATGCGGCCGTCTTCTCCAACCAGCAGCAGCAGCAGCAGCCTCAGGAATTAACATGTTTGTTTGGGCTTTTCGGCCAGGGATTATAAGGTTACCGGGCAAAAAGCATAGGGCGCGAAACGAGTATCCACATGGCTGGCAAGTCGAGGCGCAGCGTGGAAGGGAGATCAGTGGTATGGCAGGCGTGAGTAATGGGCGCCAAGAAGGACCTTAAAACGGCTGGAGTTGTCGGCGGTGATCGCAGGACAGTCAATTACCGTTGTCTTAAGCCACAGGCTTTAATGCGCATGTCGAATTGCTTCTCCGGGTCGCGCGAGAATATAGGGGAGGCACAGGAGGATCGCCGCCTCAGCCACACGCTTGGGAAATTCTAATTTAAGACGCGCCCCGCTCCGACGCGTACTACATCAAGTATCGACGTCGATTCATTGCGCCGCCTACAAACTCCATCCCATGGAAGGTTCGGCGCCGCGCTAAGCACCATCATGGACCCCGTAACGGCCTTGGGGCTGACTTCGAGCGTGGTATGTCTCTAACACTTGCAAGGAAATGCCGGCGCCGTGTCGCTGATCGGGCCTACTACCACAGGTCGAAATCACCGCGCATTGCCTAAAGGCCGCGACAGCCCTCGACGAGTTGCGCCAAAAGTACGAGAGTGCCGAGCGCACCATCACCGCTTTCTGCGCAGAGTCGACCGGCATCAGCGCATCCCTGTCGCAGGTGCAGAGCCTGCTCCTACGCGACCCGGTAAATGACCCTTCCTACCTGAAGAACCGGCCGGAGCTGTTGCCCGCTTTTGACACCGCGTTGACGGGCTGCGAGGTTGTCTACGCATGCCTCGACGAGGAAATCCAGCGCCTCGTCCTCGGCGCCGTCAACACGGACAACCTCACTTGGAAAGTCAAGGCGAGGTTCGTCTGGAAAGAAGATGTCATGAAAGAGCTGTTGCAGCAACTCCGCGGGCAACAGGCGGCGTTGAACCTCTTGATTCAGGCGCTCCAAACGACGTCCCTACCGGATCTGAGGAAATTGATGCAAGACAACACCGGAATGCTCGCTCGAGTGACGACCCGTTCCAACTCTTTGCGTGCATCGCATCCCAATATCCATGTTCCTCAGTCGATATTCTCCAAGGATGATACAACAAAAGCATCGACAGAGAAAACGCCCGGCCTGCTCTCAAAGTTCGAGTTTGAAGAATCGGTTGTAAACTCTCGGCCATATCGGAGGTCCCTTTCTCTGGCAAAGATACAACCCACCGCTGCAGCCGAGAAGCCGCAAGAAGAGCAGCGCGTCGAACTCACCGAGGCCACGCCAAAGTCGGAACGGGTTCAACTTGACGATTTCCCTCTACCTCCCGGCCGAGCATCTATGCAAGAAGATTCATCAAGAAATTCCAAGGAACAGTCGCGAGAGTCCGACGAACCGCCTCAAACAACAACGGTAGAGGATAACCCGCCACCTTTGCCGCCCAGGAAAGGCAAGCCCGCGGGCCGTACCCATAAGCCATCTGCGTCTGTCTATAGCGTTTGGCCCAGAGCAGGCGCCCCTCTTACTCCCTTCCACGCATCGTCGGCCTCTGTCGGCTGCATTCCAAACGTCAAGATCAGCAGGGACTCGAATGATGAGGAGGTTATCGATGGGCTTGGTGAAGCCTTGTCCCTTAGAAAGAATGCTGTGCAAAATGCCGGGGACGCAAGATCCCGCTTATCTAGCGAGGCCAATGTTTCCATCTTCTCGGGCATGTCGGACCCCATGAGTAGTATTTTGGATTCCAGCTTCTCTCAAGCTTCAATGGCCACGTCGCCTCCGACGGGAAATGACACAGCCAGCCCTAAGAAGGCTGCCGAAGACCAACCGGAGCCAAACCAGGAGGGTATGGCGTGGGCAGAAGATATCATACACTTCGATGAGCCCGCGGTCACTGGCCCGAAGCTACTCACTAGCCAGGATTTGGAACTCAGCAACCTTTGGCAGGAGGTCCTCCTATCGGAGATGCAATACAATGCGCAGCTGCAGACTATGCAGTCAACGTTCCGGGAACCGGTGTCTCGCAAATGGGCATCTCTAGACAAGCACTTGGAGGTACTGGACCATTCGAAGAAGATCTCGGAAATCCATACGAAAGAACTGCTGCAGCCTCTCCAGGTCCTAAACTCAGAAGGGAACCTGACGTCTGGCGCCCCGGACGCCTTTGTCAAGTGGTGTAGGGAAGCACGTGCATCGTACCGCGCATACTATCTGCGTCACCCTCATGCCCAAACCGCCATCCTCATAACTTACGAAGTCGACGAGAAGTTCCGAAAGTTCGTCAAGGGGCTCCTTCCACACGCTCAAGAGCGACCGAACGTCAACGATCTCTTGGCCGAACCGATGCGCCAAATGGAGTACTATCATTCAGTCTTTACGAAAGCGTACACTCTCAGTTGCGCATCGCCTGGCTCGCATGCTTCTCAGATGTCAGGCGCTTACGCAAAGACCCTCGAAATGATCCAACGGCTCAAAGACTCTTGCGAAAGGCTTTACGCCGACTCATCGCGTTATGAGGAACTTCAAACGTTACACCGCTCCATTCGGACGGTGAATGCGAACCTGGCCGACCCTCTTCACCTTGTCGAGGCCGGGCGCAGGATAATACATCGCGGCCCGTTGCTCGTCAAGCCCAAGGGCAAGGGCTCCTGGACCCAGGTCCACTGCGTCTTGCTCGACAACTACCTCTTCTGGGGCCGCGTCGACCGCGCCAAGGAGCAGTGGCTGGGCAGGTACAAAAACGGGGAAAGGCTTTGGGTCCTCGAGCCGGTAAGTCCACCACTTTTACTGATCTAGTAGTTCTTTCGCTAACGAGAATGGCCATTCGTAGCCCATGTATACCCGATACCTGCAAGCCACGGTGTCGACCGGGTTGGAGAAGCCGATGAAGGCGTCCATGATGGACAACGCTCCCAGGGGATTGGAGATTTTCCCGTTTGCGGCTTTTACTACCAGCCATAGTCATCTGCTAGGAGCGCTTTCGCGGGAGCAACGCCAGGCCTGGATCGATGCTATTGCTTCTCTGAAACGCGATGATAGCCAGTGATGATTTTTTTGTTAGATACCCCCTGCTTTGGATCTCAGCACTCGTACCTATACTATTTAACTCCGAGAATATTTTTGATACTTTCTGACGTATACCCACGCAATGATAGTGATTTGAGGACCTTTGTTTATGTTTACTGAGTTCGTTTCGCTTCGTTTAATCCTACGCATTGAGTTGGCCAGATTGACAGCCCTCGGAAACTCCGGGTCGCCGCAATGTGATGAGATCATGGCGGAGCGCGGTCGTTCGGCGACTTGCGGCAGCTGCCCGCCGGACACTGCCCGCTCCCCCTTGCATCCACTAGCTCTTCGGGCAGGCCTCCAGCATGCCTACAGGCACCTATCCCAAGTCGCAGAGGCCAATCGGCGTTCCGGCCGGCAACAACTCGCAATGGACGCCGCGCACGCGGTCGATTCGGCGGTCGCGCGTCCTCGCCGTCGTCGCGGTCCTGCTCCTCTTCATCCTCTGGTACAACCACGGCCCCAAGGAGCCCACGACGCGCCTGATGCGCAACGGGCTGGACGATGACGGCGTCGACTGGTCGCGCTTCGCGTACAGCCAGTATGCCACCAACAGCGCGTACCTGTGCAACTCGGTCATGGTCTTTGACGCGCTGAAAAGGCTCGGGAGCCGCGCCGACCGCATCCTCTTCTACCCGGCCGAGTGGGACACAATCATACACGACAAGGTGGACCGCGACAGCCAGCTGCTGGTCAAGGCGCGCGACTGGTTGGACGTCAAGCTCATCCCGGTGAACATGCAGAGCGTCAAGCGCCAGGCCGAGGAGGATGACGAGGAGGAAACCTGGGACTTCAGCATCAACAAGTTCCTCGCCTGGAACCAGACCGAGTACGATCGCATCCTGCACCTCGACTCGGACATTACGCTTTTCAAGCACCTCGACGACCTGTTCTTCCTCCCCGCCGCCGACGTCGCCATGCCCCGCGCCTACTGGGAGCTGCCCTACACGCGCAAGCTAACCTCGCTGCTGGTGCTGCTGAAGCCATCGGTGCAAGAATATGAAGCTCTCATCCACGCGGCCTTCACGTCCGAGGGCACAGTCAAGAAATTCGACATGGAGATCCTCAACGACCGCTACCGCGACTCGGCCATGGTGCTCCCGCACCGCGCGTTTGCGCTCCTGAGCGGCGAGTTCCGCGCCAAAGACCACTCGCACTACCTCGGCAACGACTACGAAATCTGGGATACCGACGACATGCTGCGCGAGCTGCGCCTCGTCCATTTCTCCGACTGGCCCATGCCCAAGCCGTGGGTCATGTGGCCCCAGGCGCTGCTGAAGGATATGCTCCCTAAGTGCAGGAGCAACCCCGGCACCCCGCGCGAGAGCGGGTGCGACGACCGCGAGGTCTGGCGGGAGCTGTACGATGACTTTAGGGGGAGGCGAAGAGTACGTCTTGGATTGTTCGACTGCTGCTGATCCCGCTTTTGTGCTGACGATCGTGCCCGTCTAGGATATCTGCGGCTACTTGAGTATTCCGGCACCGAACTGGCCGCCCACGCCTAAGATGTCGAAGCCGAAACCTGGCTCTGAAAAGAAAGACGCCTCTAAGGACGCCTAAGCTGTTGCGTCCTGCATGGTACAGCCTGCTGGCGCGACGCGTGCATGATACACTATGCGCCAATGTATGGCGCGCGAACTGCCACGTCGAGAAGAACTACATTCAGGCCGGGGATGCTTTACCAAAGACATCATCCTGATTCAGGCTTCAACGATTAACTCGACGAACGGTCCCACATTGCCGGCCTGCAATGTCGAGTCGTATGTACGACTTCATCGCGGGCATATGTGCAGGGGAATAGAAGACACAAGTGGCCACGGTACTTGAAACAGACCGTGACTGATTGTGGCCTTTTAGGGCCGCAGAACGCTCTGAGGACCAGCTGAAAAGCGGTAGAGATGTACGAGCGCGGCCAGGTAAAGAAATTTTATGAGATGAGTTGGTTATATATCTGATAGAATATAATAGGAAAAAATAATACTAGACGCATTACAGCGGGTTGCTGGTCATGTGCTTCCATTGGACATGGGCAATGGCACGCATTAAATTCTGACTGGATATCTCGACCTCAAAAGCACGGTACACATTACACGATGCAGCGACACCGAAAGTGAATTGAACTACAAAGCCCCCCGGCCACACCAAGCAAACACCACGCACACGACCTACTAAACGAGTGACTACACGCCCACGGCCCTCTCTCCAGCCCTACGCCCGCCATCGCCCCCTTCAAGACGGGCAGTCGTCAATGCCGTTGTTCGCATAGTTGCAGTACGTGCTGATGCCGCTGCCGAGCTGCGTGGGCTCGTCGCCGTCGTCGTTGCCTTCGTACCACGCGCACACCGTCTTGACCGTGTCGAGGCACGAGCCGGATATCGTTGCTTTGTCGCCGTAGTTGGAGTTGACGCCGGCGAGGGTCTTGCCGTCGACGGCCCAGACGCCGGAAATCGTCACTGTGCGCTGCTTTTGCGAACTGCCTTGGGGTGTGTTAGCGGGACGGGGCTGCGGGCGGTGTGGGATGGCGGGAGGGGAGGGAAAAGGAGAAGGCGTACAGTTGCCGCAGCTGCGGTATAGCTTGCCAAAGTCCTCGACGTAGAAGTCTTTGATCGAGACGGAGCCGCCGCCGTTGTGCTGGACGACCTTGTCGGAAGCGTGGAACGCGCCGCCGCCGACGACGTACGACGTGCCGGAGGACTGCTTGATGGTGAGGGCGTCTACAACATGTCAGACCCTGTCAACAAAGCCCACGCTCATAAACGGGAAAGCAGAAGCAGCCGCGCTTCTTCTCACTCACCCTCGCACACGTCCTCCCACCACACATTCTGGATCGTGCACGCGCCCAGGCAGTGCACGCCCTCGATCTGGTTCTTGCCGATAATGACGTTCTTGAGGGTGCCGCCCTCCTCGACGTGGAAGACGGCGTCCTTGTCGCCGCCCTCGGCCTGCCCCGTGCACGACGTGCCGCGGTCGTACTTGACCAGCTTGCCGTCGAAGCTCTTGCCCGCGGCGACGACGTACGGCGTGCTGAACGACGAGGAGCCCGCCGAGGCCGGCATCACGTTCGTCGCGAAGCGCTTGACGAGGTCGGGCGAGGGCGCTGCGGCCGCGAGGAGCGCCAGGCCCGCGCTTAGGAGGAGCGTCGTGAGGCGCATTTTGATGTCGTGCTGGTGGTGGTGGTGGTGATGGTGATGCTGCTGCGGGAATTGGTCGTGCTGGTGCGCTGAGCAGAGATAGATGCTGGAGCAACCGGCGCTGCTTTTATAGCTGTCTCGACGGCGCGCGTAGAGGGCGCGCCAGCCTCCTCATCTCCTCCTCTTCCTCGTCGTCGTCGTACGCTCATTCTCTCTCACACCCTCTCTCGCCGGCAGAGAGAATGCCCGTGGCCACGGCATGCCGGGCGAGGATTCCGGTAGATTAACCACGCACGCCGGATGGTCGTCGCGTCGCACTGGCGATATAGTAGCCCTCAGGCAAGCAAAAACCCACCACCCAGCGTCAGGCGGGCGGGCGGGCGGGCGCAGCCCAATAAGCAAGCCTACCTAGTAATCCGTAGGAGGCCGGTTTGGAGGGTTGGCTGGCCTTGTGTCCTTATCCGGCGTCATCGAGGGGCACGACGTGTGCGAGCCCGCCGTCTCGCATGTCCGCGAGTAGGGTCTTTCCGCGGCTGGAGTCGAGCGTTCTAGACCCGATATGCATACATCCATGTATGCATGCACCCCAGAGGCGGGCCACGCGAGGAACCCCACTGTTTAAGGCCCGTGGTTAAGCACGCATGCATAGCCGACTCTTTTCTTCTTCTGCTTCTTGCTTCCACCAATTGCTCGTTGCGGCAGGAGCGGCGCGAATCGCGTACCGAGGGCCAGGCGACCCCGCGGCGGAGATCAATCTATTCGGCCTTGGCGGCTGGTGACAAGCTCTGCGGGCAGCCCGGGGCGCGGGCCGTGATGCGAAAACCGGCGGGAAGCCCGATAGATGGATAGATGATTGCCGGCATGGCACTGGTCTATGCAAGCGCCGTCTGCGGTAAATTGCTGGCTTACATGGCTTACATACATACATACATACATACATACATACTCATGCTGCTGTGACTGTCTCGCTCGGGTCCCACGGCTGCTGCTGCTGCCTGCCGGCCCTCACGGATTCGCCTCAACGGCCTCAATCTCGGCCAGCACGTTGGCGTGCACCCCCGGCGGCCGGCCCTGCTTCACCTGCGCCACGCCGTGCTCGACCAGGTGCGCTTCCGAGGCGTTGGAGTCGGCGCTGAAGGTGTATTTCCTGTACTCGCAGTTTTCGAACGCGGTGCCTATGTAGACAGGCTGGGGTCAGCGACACGGCAGCAAGGGAGTATAGTTCTCGAGTATATCCTCGCGACTCTCTTACCCTTCTTCGGATCAAATGCCGTCCAGTCCTCGGTGAAGTAGTGCAGGAACGCGCCGTGCGCCACCAGCACTATCGTCGCCTCGGGCCGCTGCCAGAGCCACGTCCGCAGCGACGCCGCCCGTTTTTCCACCACACTCAGGCGGGGCTCGTAGATGCCGGTCTGTATGTCCGACCATCAGCCACAAACCACATGCGCAAAGCAAACAGCACCCCGAGAACCTGGGATAGAATCCGCCAATGAAAGAACAGAAGCCGAAAACGTAAACTCACCTTGGAATTCCACCCCTCCTCGACAAGCCCGTAGTCCACCTTCGCGGGCTCCACACGCACCCCCATCTCCGCAAATGTGCCCCGCACCCACCCTTCCAGCTCCTCACGCCCCTGCCCCACGTCGCACGCATTAGCAGCGATTTCCTGGGCCCAGGGGACGAGCAAGAACGGGACATTGGGGCGACGGAGGGCGGGCTCGAAGGCCAGCGCCGCCGTCTGCACGGTGCGCTTGAGCGGCGACGCCATGACGACGTCGATGCGGTCGTGGTGCGGGAAGGCCGCGCGCAGCTCGCCGCATTGCGCCGTGCCGAGGGGCGTGAGCTCGGGGTCGCGGAGGTGGTGTTGGCGCTAGGAAGAGTTAGTTGGTTCGCGTGCCTGGGTTTTTCGCCCCGTCGTACGTTGATGTTGTGGTAGCCTTGGGCGTGCCGCACGAGGTACAGCACTGGTGGCATGCTTGCTGCGTGGCTGGGTGGGTGGGTATGTGTGTATGTACGTATGTATGTATGTATGTACGAGGTAGGATGGAAGAGGCGGAGGCAATTGACGGAAAGACAAAGATGTGCGATGACTCTTACACCGTGACACAGCCTCACCTGACGGATGGACGTGAGTTTTTATCAAACCCAGGTACACTCAATGCCGACGTCCGCCTCGCCTCTTAGTGTACTTCTAGCCTTACAGGCGCAGCTAGTCTCGTCTATCGTCGGGCTGGGGTAGGTATCCCGGATTTTCGTCGCACGGACTGGGGAAGCCATAGGTAGTGTTTGTCTTGACCGACTACAGCGCACTTCCATCTGCCTATTGTATGCATGTATGCACTCGCGAACGGGCTCCGGTTTTGACTGGCATAGTAGTCGGTGTGCTGAGGATATGTAGGCAGGCTAGTTTGCCGAGCGAGCTGTTCGCTTCGGGAAGGTACCCCGAGCGCGTGCTTGGGTGGGTGCTCCGGGTCGGGTTTGCGTGGTAGGCACTGCGGGGATAAGCTTAACGACAGGGTGACATTTCGAATACACGAATGGTTCGAGATGTGTAAGATGATTCAGCGATTCCGTCACAAACAGAGTCCCATTTAAAAACGAGAGTAGGCCACCAGAACCTCCACGCCTAAGCACTAGCACCACCCACCCAGGCATTATAGTTTATAACGCCATTGGGAGCGCTCCCCTGGATAGCAGCGCCCGAGCTCTGAAGCCCACCAACCGTCTGCCCGTTCCGGACCACTCTGATGGACACGACGCCCGTCTGGCCATTGAACGGCAACGAGGCATGGAAAGCGCCCGCGCCGCTAGCCGTGAATGTCGTCTCGGCATTATTGCCAATCTTGACGACAACGCTGGCCGCCGACTTGAGAATCGCCGTGAAGAACACCTTGTCCTGCACCACCGTCGCCGGGTCATAGCACGTCTCGTACTCGCAGTTGTTGCCCGTCACGTCGTCAAAGGGGCCCTTCTTGCCCGGCACCGACGCCGATGTCAGCCGGTACCAGTACACCAGCTGCTCGGCCGCGACGGCGCTGCCCGGGCTCTTGTACTGCGCAATGTAGTACGGCAGCAGCTGCCGCCACGCATCGTGCGGCATGTTCTGCACGTAGGATTTGGCGTTGGCCGGGATCCCGCCATCCCGGATGGGCCCGATGTAGTGCGCCTCGCCAAAGTCGTTCCATGTTACGATCTGCACAATGTCGGGCTGCAGCGAAATGGCCTGCTGCCACCGGTCGTGCCACAGGTCGTCGCCCCGCCACACCCGGTGCTTGTTGTATTCTGGCAGGTCGGTGTAGAACCACGGCGACACGCCCATCATGTACGTCTTCCCCGCGAGGACTCGTTTGTACTCGGCGTCGGGCAGGCTGTCCACCCACGTCGGGTACTCCGGCCACATGTCCCAGCTGAACGCGCCGTCCACGGTGCCGAGATGGCTCTGGATGAAGTTTGGGCCGCCGCTCCCTTCCCAGTCCGGCACCAAGTGGATGCCGCCCGAGCGCGCGCGGATCGACGGCCAGTCGCCGGCGTGGTCGCCGCCCTCGAACGTCGACACGACCGGCTGCCCGTTGATGGTCAGCATGGCGCCGTTGTCGTGGTACGGCCCGCCCAGGATCTCGACAATCTCGTCGGCCGTCCACGGCCGGCCGGGCTTCCCCAGGTAGTCGAACATGAAGAACATCTTGAACGCGTTGCCCGTCCTGTCTCGGAAGTCGTTGGCCGCGCCGAAGGCGTACGAGATCTGCGTCGCGCAGCCGCCGGCTCCATTGAATGGTGGGACGATGTTCAACGCGAACCCGTCGATGCCCGCTGCATGCGCGAGCGTGATGTCCTCGTACCAGGTGTCTTTGGTGTGGTCGTCCAACGTCACGCCCACCTTTCTCTGTTAGCTAATACTCATGCTATCATGCGGCATGGACTGACTTACGACGACATGAGCCACAACCGTCTTTGCCACTACGACGGCCGGCTGCAACGCCACCAAAATCGCAAGCACGTAGCTCAAAAGATTCATCCTCAAGCTGATCTCTCGATGTCAGGACAAACTCAGACTGATGGTGGTGCAAGAAAACGCATCCAAGTAGTCACCGCATGCCCGGTATTTGTAGTTTTCCTGAAAGGATATTCGGGGACCTGGCTGCCCATAGGCTGCTGACATGCATTTCCCGTGGCGACATGGCTAAAGCTCGAATACGATGTTGGCCTGCCGCTTCGGTGCTAGGTCGCGGCCTCCACAGCGGTTCGTGAGTTGGGGGCGCGATTTGTGAGGCGTCTGTCAGCCGATGCCAATAAGGCCCCCTGAAAGCGTAAGCTGGCTACCTACAATGCAAGATCGAAGTCCTGTGTTTGTACAGTATTTACTGAAGACGTGCCGTCTAAAATCAAATTGAAATAACCATCATGGAGAGGCCGCTATGCGACAAGTAGATGTCCATGTCCACCATCGAGATTTTCTTCATAGACTCGGTAGCTAGGACACGTGCTGCCGGGATCTGATGTTGTACAAATAAAGACCTTGATACTCACCTTCCACCTCTAGACTAGCACCACAGATCTAGTACAGTCCAAAAGCCAAAAATAGAACGTCCATCGGCGGAGGCGTTCAGTAGCCGCACATTTTAGGTCTTGGTCCCCTTGGATCCCCTGCTTTTCTCTTTTTTTTTTTTTTTTTTTTTTTTTTATTTAATTAACTGTCGAGCAGCTTTTGGTAGATCTGCCGGCATCTGCAGATTCTTCAAAAGCAAGGAATTTGACTGTCGCATAGGTACTTTTGAGCCATTTAAACACCTAATCAGCTCGAATTTTTGCGCGATTTTGGCTACTAAAATCTTCTTCATTAAGATTGTTGCTTGTGTCTGATTAGCATGCTGGACGAATTTGGTCTCGCTATAAAAGTAAGTGATTGAGAAGGAATGAGGGACGTAGACGTATATACACTTTATGACTCTATCATCTTTCACAACTCAATTTGAATGTTAGTTTATAGCTCGAGAGAAGAAATAATAATTGCACTAACAAAACTTGGCACTGTTTACCACAGAACCCCGCAAATGCAAATTACCGCGGTCCGCGGTCGGCATGTTGACACAACAACAGCATGTGGTCCTGTACGACCTGCGGTTTCCCGGTCCGAAGACGTCAGCACACGTGCGACCCCACCTCCTTGCTACTGACATATCAAAGGACGCTCCCTACACCCCGAAATCAGAGTCGCTTTTAACATAGCAACTGCACCACAAAGATGGCCGAAGCCCGTCCAGTCGCGCTCGTCATTGGCGCGTCGCGGGGCATCGGCAGGCAGATTGCCATTGACCTCGCAAAAGCGGGCTACGTTGGTAAGACCATACCAGATATGTAGTATCAAGCCAGAATTTAACAGCACAAAAAAGTTATTGCGGCCGCCAAGTCGACCTCCGATCCCGCGGCGCTGTCCGTCTTCCCACCGGATCCAAACTCGGCATCCAGCACGATCAGCACCGTCGCGGCCGAGATCACGCAGCAGGGGAACGCGTGCATCGCCATGGCCGTGGACGTGCGGTCGACTGAATCGATCATCGCGCTCTTCGCCGACGTCGCTGCGCGCTTCCACCGGCTCGACGCGCTCGTGTACAACGCCGGCGCGATATGGTGGGCGCCCGTAGCAAAAACTTCCATTAAACGCTTCAAGCTCCTCCAGAGCGTCAACATCGACGGCCTGTACAGCAGCCTGCAAGCCGCGCTGCCATTGTTCGAGCGCGCCGGCTGGAGGTGCCGGGTCGTGGTTGTGTGTCCCCCGATATACAGCCGCTTTTTCCGCGGCAAGGCGGCGTACGCAGTGGGGAAAGTGGGCATGAGCGTGCTTGTCAAAGGACTTGCTATGGACTGGGAGCGGGACGGGAAGAATGAAATGGCCATCTCTGGCATCTGGCCCGCCGTGGCCATCGAGAGCGCTGCCACGCAGCGCTTCACCTCCAAGGATGCCAACGAACGCGCTGAGTTGCGGACGGCGGCTGTTTTCTCTGACGCCGTGGTGGCGGTGTTGGAGGCTGAGCCGGCGGTTACGAATGGGCAGCTGTTTACGGATGAGGACTTTTTAAGGGAGCACCGGGGCGTCGCTGATTTTGATAGGTATAATGTTGTCCCGGGATCGAAGCCGAGGAGGATCATGCCGAAGAAGTTTCCTGTTTTGACCGTCGAAGAACAGGATGATGAGGGGAAAAGAGTCGATAGTACAGCCATGGATCAGAAACGACTCTCTAAACTATAGAGCTTTCACTTCGAACGGAACTCCATCAATGCCGTCATCATCGCGAGTTCATGCATTATATTTATTTATTTATTTATTTATTTTTACAAAGGAAACTCAGTCCGGTATCTTTGGTCTTCAGCCAATACACAGCTTGGCTATGCACCCGGCGGCCCTGCTCGGATATTCACCGAAACGGCAACATTTTTCAAGCCCTTCGCACTGCTCGTCCTTATTCTGTCGACACTCTGCCACGACAACTCAAACTCTTCCTCGATCAAGACCCCGCTTTCCGACTCGACATCCCGACCACTACGGGTGGTCTTGCTCCTCGACTCAGACAAATACCCCTGGCTGATATTCGTTGGCCGGGAAGCCTCGCGGTTGGTTACAGAGTGCCAAGCGGAAGGAATCAGGCCGACGATGACGGGGAGCGAGGCCGTGAGAAGGCCAAACGTGAGGTCGACAAGCGTCCACGTAAGGATCGAGGTGTAGCCCCCTGGAAAGCGGTGTCAGGCGCACAGCATGTAAGGTTTGCGAAAGCAGGAGTGAAAAACATACACGTGACATCCAGGCTGATCTTCTGTTGAGCGAGCTGCCTCAGCACGCTGCCAATGCAGGAGACTGCGCCGGTGGAGAAAACAAAGTACAGTCTAATCTTTGTTGACTTTGGCAGCTTGACCTTCCAAAGCACGATGATGGGCGTCATGAGCAGGCAGAAATCCATGATGACGTGGAGGGTGCTGAGCACGTTGGAGAGCAGGGACGTCGAGTAACAAGACGCGGGGCGGGCCAGCCTGCCCGAGTACGCTTTGTCCCACATGGCGGGCGGAGGGGTGCATTGGAAGCAAGTCCAGAAAAGAGCGAGGATTGTGTAGGCGATGAGCATGACGAGGAAGACGTCGTTGATGATGCGCCAGATGCGGGATGCCATGCCGGTGAGGCGACGGTTGAAGAGCGTGATGGAGATTTTGATGATGCCAACCGAGGTGAAGAAGAGGATCTTGCAGACTACTCCGAGCTGGAGAGTGTGGGTTAGCAGGTGAGTGGCCAGTGGGTGGCCCGGCTTACCCAGTTGAAGATGTTGTATTCCTCATACGTGACGTCCCATGTATGCTTGCCTCCTCCACCATAAACTACCATTGCGATCTGAAGAGCTGGATATGCAATAGCCATGATCTAATTTCATTAGCATAAGGCCGCTCAACTGTCGGATCGGAAACATGTACCGCTCCAGGAATCAGCATCCAATCGTCAGATCCCCAACGCAGACCGCTTCGAAAAAGTCGCACAGACAGACGAGTGCCTGTAGCAATGATCATGATAAACATGACGAAGGACATGCCGATGATAGTCGCCGTCTTGCGGTCCTCATATTCATACCCTTGCGGCTGCTTGGGGAGGAAGTTGTAGCCCTTGCCAGGATCAGCACGGGTGTCCATGTGGACAGCACGTAGCATTCCCTCGACAATCCAGTAGTCGTTCTGCGTTTCTGGCGGCGAGCCGATGAGAGCCGAAGACATGGGCCTTCGAGAACGAGCTTCTGCCATGTTGGAATTGCCAGGAATGGAAGACCAGCTTCTCAAAAACAACTGTTACGCAGCGTGGCGCAAGCAGCGCAGGGCAAACGATCGTCCGGAGCTGAGTGTGAAAAAGGCTTCAGGCTAATCGGTTCTTCGTCAAGGAGGGAACCATGTACGCAGTACTCACCCTGTCCTCGCATACTCTTATCCTGGCCCGACAAGTTTGGATATATCGATAAGAACTGGAGAAGAAAGCTGGACGCCTGAAGGCGGCACAAGGCTTTTGTACAGCTGCCTATCGTACAACGGTTCTCGGCAGGCATAGCATAAACAACCGCATTGTGCGGGACGAATCTAGGCTCATGGGATCCGACCATGGCGGCGGACAAAAGCCGAATGACGACTAGGCAGGGCGGGTGGTTCGATCGATCGGAAGCAGCTCCCGCAGCAAGCGAGATTGGGGCGCAGGGATGAAGCCGGGGAACGGTTGAGGGCGAGGGCCCTGCCAACGGAGGAGGATCTGGATAGCGCACGCCAGCTCCGCGGCTGCATCGGGGCGTGCTGTATGTACTCCGTACCTGCGGCGTTCCCGGAGCACTTGCCGCGGGCGGGCTTCAGGAGAAGAAAAAACACTCCACACAACACAACACCAGCGTTTATTATCGCACTCAAGTCCGGAGACTAGAGATGCTCGGATCGCTGGCCGCGCTCGCGACGCGGTCTTTGCGCGCACCTGCCGTTTTCGCTAAATAGAGCAAAAGTCTCGCCGCGGGGGCTCTGGTCTTGCATTCACCATTCCCCTCCGTATTTCCGCCAAAAAAATGGTGCGCGTCAGCAATGTTGCGGCCTCGCTGTTGTCCGGCTCAGTGCTTGCGAATGCGCTGGCAAACGGCAACAAAACCACCACGTCGTGCGAAGGCATCAACGCCATTGCGCCAGGCTGCAAGTCGAACGAGTCGCTGCACTATCGCGACTTTTTCTACATTGGCGGCAGATACGTGGACAGCGCGGCCGGGAACCTGACGTACGACCAGATCTACGTCGAGAAGCTGACTCCGGCGGCCGGCGTGACGCAGCCGAAGCCCATGGTCTTCTTCCATGGAGGAGGTGAGCATCTCGTGTCCGAGCAATGGGGAGACGGCATTGCTAATGTCTAACAGGTACATCTGGCGTGGTAAGCCTGTCCAGGAAAACAAATTTAGCTGAGCTTTCAATATCGTACTAACCCACCCCACGTAGACATGGCTCAACACGCCCGACAACCGCAAGGGCTTCGCGTCCTATTTCCTCGACCACGGCTACCAGGTCTACCTCCTGGACCAAACCTCCGTCGGGCGAGGCACGGAAGAAGACCTCACCGACTTCCCCATGCGGATAGGCTCTACGGCCGAGATCAGCCAGAAAGGCTTCACAGTCCCAGAGGTGACGAACGCGTACCCGCAGTCGCAGAACCACACGCAGTGGCCCGGGAGCGGAATGCGGGGCGACGCAGCGTTCGACGCGTTCCAAGCGACGATGCTGCCGCTAACGAGCAACCTGACGGCGCAAGAGCTGTCGATGCGCGCGTCAGGATGCGCGTTGCTCGAGTTAATCGGCCCCGCGTTCCTGGTCTCGCACTCGATCGGGGCTCTGCATCCGGTTTTGCTGTCGAACGACTGTCCGGCGCTCGTGGCCGGGAATATTAATCTCGAGCCCGCGACGATCCCGTTCGAGAGCTACACGGGGAACAGCACGTCGAGCGTAGGGCGGACAGCGGGGCGGGCGTGGGGCCTGACCAACACGGCGATCGACTACGAGCCTGCTGTCTCCGAGGCCGGGGAGCTGGCTACCGTGGTGGTGGGCACGGACACGCCCGCGAAGCGCAGTTGTATTATGCAGGCGGAGCCGGCGCGGCAGCTGCCTAAGATTGCGTCGGTGCCGTATGTGGCGGTTACGGGGTCGGCGAGCCCGCACATGACGTACGACCATTGCGTTGTTGAGTATTTGAAGCAGGCGGGGGGGAAGCCGGAGTGGATTAAGCTGGGCGAGGTGGGCGTGCATGGGAACGGGCATTTTGGGCATTTGGAACTGAATAATTTGGAGATTGCTAAGGTGGTGCATGAGTGGATTGGGAAGAGAGTGGCTTGATTGGTAGCTAGCAGTTAATAATGCGAAGATTGTTTTGTTGCCCTTCCCCTCTTGCTTGAATACTTGTTGTGGCTGACGGCTAAAACTAGGGAACGCAGACAATGATCACACAAAATCCCAGCCTGAAACTCGTCGCAGTTTTTGCAGCCTTCAATTTATTGTCTCTTTGCTGCACTTTCATCTCACAATTTCGACCGAGGTACTCTGAGCTCCAAATCTTGGTGCGGCACGTCCAGGTAATCCCACATGTAGTGAAACCTGTCACTGCCAAAGAACGGCTCCGCATTTCCTTTGCCATCGTGAACCCAGAACCACGGACAACCGAAAGCTCCGAGTTCCTTGACTGCGTGCTGGGTTGTGTCGTTGAGCGCTTTCTTCACCTCTGCATCTCCTGCAGCTTTCATCACTTCCTCCGTCTGAACCTCGTCAAACGTCTTGCGGCAGGCAGTCGCCATGTTCTCCGGGATCGATATGTCTAGTCCCTGGAGATACATTGTTTGGAAGCATGATTCGAACAAGTCTTCATACTTTTCCGGATACCTCCGCTTTGCATAGAGCAGACATCGCTGTGGCTGGAGCAGTCGTCAGTGTCAGTATTCTGTCAAGCTCTTATTTCGGCCAATGAATTTACCAGTAGGGAGACGATAGGGAAGAATGATGGATATTCGAAATGGACTCCGAAATAGTTCTGGGCCCGTTTTTTGTCATACTGCGAGTGCACGGCTTTGGCTGGGAGCGTCCAAGGTGGTTTGTTCCCTACTGCAGTGAGCTTATATTCGATGGCTGAATTAGTCCACGCTTACCACTGCCGACATTGATGCCGCCGAGGAACACGGGGATGAATCTGCAACAACCGATTAGTGCTAACAGTTTCCCTGTGCTGACCAAAACACTTACTCAACATTAACACCTAAAGCTCCCAGGGCTTGTCTGTTTTTCTTCAAATAAGTAAAGGCATAGAAGCTGTACGGTGAAACTGCAGCAAGTTAGCTTATTGGCTATTCGTACACTAAGTAGGGTTACACTGACCGCAATCGAGATAGCATTCTATTTTCTTTTGCGTCATGGCTGGCGGATATTGAGTACCTCTGAAGTTGGCGCAAGGCAATGGAATACTATATCCGCTGTGTTAGGTGGAGTATAATGGTTGTTCTCATGTGTCTGACAGGGAACACAGGATGCCGAGGTCCGAGGCATTTGCTGATTACTTAGCCCGGTTTGGGCCTACGCCGAGTAGATCTTGTCAACCACAGTCTTTCCCTACATTGGAACAAATCGACTTGGAAGAGCTCGACATTTCTTTGGCCGTGTGCCAGCACTGTTTTTAAATATGGAATTTGCTATGTACGGTATTCCCTTGCGTGTTTACCAATCAGTGGTGGCTGCTGGAGGTAGACACTTTCGCCACACCTTTATATGGATGTCTTTATCAATTTCACCCAGCCTACAGCTGAAACCACATGTTGAAAAAGCATACCGAATTCTTTAAATTCCTGAAATGTACATGTTGTGGCTCGCTTCAGGGATCGAGCTACTGGAGTTTATATCGGCCCTACTTGCGCGCACCCACAAAGACGTTCTCCCGCTTCTTTTAACAGTTGTGGCAAGGCGTACAAAGCATGTCTACATTTCAATCTGCCAGTTAAATAAACATTAGTATATAAACGCAGCAGTTTTTTCACTCTTCATCCATCAGGTGACCAATCACCTCTATCTTCGATGGTCTAGTGGTGATGATTTCCGCTTGTCATTGGGTTTCCAATCAAGCGCGGGAGACCGGGGTTCGGTACGATTCACTGCCAACGATTATTGCATTATTCAACTTCTAACATTGAAACAGATTCCCCGTCGGAGAGAAATTCTTTTTGCACTTTTCCTCTTTTTCCCTTGAACCCCGTTCCTCCTATAGAGTAAAAGCAAAGAAACAAACTCTCCGATAGGGAACTAAACCCCGGTCCTGGGTTTGTCTTAGCAGCGGAATCACCCTTTCTTTTTTCTTTCCCCCCCCCCCTTTTTTTTTTAAGCGGTATAAAGAACAAATCGCGGGGTTAGGAGACCGGGGTTCGATTCCCCGTCGGAGAGTTCTTTTTGGCATCTGTTCTATCTAAATAGATGAATGGGGAGGTGGTGGTGGGTGTGGTGGTGGGCGCGGTGGCTGCGGATACGAAGAAATTGAATTTTTTATGGTAAGCGAGCGCCCAACGAAATTACTATAAGAAAAACACATTAATTCAGTAAATTTTATGCAGGTGTTATCCATTAGCGAACTACTTGTGCCCTGAAGAGATCGTGCTGCTAAAGTATCATCTCAGGGGCGTGCGCGTTTTGCTTCACATTCAACTTTGAAAAATTAGCACTTTATCCTATCTCTGGCGCAAAACCCGGCGTCGAACAGCTAAGCTCGCGAAATATCCTTTATAAATTTAAAATACTAGCATGATCTGCTTTCAACTGGGCAGTGTTTGACGTGATAGAAATCTGGATGTGGATTTCAGAATTCAGATAACCGAAGATTAAGCAGGAGCGAAGATGTTATCTGCTGAAATAGACACTTAGCGTAGACTCTATTTAAATAATCAGTATACAAGAGCTTTTACGACAACTTCCTTGCTGAGAAGCAGGAGGACAGATGCATGGTTCTCTTTGTAAAACCAAAATGGGCAGCAGCGATAAGACAAGAAGGCCTATAAATTTGTGATCTGAGATCTGAGAAAGCTAATAGTACTCATACGACTCTTTGCTGATAATCGCCTGTCATCCTGCCTGAAGATCCAAGCCTTCGGGCAAAGTAAGCAGTTTCAGACCCGAGTCCATGACTGCAGGACCAGCCTCCCTACATCAAACTGATGTCGGTTTATTTGCAGTAGACATCATCAGTAGCTCCGTCGAAAGTGCAGTAACCATCGTTAGACATGACGCCCAGCTGGGTACGAAATATCAGTAAAAAATTCCGGCAAGCTATGTAGATTACTTACGTTGATGTAACCTCCGTCGCCCTGAGACTCGAAGTGGTTGTCCGGGCCACTCATGAAGAAGCAGTCGTAGCTGTAACAACCTTTTTAGCGCAAAGCATCACCAATTGCAGCGCATAACTTACTCGGTCATCAAACTGCCAAGCTTGAATTCGACAGTGCTCAACTCGCGCACCTTGGTCGTGTCGGACACCGCGTAACCCATGTTGTAGCAGATGGCGGCCTCGTTGTCACCCGCGCGCTTCTTCCACATCTCACGGACAGTGTTCTTGACAAAGTTCTCACGAGCCTTTTTTACAAAGTCGCCATTAGCATGTTTGGAGGGTAAAAAATTAAGTTGGGTAAAAGGTCCTTACATCGTCCCAGTGGGTGATGTCGACAATCATAGGCACGACTTCGGAGATGACCTCAGAGACAACGCTGCTTGCCACGCCACTGATGATGGTGGCAGCCATGGCGCCACGCTTTTCAAGCTGGACTGCGTTGGAAGATGCGTCCTGTCCAACAGGGGCAGCAGCAGCGGCCGCAAGGAACGGAGCAAGTGCGGTAATGTACTTCATGGTCGTGGTGGTAAAAGTTGATGGTAATGTGGAAAAGAATGGAATTGCAAGCCAGTTGCTATGACAGTGAACGAGCGAAGATGATGAATTGTACTCTAGAACGCAGGTGCTTTTGCACTCATTTATATAGATTGAAAGGTAGAAACATATGAATCAGTAGGTGATAGTTTTTGGATACATTCGCTTCCTCTGACAGACAAGAAAGTTCACTGAATCATTCCACGGTAGTCGTTGTGCTGCATCACTTCGTATTAACGTCCATCATGACTTGCGTTTTGTTCTTGGCAGCTGCCAAGTGAGGCGTTTCAAAGCACGGTGACCTGATGCAGTTGGCGCTGAATCAGTCACCGCAAAACTCTGCGCTCCTTATGAAATTAACGCACTTGACTACCTGAGTCGCGGTGTTGATGAACACTATTTTTAATTTTCGGGCCACTACCCGTGCCGTGCCGCCTGCGCCACTCCCCTGGAGAAGTAAAGGCAGAGCAATCAAGAGTGACGGAGCTACCTCCGGATAGTGGGTCGTTGAGACTTGATGATGTAGTCGTTTGAGGACATTAAATCGCCTCATTCTCGGAATAAGTTGGCTTTGAAAATCCACTTTGGGCACATCATACCTATCAAATTGCTGTTATCAATGTTGGAAGTGCTCGCCTTTCATTGTAGTTTGAGTTTTCGTCCAAAATAAAAAAGAAACGTTTTATTTTGACGGACTGAAAGCGCATCCCCGCAAGATCGACAGGGTCCGCGCGTTAGAGATTGACGACATGACCGTAGACCCTTGAAGACTCGCCTATTGTATCCGGTTCTTCGGGTTACATTTATGGGCCTCTATGCGCACACGAGCAATCCTGAGCCGCTATGGCCATACCTGCATAGCAGTTTGTAGGAAGAACTTCAGCATCAGGCGACACCGCAGGAAGTAACTACTCTGCAGAAGAAAAAGGTTTATCAAATTGTCTAAGGTACTTTTGAGGTTGAACTAGAGGCTGGGCTCATTGCTGTTAGTTGTGTGGTGCATAATTATATGTAAGACAACATTTACTTCTCCGAGAGTAAACATATCTCGACCAGTGTGCTTGCAAAGGATTGTACTTGGCATACAGTATTGAGTAACTAATGCCAACGTACGACGCTGCTGTCCACATTTATTACACTGATGACCGTTCCGTATCATTTGTATATTGCTGAAAGAAAGACCAAACACATTACAATTAGGAATTCACTGCCAAAGAAATGCTAGAGCCAATGTAATTAAGCATAATCAAGTAAGTTGAGTGAAGTCGTAATTTATCGTACAAGAAATTTCTCGCGTTAGTGCCGCATTCATAGATAAACTCTTCTACTTTAGCCCTTAGCATCGTGACAACGTGAGATCTTGACCAACTATCTGCATCCAGCGCCGTCCGATCAACCATCCGTGTTCTGATACCTAGAGACTACCTCTCTCCCTAACTGTCTCCGCCATCTGCTTTCCTTCCTCCGTACCAAGATTATCAAATCCGTTCGCGATACCTTGACGATCACCTGCAGTCATCTCCTGACTCATCTTCCACTTCCCCGCCATATCCTTTATCTCAATCTCGATCCCGATTATGGCCTTCTTCAACGCGTCGATGTATGGAGGAGGTGCATCGTCTACTTTCCAAGGCTTTTCGTACCCCATGATCTGCGTCTCGGATTGGTGCGTGAACTCGGCGACTTGTTTCGAAAGAAAGGAATCGGTAGAAGGCGCCTTGCTATCAAAGTAGACAGTGATTTTCCCGTAAGCTTGCACGGCAGAGTAGTTCCATGTTGGCACAACCTTGCCCGTTGCCGGCTTTGATTCAGTGTAGAACTTTGGCGTGATGTAGTGATCCATAGGACCGTTGAAGAGGATCATGACGTCTCGGGATAGTTGCAGAGGGGAACCGCTCTTGTTGTCGTCTTCGGAGCCTTGCGTGGACTTCAGGTGCTCCACTAAAGCTTTGGCTTGAGGGTTTGCTCGTGCCATGTGACCCCGCAGTATGCCGAGCTCTGTTTCGCTGCTTTCATCCTGCACGTCCAGGATAAACGGGATATGGCTGGATTGAAGGAACGGAAAGGATGGTGAATCAATTGCCGTGGTAAAGATGCCCAAAGGATTGGCGCGAATAAACCCGCGGAGAGTGGGAATGTGGCGTTCGGTGTGGATGGCACGGAGATACATCGTGCAACGGAAGGCAAGTAACAGCGAAGAAGGTGGATTGTGGTAGTAGAAATCTCAGGCTTGTAATGTTTGCTCAGAAAATTAGTAGTAGAGCATATGAGTTTATATATGTGTTCGGATTGCCAAATTTTTGGGCTTTGGTATGGCTCGGATAGAGCTGCCGAAACGGGTTCAGCGTCAAAGGCGGCTTTGAGGGCGACTAACGAGCACGGGCCGCAAAGTGACAGGGTTGTGATAATCAAGTGCTCGCCATCAATTGGCTACGGGAACCCTGCATCTGCTTGTATCTCAGTAACACAGCGCTGCTAGGCTGGATGCTCACATAAATTGCCTCTCCGTCGCCTCCGCAAGATGCATGCTTATCCCTTACGCATTCAATTCTCCCAGTCTCTTCGTTACCCGGGAGAACTGATTGCCCCATAACACATATCCTTGATCTACAGGCGTTTACCTAACTATTAGCCCGAACTTTTCAACGTCTCTTAATCCTACGCATCCAATGCCAATATGAAAACTCATTGCTTCAAAACTTGTCCAGTAACTTGCACGATATCCTTCAAGGAGAGCCGCCGGTGATGACTTGACAGCAAAATCTGAGTCATTCGTTACTGTAGTTGCAATGACAGTCATGATGCTAGCCCTAAAACCGAACAAAATTGTGAATCGATGTTAAAGATAGCCCCTGCTAATACCTGAGTGGAGTGTGGGACTGGGAAGACATTTGTAATGACCGTCCCGACAAGGTCAAGTTTCTGGTAGAACCTCGTCCATGTGAACCGATCTAGGCTTTGATTGGTTGATATTGCCCATATAGCGGCAATGAAATAAGGCTGTGCAATGGCAGTGCAGAAGTACTATAAGTACCTCCAGCCGACGGAGTCGACAAAAACACCACTCAAGCAGAGACCCAATGTGTATCCTAGCGGCTGTCCGACACCTAGCAGCGAAAAGCCAGTATTACGCCGTCATCCCCGCCTGGGAAGCTTTCGGAGAGAATGCTAACCGCGGTAAGAAGACAACAGGAGGCCACTACTCCTTGAAAGCCGCGAAAGACGATGATTTGGGTGTTTGTCTGGGCCAATCCGCTCGCGAGCGTTGAAAATAGGCATCCTACGACGGTACATGACGCGGCTGCCAACAGCATCTGCAACTGAGCCAGCTATCATCATAGAACAGCCGCTGGTGAGTCCATATACTGAACTAGGCCTACGTGAAACTCGTCAATAATATGCGAATTAATATCGACAGGAGACGTACCAGAGAAGGTATTCAGGGATTGTCAGATCCTCGGCCATTTGAGGAAGATCCACTGTAAGGAGAGTGGTGTCATACTACTAGCAACAAAGATGCCTGCTACAGCTCAAGATGATGCTAGACCGGAGGAGTGACAGCTTGGGTTCGTCTGGTGGCCTGGGCGCCGTGTTTCCACCCGACGTCGTCGCCTCGTCGTCGCGTTGAGGCTGAAGTTCAATCGTCGTAGTCGTAGATGTGCTGGTCCTGGGCGAAGGGGAAAGTACGAAGTGATGGTAGAAGACTTACGGCCGGGGTTGTTGCTGGTCTGGAATTGCCGAGGGCTTTCCCGGTCGCGGGCGGGAAACCAGCCACGCTAGCGATGAGAAGAGGCAACTGACAGCGAAACACACAACCGACAGCGAGGACCCATATTTAGCCTGGTAATACGACAAGAGAAAACTGCAGCTTTCATCGGGCGCATGGCGGCTATGTAATGGTTTGGATGTCAGTGGAAGACGTGAGGAAGGCTCGATAAAACAGACAGTCTTACGTCACGACGCTTTAGCCGGAATTGCCGGACAAGGTATAGCTCATCTTACCCCGTGGGGGTCCTGGGGTCCGGCTTATAAATTACCACTATGCAATGTGCCCGACGCCCTTCGTTCTTAAACCACCAAGGTGACACAGGGATCAAAGAAAAAATTTCTTCCGCGAGTACTGGCGCATACAATACTCTCGTTTTCCTCCCTACTCCACCAAGAGCCTCGACCAATCCCGCAGTGCAAAATCTTGTCATTATCGATACCATGATCCAGCCACTACCTGCAACCAATGGGCTACGCAAGCCACCGTATATCCGCGAATCTACTCTGGATGACGCTACCCACATTGCGGAGCTCGGCACTTATGTCTTCACTGTCACTTATAGCCATTCCATGCCTTCATACGAGCTCCAAGCGTACCTGAACAAGGCATACTCTACCAGAGCAATCACCAAAGACATTGAGGATCCCGCGAAAGATGTAATAGTCGCAGTCGACCCAGGCGATGAGATCCTGGGATTCGGCATTCTTACTCGCGGCACCAGCGACCCCTGCATTGATGACCTTGAGAGCAAAGTCGAGCTGCAGCGCTTATATGTCCACCCTGATGCGCACGGAAACGGCATCGGAAATCTGCTCGGAAAGAGAATGGAAGAGATAGCGAGAGAGCAGGGTTTCAAGAACGTCTGGCTAGGCGTTTGGGAAGAAAACTTAATTGCCCAAAAGGCGTACCAGAAATGGGGATACAAGCGGGTCGGCTACCGCGACTTTGTTATAGGAGATATTACTCAGATAGGCTTCATTATGACGAAGAGCTTGTAAGCTTTCATACTGTAGATATTGCTTATAAATAACGTATAAGTTTAATATGGTATGTTGTCATTCGATGTTTTCCCTGATGCTTTCCCGACGTCCTTCACCGCACCAACACGAGGACGAAATTCTGTACAAAGATGCACAGAAAAAGAGCAACCTACACAAACATATCATGCGCTTACTGATCAGCGCTAATCAATTCAAGGCACAGTCATAGCGTTAGTACCTCGTACCATCCAGCATCAAGAACGTGCGGCAATGTGATCACAAATGAATAGCTGTATCCAAGACACTTTATTATCGATGATGAGGAACATGCGCTTGTAGTATGACCCCGCGATGAACACTGAATTAAGAATGCAATTCCAACAGTGAAACAGCCGCGGGCTCAGCAGCATTTAATACATATGGATGAATTAAGCAGCACAATAATACTGGACTATATTCGGAAAAGCTGCCAAACATTCGCAAGCCGCTCATATCTACACCGCAAAACTATAATCAGCATTGGAAATAGAATTTTCTAATGCTTTGTCAAGTCGTGTTGTGTACGGTAAGTATAGGCGGAATTAGGATTGCACCACCAAGCATCGACCGCTAACGTTTACAATTGGCGAACGCACGATCCACGTCGAGCCTGACAACCACCGGTGAATCACGCCCTTCCAAGTACAAGGTCTTTGGCAACCCCAGGATAAGAAGCCCCTTCTTTGAGTCACACTGGGAACATAATACTTCAGAACCATCAATTGCATATCCGAGAACCTCCACGCCGTCATGATGGACTTGAAAGTTCATTTGAAGAAAGAAGGTAGTTGCTTTAGCGACGAAATCTTCTCTACTGGAGATGAGATAATAGGGGAGGCTCTCATCACTGCCACTGATGACTTCCGCATTGACGATCTCGACATTTCGTTTACGGGTAAGCAGTCACACTGACGAGAACACAGCACATAATGAAAACAGGCACTAATCGCTTTTACAGGATACTCTCAGACCAGCTTTGACAGCATCGCTGCCTCTCTACCCTCCACAACCGAGAAGCGATTTCTGCACCTTCAACAACCAACTGAAGCGTCAATATGTGGCAGTGTCCTCAAAGCAAACCATACCTATACCATCCCATTCAAATTCATTGTTCCGGATCGGCTTTTGCCGAGCGCATGCTCATGCAAAACCTATGAGGACCATCTCGTATTGCCACCTACCGTAGGCGGCGAACAATGCTGGAAACGACATGGGAAGATTCTGGATGACCCGACGCCAGAGATGGCAAAGATATCATACAAAATCACGGCAACGTTAGCGCATAGGGACCGCTACAATCACAAAAGTATTACGCGCTCCTCTCGAGCCGTGTGCGTTATTCCAAACTTTTTCGAGGCCCCTCCATTGATCCCAAGTACTGCATCCGAGTACCGCTTTCGCCAGGAGAAACCCATTAGTCGGGGCCTTTTCATGGGTAAGTTGGGCCATGTCGTAATGGAAGCACACCAACCGAACGCTCTCAAATGTGGATTACTTAGGCCTGGATCGCCGGCCTCGACGACACTGATTCTCCGATATGACCCTTCTTCCGAAAATTGTACTCCACCAGTGCTCGACAACATCAAGAGGAAGATCCAGGCTGTCACTCTTTTCCAGGGAGGGCAAACATATGTCGCAGACAAGAAAACCCCACAGAACTTACTGCGTCCATATCACGAAACAATGTCGTTGTCTGCACTCTGTGTTTCTGGGATGCGATGGCAGAAGCTCTCGCCAACATGGGCTCACGAGCAATTGCTTCATGGAGATACTCCATGTCTTCCTACACCTTCAAGCGGATACACCGGAGGTGTGTACTACTTGCTTAGACTGTCATTGCCGGTTGAACTCCCGGAAAGCAAAGCTCTTGTTCCCACTTTCTATTCTTGTCTTGTGTCTCGCTTTTACCGCATGGAAATCTCCCTCGCGCTTTCTACTACTTCCTCGTTGTCTGTGTGTGTACCGCTTCAGCTCTGCACATGATCTCATCTACGTCTATTAAGTATAATATCCAAGAGTTTTATGAATTTACTAAATGAATTACTATGCTCAAGACTTGTTCGTCAGAGAAACTTAGAGGCATTAAGCAAAAACATCTTACAAATTCTCTTATTACCTCTTACAGGCATTTCGCACGCAAATGATTATGTTGGATTGAATGGTTGAAACCGTGCGAGAGAAGAGAGAACGCGGCTTGATTTTGAAAGAGTGTCTGGCAGCGAGCTTTATATACATGAAGAGGCAGAGCAGTCATGTGCTCGCTTGTAGAAAGTAACAGGGGAGTAACAAGGTGTTGAAACAACGAAAAAGCAATGTGAATATAGAGAATAATGCAGGATAAGAGATGGTGTGATATAAGAAATATGGCCTGATAGTCCAACAGATTATGTTAGGTATGTACTATGAGACGGATATACATAGAAATACTATTTAATAAATATAAACTAAACAGTCATTACGCAGGTTAACTCTTACGGTGACTGAAAGTGAGCCAAAGCTTTGATGGTAACTTCTCACACTATCATCCCGTGGAATGCTTCCAAGATATAAAGGGCCGGAATCTTCTGGAAAGCGCTTATACGTTATTAATTATCTCTTTACCAGTATAGCTTTTAGAAATTTTGCAGCTAGCCACTAGTATCTGTAGGTCGATACTAACATAAACTACAGTCAGCGCATCACAACAGTCTCGCTGAACCAAGAAAAAACATGACAGGAACCTATTCCCGTGTTGCCAGTGCTTATCTTTGAGTTTAACTAAAAGCATTTTCGCTGAGATCTGTACACCTAGGTACATGATGTACCGTATAGCCATCCGCTTCGTAGCGCAAGGCTTTGTTTCCGGACCTGATGACAAACAACCACTTAATTTGGGCTATCTAAAGCAATGATTGGTAAGCAAGAATCCGTTGCCGGACATTTGGCAGTCGTTGACAATGACAACCCGAAGCGGCTCCTATCAACAATTTCAACAAAGAGAATCACCGCATGTAGTTGTTCCACAACACCAACCGACAGAGCGGGTCTTTATCTTTTACGCTTGGTAATCGCAATATCGTAGCTTATTTAATCGCGTCAGATGCCCTTGGTACTCTAAAACACCTCAAAACCCATCTGTCTCTCCACTCTAGTGGCCGCAAGCAAATCGCAATTAAATTGCAATTCATAATGGACGCCAATGCGTTTACTCTTCCATTTCAGCTCACAAAGGCTATGCACCGCGATGTGTATCCGGCAACTGATCCATCAAGCCCCTCCATTAACACCTCTGGCAAGATCGTTATTGTTACTGATGCCAGCGGAGGCATTGGAAGCGTGAGTTGGACCCCCTTGAACAAAGAACGTGGGCAGAGCTGATTCGGGCCAGAATGTCGGCAAAGCCTGGAGCACAGCCGGTGCAAAAGCCATCATCCTTGTCGGGCGCGACGTTGCTAAGATAGAGACTATGGTAAAAGAGCTGAAGCTTGAGAATGCCGTCGTTTACCCCTGCAACATGACCGTCGCCGAGGACGTGGATTCTCTCTTCAAGAGTGTGCAGCAGAAGTATGGTAGACTCGACGCCATCGTCAATGCCGCAGGCACAATGGGCGATGCTAAGCCCATTGGTGAGGCTAACATTGCGGCTTGGTGGCAAGACTATGTATTAAGCTTGACCCGTCCCTTTGTCATCTTTGATACTGATCTGATTTCATGATAGGAAATCAACGTCAAGACTACCTTCCTTACGGCACACTACTATGTCAAATACTTCGAGGGCAAGGGTACAATTGTCAGTGTCGTCTCGCTGGCAGCTTTCTTATCGAACCCAAATTCGAGCTCGTACTCACCGGCAAAGCTGGCCCAGATTAAAATCAGCGAACTTATCGGCCTTGAGTACCCTGAGCTGCGTGTCTTTTCAGTGCACCTGGGCATTGTCGAGGCTGAGAACAGCAGAGGTACTGTGATTGACATGTTCACACCTTTTGCCAAGGACAAGGCTCTGGCAACTGGCGGGATTTCCCTCTTCCTTTCGACTCCCAAGGCCGATCACCTTACGGGCTTGTTCTTGTCCGTCAACTGTAAGCATCATTATTGTACGGATTCAATCTACTGTTCTAATGCTGCAATAGGGGATATTGAAGAGGTTATTAAACACCAGGAAGAAATATTGGCCAAGGGACTGTTGAAGCCTGTGGCTCTCCGCGCTCGGCTAGGCCCAAATGGTCATCCCTGGACTACTTAAGTTAAACCTTTGACGGGCAATATGGATGTGGCATGAGGTTACTTAGTAGCGAAGATTTATTGTAACTTGTTGCATGCTAGTTATACTCAAGCTGTCCCAAAGAAAACGACACTGAATTCAGCTTATCAAATGGTTTTAGTTCCAATGGCACTTTAATTACAAAAACAAAAAACCAATCTCAACACCGCTAAAAAAGTGCATGTGCAAGCTCTCCCAAACAATTTATGAATCATAGTACGAACCATAGTCAAAATGATCTCCCGGGCCATATGGAAAGTACCCACCTATCTCCAGTCCGCCTTGTAGTTGGTGAACATCCATTCCTCGTTCTTCTCGTAAGAGTTGAGACGCAGTAACCCGAGCTTGCGTTGCAGCCAAGCAGCCAACTCCATATGAATACTTTCAGTCTTTCAGAGATTGGACGAGGCGGTCTCTTAGTCCAGTCAAGGGCTTATTAGACTCGTCCCGTGGCGTGTAAGCAAAAGAGGGTCGCGTCGTCGTAGCCTTTCCATCTGGTGGCACGGCTCGCATCGCCATGCCACCGCCCAAGCTGACTACGGCACGTCCTTCGCGTGCTGGGACATGCTTCCAGCCTCCATCGTCTTTGCCAGCATGCGTGTCAATTTGTAACCCCGGCTCCTCTGTGAAGAGAAGCGTAGTAGCCTCTGAGTCAATATCCAGGTTTTGTGGAACACCTCTTTCGGCTTCTAACTGATCAGGATCATCCCACAAGTGGTCGACCATGTTGAGGGTTCCTTCCACCAGACGATTAGGTAGTTTGGTGTCTTCATTCGGGACCCAAATGAAAGAGCGTACGAGGGTAATCATCGCATCTTTAGCAGCACTCGCAAAATCCTGGACGGTAGCAGGGTTGTTGCCTCGAGCCAGGTCTATACGGCTTCTTAAGTTGAAGGTATCATCATCGCTGAACGGGATAAAAGTTCCTATAGATCCAAATACATCTTTGGGGTTTTTCTTGGACCTAATAAAAATACAGTGAGCTTTGGTAAAAAAAATAGGGGAATGGTTTCTAATACCTATCGGGTTTCATTGCGCCTGATAGGGCCCCAGTCTGATTGGAGAGATCTTCTAGAAGATCATAAATCTTCTCTGAAATTTCAAGAAGAGGACCTGGGCTACCATCTGTGTTTCGGAGGTCGAGGTAGAAAAATCCATTGGTTTTGGCTGCCTCGAGCAGCTTGGCCAGCTCAGATTCATCTTTGTTTCGAAGCAGCTGAAGCGAAATGTCGGCAACTTCGTCAGCTTCAGCGGCCTGGGAAGCCTGGAAAGTTTCCATGATATCCATGATGAAGGTGGTTTGGCATCGAAAGACCCCACTTCGATGTTCGCTTTATACTCAACAGCATACAATTCCATACGTCACCAAACTATCACATGGAGACGATGATGGCGGCGGGGGTCTGACTATGCGTGGGGCACAAGACATCATAATTGCATAGCCAGACTTTAACTATCTACAAAAGAAATACTCGTGAAACATGTTAAACTTTAGGAGAAGCCTTGCCTCGACCATGCCATGGATATGTCGCATCAATATAGCTACCACGCTAAAATCTGACTGCTTTCAGCGCTACGCTTCTCCATTACTTTTCTAGTTGCTCCATGCGCCCAATGCTCAGCACCTTCCCGTCCTGCAGTGCAACGCCGTAGCTCCTCGATCGTGGAACATTCGGCAAAAGTAATAGGCTCACACCCCTGCACCATGCCAGCGCCGGAACCGATGATGCGAGGCATATGCATGTTGACGCAGGCTCTGCACACAATGACGACAAAGAGCTTACTAGCAAGTGTTCCATCACCTCCTGCACGCTGATACTGGACCGATCCTCAAGCGCGACTGGAAAACTTAATCTGAACTTCTGATAACTATTCTCGATGGTGCACCACAGCTGTACGACAGGTGTCGGGTCGCTCCCAACGACGTGCTCCTGCTCAGCAAACTGGATGCCAAGAGATGCTATTCTCCAAACTCCCCGTTATCTAAATATTCAAAGTCATCTGTTCATAAGAGAACTAGCAAGCCCCTTTCAAAACCTCGACGCAAGACTCATGTCCCTCTGCCTCGGCAAGCTCCAAAGCAGACCTCCCATCCACGGCTCGAAAACTAGCATCCGCCCCCCGTTCGAGCAAAATCTTGACTACTTCTGTCTGCCCCCTCCATGCCGCTTCACAAAGCGCACTTTTGGCGTCTGGTCTGGGCTCATCATCGAAAATGTTGTCTGGAATCTCATCGATAGGTGCTCCTCGGTCCAGCAAGAAAACGAGCACGTCGGTGCGTCCGGTGTAAGCTGCTCTTTGCAGCGCGGAAGACCCCTTTAGCTTTGCGCCAGCATTCAAGAGCGCTTCAATCACCGGGATCGAAGACCAACAAACAGCCACTTCAAGCGATCTCCAGCCGAAAATGTCAAAGTTTGCATTGGGATCGGCACCGTGAGAAAGCAGAAATTGGACCAGATCCAAGTTATCTTCTCTCACGGCCAAGCTGCACGAGATGTCAAAAACATTTTCTTGAAGACCATGTAAGGGTGCCTAAGCAAAGCGGCTTACACAAGAGCGTCTCCAGCATGGCCGAGGTTGGAACTAACGTTCCAGCCACGAGCAACCAGTGCCTTGAAGATGTCTTTGTGATTCTCCCGCACGGCAACTTCTAGTGGGCCTGTGGAAAGAATTAGCCGGAATTTTTACGCTGATACGATGCGCTTACCAGGCCCAATCCAAGCGCCATTGTCGAAGAGCAGTTCGAGTGCCGCGGGATGATTACAGCGCGCGGCGGCATGATGTGCGGCTTGCATTGCCGGCGTCGACGGGACCGAGCTGTTCTGCCCGAGTCGGGGATTTTGTGCTCTTTCGAGCTCAAGGAGGCGACGAAGCCTGTCCAGGTCGTTGGTTTCAGCAGCGCTAACGAAGTCGTCCATTGTGATTGCAATTGCGACGTAGTGGAGAAACGGGCAAAGAATTTGCTTATAAACTGGTACACAATTTTGGCCCCCATGCGGCAGATTTATGTAGCGCGCGCTCACGAACATTCCCCGGGTAACAACACAGTGAAGCGAGACAGGATTTTGCCTACCTAAGCCAACAGTCTCCCACCATCCGTACTAACCTTGCTACCCGTAGCAAAGCGATCCTTCATCAGATAGATGTACGCCTCAGCAACGTCCTCCGGTCTACCCATGCAGCCCACCGTCGTCTTTTCCGCAGCCTTGTCAAAGGCGCTCTGCAACTCGCTTTCCGGCAGCAACGACTCCCAAGACTCCGTCTTCACCGCGCCCGGCGCCACTATGTTCACCCGCAGAGGCTTCAGATCGACCACAAGGGCGCGCACCATTCCATCGAGCGCAGAGCCGTACGCTGCGGGGATTGCCCACCCCGCCGCCGGTTGTTCGGTGTTCACGCCACCGGTGAAGGTGATGCTGCTGCCAGGCCCCGAGACCATGTATGCCGGGGCCAGCTTGGCAATCACCAGCGGGCCTAGGAAACGTACCGCGCCGGCAGCTTGCACGGCGGCCACAGTCGTGTCGCGTATGTTCGCCAGGGACAGCCGGTCGCCGGCCGTGAAGACGACGTGATTCAGCTTGCGCGTGCCGTCGTCGGTGGCAGCGTCCAGAAGGGCCGTGACATTGGTCTCGAGCGCGTCAGCAGTCGAGAGGTCACACACGTAGCCGTCGATGCGTTGCTGCTGTTGTTCTTCATCTTGTTTCTGCTCGGGATAGCTGGTACGCAGACGCTGGATGGCGTTAGATAGTTTGCTGGCAGTGCTACCGCTAAGGAAGACAGAGGCGCCGTTCTCGATGCATGCTTCGGCGACAGCAAAGCCAATGCCTGATGTTCCGCCCAGGATGAGCACGTGGTGGTTGAGCAACTTGGAGGTGTATTTTGAGGCCATGACCGATACTGACGTAAGCTAGAGAGAGGTTGGTTTGAAGAGCCCACTGGAAGAGGGTGAGCGGCATTTTATCCTCCGGCTGCTAGCTGCAGTGTAACGTGAGGCTGTGACATTCAAGGGACCCCCTGTCTTTGTCCCGCGCTCCCGCTTCGGACCCGCGGCGGCCCGCTACCCCTGCTCAAGATCGGTTAACAATATCAAGGCTGATCGATTAGAACCGTATGTAAAAGAATATTGCGTAGCAACGTCCGGCTACCGTTATACACTCAGGTCTCTTTTGCATCTCCCTCGAAAATGATGAGCAATGAACCGCTCCCCGCTCCAGACCATACCAAGCGGAACTTTTTCCTGATCTCATGCGTTGTTCTCTGCGAGCCAATCTCGTCAACGATGCTCTTACCATTCGTATACTTTATGGTTAAGGATTTTGGATATGCGGAGGAGAAAATTGGCTCGCGGGCTGGAATTATCAGTATACAGCAACCCAATCGACCCTCAGTCAACTGCGCGCTGACACTCCTTAGCGTCTTGTTTTTTCGTTGTTCAGATGTTCTCTACCCCTCTCTGGAGCATGTGGTCAAACAGAGCAGGTCGGAAAGTGACACTCCTAACGGGCCTATTCTTCACCGCGGTCGGCATGGTTTTGTTCGGCCTGTCTCGTTCCTTAGTCAAAGCCATTCTGGCACGCTCCTTTTGCGGCCTTTTGAACGGCAACTTCCCGGTTGCCCGTACAATGGTCGGAGAGCTTGCCGAGAAATCAGGGACGGACAAAGGAAAGGCTTTCTCGCTCTTTGGCTTCACTCTTGCCGCAGGATGGTTGCGTAAGTGCATGACCCCTCACAATGGACAAGTGGATGCCATTGACTCTATACAGTTGGCCCAATGATCGGAGGTGGGCTCGCAAGGCCCGCAATCCAATTCGGGGTTTCGGGTCCAAAAGACGTCTTTGTTCATTTCCCTTACCTTTTGCCGTGTCTCTGTGGGGGACTCATCAACCTCGTTGTTTTCGTTGCAAGCTGGTGCTTATTGGAAGATACGAAACCAAGTCTCCCTAAAGATGTTCGGCCTAACTCAGCCGAAACCGATCCTCTACTTGACCCTGGCCAAGTGGAAGAAGCTGGCGCCGGTTGCACTCCTAATAGCGGCAGTCCCAGCGTGTCAAACCGGCGTGTCTATATTCTGTGCCTTGTGAGTGTATTGTAAGTGTCCCTATTGCAATATTTGGTTCAGCAGAGTCTAAAGCGTACAGGTTCTTCTTCACTCATGCCATCTTGTTCGACGAGCTCTTTTCACTCTTTACAGCATACAGTTTGTCATTTGAACCTGGAGATATTGCCTCGGCGCTGATTGTTTCGGGGCCTGCCATGTTGATTTCAATGCTAGGTTTTCCTCCGGTTCATAAGCGCGTCAGTTCACTGCAGCTCTATCGGTGGTCTTCTTTTGTTTTTGTGATTATATACCCTCTTTTTTCTCTTGTGCCTCATGTCAAGCATGCAGGCAATGGCTGGGTTTGGGCGAGCTTGGTGATATTGATCGCACTTCGATACTCGACTCTGGTGGTCTCTCTCACTAGCGTAAACATCCTGGTAAGTGCTGCCGGCCGGATAGAGTGACGCCCCGCTGATAACAAGGCCTAGATTAACGATTCCGTGGTCCCAAAAGAGCGCGCAATGGTTAATGGTCTTTCGCAGTCGATAGGCTCTCTTGCGAGGGCGGTGGGGCCAACGCTCGGCGGCTGCGTTTGGTCTTGGAGTTTGTCAAACGGGCTCGGTGCGCCTCTGGACTTTCATGCTTCCGTAAGCCAGCTGATGCAGTCAAGTTTATTGTACGAATGCTGACTCGGAAAGTTTATCCTTCTGGCCATCCTGGGCGCAGCTCAAGGAGCAATTGCGCTGTCAATCCCGAGACAGCAGGCAGCGTAGCGATTGGTGTGGTGTAAGCAGTTGTTGCAAGGGTATCGGCGATAGGCATGTCGGCGAGCAGGGATGTCGGCGAAATGCTTTCTTCTTTTTCAGATATGTAGGTACGTCGGGGCCCGGGCGCCGCCATCGCCGACAAGCGAACTTACATACGTCAGACCGGCACACCTTCCCCACACATTCACTGCTCCACCACGTTGATTATCCTCCTATGCATGCGCCATGCCTTCTCGAGTACCACGTCGGCGCACCCTAGCACGGGGCGGACCGCCGCCGCCCGAACACTCCCGCGACTGGTGCTGGTCGTTGCACTCGATCACGGGTTTGCGAGCATGGAATCTATAAAAAAAGATTTCTTATGCTACGTTGAACCAAGAATCACATTGTTTTGACTGTCCTTCAATTATTCAGATGAGCTTTCGTCACTATGGCGCACACAGAGACCGCAGAGAATGATGTTGCCATCGTTGGCATGGCTTGCAGGGTTCCAGGCGCGGATTCCTCCTCCAAACTTTGGGACATACTGGCAAGCTCGAAAGACGTTCAGAAAGAGATTACCCGCTTCAACGGGGATGGGTTTTACGCGCCGGACGGAGGACCCCGGAAAGGCTTGACAAACGTCAAACAATCCTACTTCATCGATGGAGATGTAGATTGCTTCGACAACAACTTTTTCGAACTATCTCCGCTGGAGGCCAATGCCATGGATCCCCAGCAGCGTCTGCTCCTGGAGGTTACCTACGAAGCAGTCGAAAACGCCGGTATCCCATTGGACAATTTCCGAGGAACAGACACGGCTGTCTTTGCTGGTGCGTGCTAGCCATTACATTTAACACGGGTGTTACTAAAAGGTTATTGTTAGCTACCACAAGTGGGGATTATGCTGTCAATACGTTGCGTGACATCAATGCGACTCAAAAGTACACGTCCACCGGAACGTCGAATGCTATCATGGCGAATCGACTGAGCTACTTCTTCGATCTTCACGGCCCCAGCCTGTTAATCGACACTGCTTGCTCGTCCACAATGGTTGCCTTGCACTACGCCGTATCTTCTCTGAAATCAGGCGAGGCGGGTATGGCCGTTGTCTGTGGCGTCAATCTTATCCTCAACCCAGACATGTTCGTGCATATGTCTGAGCTGGGGTTTCTTAGCCCCTCTGGACGCTGTCGAAGCTTTGATGCTTCTGGCGATGGTTATGCTCGTGCTGAGGGAGTGATTTCCCTTCTGTTGAAGCCTCTCCACCGAGCTCGCCAAGATGGCGACCCTATACGTGCAGTGATCAAAGGGACCAGACTGAATCAAAACGGGAAGACACAAGGGATCACTCTTCCATCCACCGAAGAGCAAAAAGCCAACTTAGATGCTCTCTACCACAACTGTGGTATCGACCCGGCCGAAATCCAATACCTTGAAGCTCACGTAGGTTTCCGGTCTTTGCATAGCTCCTTTTGAAGTTCATGCACATCCTTTTTCATTGCGCACCTAGGCTTCGACTCAATTCGCATGTCTTTTAGCTTCTCTTTCACTGTACTGATGATCGGCAGGGTACTGGAACTGCCGCTGGCGATCCCCTCGAATTAGGCGCCATTAACGCCGTGTTTGCACCGTCGCATAAAATTCAGAAGCTTGTGGTTGGGTCTGTGAAATCCAATATCGGACATCTGGAGTCTTGCGCCGCGCTTGCTGGAATCGCCAAAACCGTCGAATGTCTGGAACGAGGCCTCATACCTCCTCAGATGCACTTCGAAAAACCTAATCCAAAGATAAACTTCTCGAACATTGAGATTCCGACAAGCGTTCTTCCATGGCCTACGTCTAAAAATGGCGTCCGGAGGGCAGGCATCAACTCGTTTGGCTTTGGCGGAACGAACGGTCATGCAGTGCTCGAGTACGTGCCGGGAAAAGCTGATAGCCTCATGCCGAACATGCGTCCCCGGCTGTTCAAGGTATCTGCCGCGAACGATTCGTCTTTGACCCTAATGGCAGCCTCCTATGCGAAATATATCGAATCTGGGCAACCCGATCTGAATGACCTGGCCCACACACTTCTCGCACGACGGACAACTCTGAAGAAATCCATGTTTCTTGTCGCCTCCAGCTCAGAGGAGCTAGTCGGAAAACTCAAGGATCAAGGAATCCCTCGCATAACGAGATCTAGAGAATCTAAACCCAAGATTGGCTTTGTTTTCACAGGTCAAGGAGCCCAGTGGGCGACCATGGGTAGCCAGCTGTTGAAGGAAAGTCCAATTTTCCTCTCTACAGTCTCCGAATGCGACCAGGTCCTCCAGGCCCTACCTGACGCTCCCAATTGGCGTGCAATTGAAGAACTGGCCAAAGCAAAGGACACGAGTAGGGTTAGCATATCCAGTCTCTCACAGCCGCTGTGTACGATTCTGCAGATAGGCCTGGTGGAGTTGTGGAAATCCTGGGGCATCAAACCGTGCGCTGTCGTTGGACATTCTTCTGGCGAGGTGGCTGCGGCATATGCAGCGGGCATCCTATCCCTTGCTGATGCTGTTATTGTCGCCTTCTACCGTGGTCTTTACTTGGGGACGCCATCCCCTGCACTGTCGACAAAGAAGGGAGCTATGTGCGCAATTGGTCTGAATGAGATCAATTGTCGTATAATCCTCGAGAAGTACCCTGGACGCGCATGTTTGGCAGCTGTGAACTCTCCCAGTAGCTGTACACTCTCGGGCGACGAAGATGCTATTTCAGCAATTGCCGAGAGCTGTGAAGCAGATGGCACCTTCTGCAGGATGCTTCGAGTGGACATGGCTTACCATTCTCACCACATGCTGCCACTGGCGCCAGTGTACGAGAATGCCATGACCATGGCCGGAGTTTCTCCTACATCACCGCCCGAGGGAACATCCGCCGCGATGTTCTCATCGGTGTATGGCGGCCGAATCAATCCCAAATCATGCATTCCGGCATATTGGAAGGAAAATATGACCTCAACTGTCCAGTTCACGGCTGCGATCCGCGAGATGATGCTCCAAGAACACGTCGATGTTCTTGTGGAGCTAGGGCCCCATCCCGCCCTAAAAGGCCCTGTTTCAGATACGATCGCTGATTTGGGTCAGGCAGAGTTACCTTACTTTGCTTCGTGCTTCCGTGGAAAACCTGACATGGTTGCCCTTTTGGAGTCAGTGGGACAAATGATCGCTACGAACATGCCTATCGATGCTGCTAGAATCAATGCAAAAGAAGAGGCACATGGTTCCAAACACGCATACCGCACCGGTCGAGTCCTCACTGATCTTCCGAAGTATGAATGGGATCATTCCAGCTCGTTCTGGGCCGAATCACGTATCAGTCGCAATATTCGCTTTCGCCATTTTCCCCGGCACGAGCTCCTTGGCTCTCGGATTGCTGAGGATACTGCTTTGTGTATGGGATGGAGTAATATCCTGAACAAGAAGGAGATTCCTTGGCTTGAACAAATTATTCAGGTTCGCTATTTCACTCATTTTTTGGATCACCTTACTTACACCTTCTTAGGAAACCAAGGACGCTTACCTTACTCCAAGTCTCTTCCTCCTGGATGCATGGGAAGCAGCGCGTCAGATAAATGTTGTCAAACGTTTCAACAGACCTATCATCCAACTGAAGGAGGTTACCATTGAGAACCAACTTCCTTTATCCTGGTTCAGAGGCGAGGAAGCTTCTGTCGAGCTGCACTTCGCCTTTCGGAGCCACGATAAAGCTCCGGGCGGAGAATTTGAACTATCTGCGCTCTCTCCAAAGTCTGACGACAGCTGGGTCAGGCTCTGCACTGGGACCATGCAATTCCTTGAAAAAGCTACGCAGCCACAGGGCTTCCAGAAACGGGTTGTTCATGACACCAAGCTCCAGCACTATCTCAAATCTTTTGAGGTTGTCGATACCAGCCTGATTCACGACTTCGGCATGGATGATTCGAGTGCCCGTGGTCGGCTTCAGGTCAGTGTGAACGACAAATACCAATTGGACCCTGCAGCTTTCAGCACATTGTTGCAAGTCGAAAAACTCATGATGCTTAAATCTGGACTGCCTGGCGAATATCAGCTGCGGACCGTCAGTTCCGTAGAAACTGAGATTGGTCCTTCCTCATGGAATGACCCGCGATTCCTCATCAACGCTGTCGAAATGGGTTCCGTAGCAGGCATGCTAGATCTCTCATTTGGGGATTCCGATGGCAACTATATCGCCTTCCGTGGCATGGGGTTCGAAATCGAAGAGCAGACCCAACCGAAGCCTCTTCTGGAGTCGCTATTTTTCAAGCCACAACTCCTCCATGACATAGCGTCACCTCTTTTTTCGGCCGGCCGTGAAGGTGTCCCGGCGAACATGAAGATATCCGAGCTGATGCTTCTGCTAACGCACAAATGGCCTAGCGGCGATGTGGCTCTTGTGAATATGGAGCCTACCACAGTTGACGCGATAGTATCCTCCACCCCAGGTCTCCAGCAGAAGGAAAGGCCGCGTTTGCGGTCTTTGACTATTGTTGGAAGCTATCAAGGACCAGAAAACCCACGGATCCGTGTGGTGGAGGGTCTGGATTCGAAATCGAAGTTTCATATGATGTTTGGAACTATGGAAAAGCTTCGGCACTCGGTTTCGATGCTTCTGTCATCCGGTTTATTATGCGTCCAATTCGACTCCGCTGAGGAACGTGCTTCATTCGCCGAGTACTTCGACCTCGTTTGTGACATTGAAGGATTGACACCGAAGAACTGGATCCTGGGTCGTCTCAAATTTTCAAGAAGTTCTATGGCATCACGAAAACTAAAAGTCTTCTCCAACCCATCCATGAACGTTTCTGCGCTATCGAAGTCTCTTCATTTCGATCATGCTCCACTACCAAGCCGGGAGGTTGATAGCGTCATGCTCCGCGATTCCGGCAGTTCAAATGACAAGCCGCGGAGTATTATTGTGTTGGACTGCGGTGCAGGATCCATTCTTGCGACCAAGTCGGCGAACGAATGGCTCTCGTGGCTTCAATGGACTGTTGAGGATACTGAGACACTCTTATGGGTTAATCAGCAAGAAGACACACAGCCATTTGCAAACGTTGCTGGCAGCTTCATACGCACCCTGCGTTCGGAGTATCCAGCTTTGAAGGCTGCAAGTCTTGTGATCAAAGACCGTCTTCACTCGGATTCCTTTGCAGATGTCGTATCCGAGGTCTATACTTGCTTGGACGACGGAAATCCCGAAGTGGAACTGGTGTTCCGGGATGGAACGCTCCAGTGCCTGCGGTATATGCCAGATGATCAGCTCAATGCCTCCGTTGGGCGTGTTCCCCCCGTGAGCACCCAGCAGAGTCTGATCGATAATGAATATCGCATCGCATCAGCCGGAAGCCGCCGCACTGGTTTACTCTTAGGCCCTCCGGCTATCCGACACAGTTTGGCTGTGGACTCCGTGGTGGTTGAGACGCAAGCATCATCTATCGATTTTTCAGATGCTGTGGCATTTCAGGACCTCAGCTATGTGGGCAGGACTGGCACTGGATTTGGCCTGTTCTTTGCCGGCATTGTCGTTGCAACCAACTCTCCCGAATTTGAGCAAGGCACTTCGGTTGTCGGCTGGTCACGCGGCGCACATCGATCATCTATTGAGGTTCATGATACACGCCTCCTTACAATTCCCGAAGGATTGTCTGCTGCAGATGCGGTTACATATTTCGCCGCATGCGCAACAGCATTTGCCGTAATTGATGGAGCAGCTCGCGCTCGACCCGGCGACTCTTTCAATTTGCATAACTATGGGCTTGTTGCCACAGCGATCGAAAAAGTATGCCAAGAGTTCGGGGCAACTTTGTCAAAGGCCAGTTTGGCATCCTCGGACTTTTTAATCACCTTCGACGGAGCTAGAGGCCTGACATTCAACGGACGGCGGGTCTCTGTTTGCCACTATCTCGAGACCACCAGCCGACCACCACTCTTGTCCCCTCTATTCCAAAGCTTGCTAAAAGACTCCAACTCTCGGTCTTTGCTATCCGAAACGACTACTTTCACATTACCAGAACTGCAATCTGCTTTCAACGAAGGAGCTATCCGGCCTCTACAGAGCGTTGTCCTTCACTCTGGCAAAGAAAAGGTGCATAACGTAACAGTAGACTATACACCTGCACCCCAACTATTTACAGATGACGGCGCTTACATCCTCCTTGGCGGAATGGGCGGATTGGGTCGACACCTGGCGACGTGGATGGTCATGAACGGAGCCAAGAACATCGTCACCATCAGCAGAAGCGGCCTTTCGAGTGCGGATGCAAAACAATCAGCGCAGACTGTGGAAGAACTTGGTGGCCGTATAGTGGCTTTCTCGGTGGATGTGACAAACTCCCAGGCCCTGGACGATGTTATCTGCAAAGTTCGTCAGCAACACAAAATTCGCGGCTGCCTCAACCTGGCAATGGTCCTCCAGGATGCCCCGTTCATGAAGATGACCCCAGAGATGTGGGATCGTGCCCTGAGACTCAAGGTAGATGGTTCATGGAACCTGCACCAGTCCACTTTGAAAGATGATCTGGACTTCTTCATTCTCTTTTCCTCAATTGCCTCCATCACCGGTAATCGTTCCCAAACAAACTATGCAACTGGAAACGCATTCCAGAATGCTCTCGCAACTTATCGGCGCTCTATCGGTCTGCCTGGCGTTTCCATCGCACTGGGATCAATAAGCGAGATTGGTGTCCTGGCTAATGATCGAACCCTCCTCACCTACTTCATGCAGATGGGACATGCGTATATCGGGCCGGAAGAGTTGGAAAAGGTCATGGAAGCTGCCATCTACGAGTCACACAGGCATAACGGCCCTCCTATAATTTGTTTAGGTTTCGAGATGTTCGAGGCCCTTGACGGCATTATTCAGAAGAAGCCAGAACAGAATCAGCTTTTCTGGACAGACTTTCCGGAGTTCAGCCATCTGCTTGATCACAAGCTGAGCAACTCCGAGGCAGCTACCGAGTCGCTGAAGGAAAGGCTGCACACTTTGGGCCCGGATGAGGCGCAGAACGTCCTTACCGAACACTTCCTGCAATGTCTAGGAAGCCTTCTGGGATATGATGTCAAGGACTTCGATCCTGAATCATCCATTGCAGTTTACGGCCTGGATTCCCTCAACGCAATGTCGTGCAGATATTGGTTCTTCCAAAGTAAGTACACTCAAATTAATTACTCATGACCAATTGCGTCTCGTTTTCTTGCATTACAGGGGCTTATCATATGCAGATCTTGCTGTTGACGTACCCGTGTTCGACGTACTTGGATGTAAGTCAATTCACGCTCTTGTATCGAGAGTCATCCAAAAGCTCCGGGACAGCCAAGATGGACCCAAGGACAGCATCATCCCGCAACCCATTTCAAATCATGATCTGGAATATAGGCCGTTGTCTCACTCCCAACGCCGTCTCTGGTTCCTGCACAAGTACCTTCCGGACAAAACAGTTTACAATCTTCTGTTAGTGTGTCATATCCAAGGAATCGTCAACATACCTTTCTTCAAAAAGGCATGGTCAGTTCTTCTGACGCGTCACGAAGCTCTTCGCTCTCGCCTTGTGGATACGGATAAAGGTTTACAGCAAATTCCAATGGCACTTGAAGAGTTTCCGATTACCGATGTCACTGCAAAAGAAGAAGACCATCAGTCCGTTGTCGAGGAAATAACTGCAGTTGCCCGGTCACACGAGTTTGACATTGAAAATGGAGAGCTTGTCCGAGCTTGGCTGTTGCAATCGCCGCTTGGTTGGAGTTTCTTCTTAACATCGCATCATCTCGCTTGGGACCGTTCGTCTGCTCCGACGATCTTTGCCGAGACAACAAGTATCTACAAGGCCCTGGTAGCCGGCCAGCCCGCAGATTCCGCTTTGGTTCCGCTGAAGTTGCAATTCATTGACTACACTTTGTGGCAAGAAAAGTGCCTAGAGACTCCTCAGTTCATAAATCCTCTCGTAAGTTACTGGAAAAATCAGCTGAGCGGTATCCCCGAATCTGTTTCTCTTCTTCCAATGGCATTGAAAGACAAGCGGCCCGTTGTGAAGCAGCTCCAAACGGACCAGGTCTCTCTAGTCTTCGACTCGGGCCTTGGTCAAGCCATCAAGCGTTTTTGTGCGCAACGTGCGGTGACGCCCTTCATGTTCATGGCTTCAAGCTTGAGCGCACTAGTGCACCGACTTACCGGGGACGAAGACGTAGTGATTGGAATAGCAGATGGAGACAGAGGACACCCTGCGTTTGACGAGTTGATTGGATTCACTGTCAACATGCTGCCGATCCGAAGCAGGACGGGTCCGTCAAGGCTCTTTTCTGCAATTCTCGAGGATTACCGGAAGTCTTGTCTGGAAGCATATGAGCACAGCGCCATGCCGCTCGACTTCCTTTTGTCACAACTCGATATCCCTCGGAGGACATCTCACAGTCCCGTTTTCCAGATGACCGTCAACTATCAGATGCACGGATCTTTCCCTCAGTATGATTACGGTGATTTCAAGTTTACCACATACGACCATTACAATGCCCGCCAGCAGACCGACTTCAGTTTGAACGTCGAGGAAACAGCCACCGAAGAGTTGGATTGCGTCTTTGAATTCGACACTGCTATTTATGACCGCCAAGGCATAGCAGACATGGCCGAGATCTACCGAACCTTCATTGGTAACATCATCGCTTCTGACGGGGAGCTTCCGCTGGACCAGATTGACCTTATGTCCGCCTCGGATCGAGATTATATTACAGACCACCTGGAACAAGCCCCAGATCGCGAACTGATCGAATCATGCAACCGATCCCTCTTCCCCGTCCTGTTTGAGAAGGCGGTATCGAGTCATCCTGACAAGACGGCTGTTATTGATGAGTCGCGCCATCTCACCTGGGGAGAAATGGACCTATTAACGAAGCGCATCGGCAATGATCTCCTTCGGGGCGGCGCAAGTCCCGGAGAGGCTATAGGTGTTTTTGCGGAGCCAAGCGCCGACCTCGTCCTCGCAGTCTGGGGTATTGTGCGGATTGGGTGCGCCTATGTACCAATCGATCCTGACTTTCCCGATGATCGTATTCTCTCCATGATGGACGACGTCGACATGCAGAGAGTCCTCGTTGACGGGCACAAGAATCGCGTTCAGCGCATGGTCTCTTGCGGGCTCAGACTTGCCAATATCTACGACATCAGCCAGACAACTGCATCAGACCGGAATGATGTATGCTCCACCTCAACTCCAAATATCAAGGAAACCGATTCATTCTGCTGTGTCTTTACCAGTGGCAGTACTGGGCGTCCGAAGGGTGTTTTCATCAGGCACGGCCAATTACGTTACCACCAAGAAGGCTACAACGCCACATTGAAAACAACTTCAGAAGATCGCATCCTTCTGGCCTCAGCAATGGTATTCGATTTGTCTCTATGTGCTATTTATGGCACTGTGCTGTACGGTGCAACCATGATTGTAGCGTCTAGGGAAGGTCAGTTGCTCCTCGGCAATAACCGTAATCTCATTACTGACAACACATGCCAGCTCGTTACTCTCCATCCAAAATGGTAGATTTGGTTATTGGCGAACAGATATCGAGCTGCATCTTTACCCCAACGCAACTGACGATTTTGCTGGCGGCTTCGAACCGGACGAAACTCCAAGAATGGACGTGCCTAAGAGCACTCGCCTTGGGTGGCGAGGCAATATCATCCCATCTCATGCGCGATATGTATGACTTGAAGCTACGGGACGCAGCGTTCTTCAACGTCTATGGGCCTAGTGAGACCACTGTATCCGCCTCGGTGGCAAGGTAAGCAGGCACAGATTGAGTGGTATTTGAACACAGCTAATACTAAAAAGGCTGACTCCAGAAGATGCTCATCGTGATGTCGGCCTGGCTCCTCCGCATTTCCCAGTTGTGCTTTACATTCTGGATGAGAGAGGAAACCGTACACCCGTTGGTGTTCCCGGAGAGTTGTGGATTGGTGGTGCAGGTGTGAGCAGCGGGTACGTGAAGCGTGATAGCCTTACTGAGCAGATGTTCCTCCCAAATTCTTTCAGCAAAAGTGGCCTCATCTACCGCACCGGAGACCAGTTTAGCCTAGATCGAAACGGTATACTGCATTACCAGGGACGAATTGGAGGAGACCGCCAGATTAAGATACGAGGAATGCGCATCGAACTCGGGGAGATTGAAACGGCCTTGTGGGACCTTTACGAGGATATTATCGGGAAGGAAACGCCACCCCTGGTGCACCTTGCTGTTGTGTACCATAAAAAAGGGAACACCGATGGCGTCCTAACCGCCTATCTGGCCATAGGAGACCTCCCTATGAGCATCTCACTCGAACGGTCACTAGGGAGTTACTTTACTTTTGGTTTGAAAACACGACTTCCGATCCATATGATTCCTAGCTCATATGTCTTCCTGGCGGACCTCCCGACAACGGTTTCCGGAAAGACTGACTACAAGACCATCAGCTCGTGGCCAGCGCCTCCACGAGTTGCGCTCGACTCAATGAGAGCTGGTGAAAAACCCGAGCTTACAAAGACCCAAGAAGGCATTGCTACCGTCTGGAAAAACGTCCTTGACATCGACGGAGACATTTTCGCCGACGACAACTTCTTCAGTCTTGGTGGTCATTCCCTCCTCCTGATGCGAGTACAGGCGGGAATCGAGAGTAAAATTGGTATCACACTTTCCCTTTCCGCCATGTTCGCAGAGCCAACCGTTCGAGGGATGGAGAAACTGTTGCAGTCTGGCCGAAAATATTTCGACCCATCCAGATATGACTGTAGTGACGACGACACTACGGAGTCTTCAAACGAGTCGTCAAATTCCTCATCACAGGACCAATTGAGCAGTATCTCATCTGGTTCTCAGAGTAGGACGGTCGACTGGAAGCAAGAAGCTATCCTGGATTCGCAGTTCGACTGGATTATTACAGACTTTCCCAACCGCCCACTTGAGGCCATCGCAATGACTGGTGCCTCTTCAATGGTCGGTGTCCACTTTCTGCATCAGGTTCTTACCACGACGCAAAACACGATTTACTGCTTGGCAGAAGATGCAGCATCCCGTAAGGAAGCACATGAGCGAGTTTTTTCCGCACTCAAAACCCATGGACTTTATGAGACTATACCGGATGGTGCAGAAGAAAGAATCATTGCTTTCCCGGGTAGTCTCACCCATGAGGCGCTCGGGTTGGCATCAGCCGAAGTAGCTATGATTGACGCCAAGGCTGGGGAAATTTACCATATGGATTCTGACGTCTCACTCCTCAAGAACTACGACGGATTGAGGGCGGGGAATGTCGGAGCTCTAAAGTTTCTAGTATCCCTAGCACACGGAAACGTCGGAAACTTCAAGGCAATCCACTACCTGTCAACTTGGGGTGTACCTCACTTGCAAGCATGGCTCGGGACCAAGATGTCCCAACCAGAGATCCTTCGGCATGAGCAAGAAATGTCTCACATGGAACCGGATGCGGATTGCGGGCTTGCGTATCTCAAGGCGCGCTGGGTGTGCGAGATGCTTCTCTATGAAACAGCGCGGCGCGGTCTTCCCGTGACAATCTACCGGTCAAGCATGTGCGGCAACTCCCCAAGTTCCGGGCTAGGCTTGAAGCGCACCGACATCAACCGGCGCATTCTCGAAGGCAGCCTGCAGACGGGCTTGGTACCGGACTTTGGCAGCGCGGACGGCGGCGGCATGAGCTGGATCACAAGCGATTTCCTGGCTGGCTCCATCGCCCACCTGTCGTTGCTTCATCGCGAGACGCGCCCCGTCGGACAGGCACGCATTTTCCACATTGTCGCTGACAACCACATTCCTTACGACGACTTGGCCAATATACTGCAGGTTTCGTATGGTGGGCAGAGGTTGCGGACTGCTTCGCCCGAAGAGTGGTTCTCAGCCATGCGCGCCACCGGGAATCCGGAAATGGCAATTCAAGCCGAAGTGTTGAGCGAATGGTGGCAGGCGGGTTGGCTCCCTTTCGCTTTGGATGCTTCCAAATCGCGTCGTGCCCTTAGCGAAGTATGGGACGGCAAGCCACCTGTTGTAGACAGGCAATTTCTTTTGAAGAGTGTAATTGGGGAGCCGAATTTCTAGATTGTTTCTTTTTGTTGGATTGGGATTTGCTTCGTTCCCTTTCTTTTATTCCCATTCTAATTCTTTTTAGTGTTCGTTTCGCTACCTTGTAAAATTGCGAGTTATGGTATACGACTTAGAGGGGCTTAATATTAGAGAGTATGTATAGATGTAAGATTAAAAGTATACCTATTGGGAAGTTTATTAGAGGTTTTTGATACAGAAATAATAAACCCAAAAAGGCACGCATATTTTTCTGACAACGAAAGAAAGTTACCATATTGGCAAAATTAACTAGAAGTTAACATTTCTAACTCTACTGTGAGGAAACTCGTAGGATAAGGATTATATAGGTTTTCCGCACAATTCATGCTTTTCTCCGGGTAATTTGAAGATGATTGGATGAAAGAAATCTACAGTGACGAAAAATATAATGTTGCCTTTTAACATGACTAAAGCCTAAAGGAATAATGAAGTACGCATAATTATAATCCTTACAAAAGAATAAGAAGGTCATCATTAAGAGAAACCAACGCTCACTTTTGGAACTGTCTCTGAGCATATGCCTACTGCGAAACTGCACGCCCTGCAATACTGCTAAACTAACCTCCAGGCCGAACATTGTTCCAATAACTCTTTCGATCCAGATTCATACATTGTTTGCACATCCTTGCAACTTAGGTGTAGGTCGTTGCGGATACGATCGCAAAACTTGCGCCCGAGCACGGGAAAAACCTCTGACATCCGTTCAAATACCAGCAGGACCAAGTCGATGTCGTTTCTGAAACTACGGTCGGTCGTGTAGTGCCATTGGATGAGGAGGACTCGGCTGCAAAGGCAGAGGATGGCCGAGAGGTGAGGGTTGACGAGGGTATTAGTGGCGATGCGAGAAGCGTCTTTGATCAGCTGAATGATGTCACGAGCGGCTGCTACGCAGAGTCTCCAGCTGGAGCGCGCTGGCAGAAAACTCTCGCTACTACTGCCATTGCTGCTGCCGCAGTATCTACCTGTACAAACTGAAGAAGCTGCACGATAGTGAAGCAGGATTGTGCTTCCATGTAGTATGGCGGTGAACCAAACGACTGTTTTGTAGTCGAGTGGGGAGGTGCAGGAGAGGTCTGTTGCAGTAAGGGGTAGACTGAGTCGAAAGCGGACAAGTATCGCATCGAGATCGTTGAATTCCTGATCAATCAAGTCTGCCTCGGATGCAGGATGTAATGAGAAGGAATGTTCTGCTATGCGGCCCATGATGATATATGCCTTGATGAGGTGATGTATCATAGGTACAGGCTTATCCAGGTCGTACTTTGAGGTGATGAGAGAGTTTAAAGAGCGGGTAAAGGGTACGGATTGAGCAGATTCGGAAGTCTAGATAGATTTAATTAGTACCATAATGGAAATACTGAAGACTGCGATGTTTACCAAAATTCCAGTTCCTCTGAACAGATCGTTATGAATAGGCAGGTTCACAAGAAATTGACGATCGTCAATGGCATGAGGTACGCCGCAGGGGAAATTTGTACCCCTGTCCACGATGAAAATCGTCCATATAGCCCTCCGACACTCCTCCGTCTCCCGAGCAGGCGCAGTCAGGCTTGGCGGATTGGCAACATCGATACGGTTGAAGCCGATTGAGCATGCCCGCTTCCAAGCGTCTCCCATCGTCCACCAGAGGCCTTGGGTATCGCCCGACACCATGGCTTGAAACATGATACAAGCAGCAGCTTGAACGAGTTGTGTAGACTTGGGATGTATTTTCTTAGAACGTTTATAGAGCTCTTTTGCCTTTGAGAACCAGTCGTCCTGACAAGCCTTTGTAGATGGGTCGGAATGCATGCTTGCCGCGATTGCAAGCACAGTGTAGACTAGGACGGCGGAAGGGTCTCCTGGCAGATTCTGGAAGTTGTATATTGTTTCTCGGAAGGATTTCTCGTGCAGACAAGGAACAAAGACATGAAAGTGGGAGAAGAACAAGTCGACGAGTTCGATGATGCGAGGAATTGAGGGAAGGCAAGTCGGCTCAGCAGACTGACTCTCGCCGTGTAAGGAATTCGGCCAGCTGATCACGTCGGTACTCGACCAATAGTCGGTGGAGGCAGGAAAAGACAGAACATCGTTCAGCCAATCGTTTGCAGGGTCTGGGGTGGATAAGGGGTGAGAAGATGGTGACCAGAAGTCGGCGGTGGTTGAGGGTTGTGGTGGGGAAAAGGCAGTAATGGTGGCAGTAGATATGCGGCGGGCAGAAGGAGCAGCCCACGGGCCGTGTACTCTCTCAGTGCGGCGCCAGGAGTTGTCGCTGTAGTGGCAAGGTTGATCCCATTTCTCGCACGATTCACAACGCGGGCGTGCTCCATCGCATCGTTTCTTGCGCGCCCGACAGGCGTCACAGACGGGTTTTCGGCGAGATTGCATCTTTCTTGTCGGGCGGGCGGGCGGGCGGGCGGCGCGCTGACCGCCATGTGGGGGATATTCATGTATATATGTATACGGCGTATGTCGGCGTATGCTGATTTGGAAAAGCAACCTCAGCCAAAATGATGGGTAGTAACCCCTCTGTCATTCAGCTCACCACGGCCGACGCCATCCCGCTAATCCTCATCCACGACGGCGGAGGGACGTGCACCCAATACTTCCGCCTCGCCAACCTCAACCGTCCAGTCTATGGAATTCACAACCCTCGTCATCTATCAGGCCGTGCTTGGGACGGTGGCATTCCAGAAATGGCCGCTGTCTACGCCGATCTCGTGCGTACTGTCGTACCCGATGGCCCAGTTCTTTTGGGGGGATGGTCTCTCGGCGGGGTTTTGGCGCTTGAAGTGGCACAGCGTCTGCCGTGTCACTCAGTCCAGGGTCTTGTCATGATCGACTCTGTCTTCCCTCAACGCCACCCCGCCGATACGCGACTCGTCGTTCCATACCGTCCAGCTTTCACAGAGGCACAATCGCTCCTATTCCAACGTGCTACCAACCGAGCTATGGACTTGTCCGCTGCTATGCTCGACCGCTGGCCTCCATCCGAGCCTCCACTTAATCAACCCCCGGCAGTCCTACTTCGTGCCACCGACCACTACACACCTGCCGAAGAAAATTACGTTACGAGAGTCGACATTCATCGCAACGAGCTGTTACTCGGCTGGGACCGATACTCTCCGTCTTTTATACAAGATGTTCTGTTTGTTCCGGGCCATCACTTCGCTATTTTTTCTCATACACACCTAGATCGTCTTAGTTATCAGTTAGACCAAGCCTGTCAGATGCTTACGCGGAAGTAGCCGGTAGTATAGCCTATAAAATTTTAGGAGTCTATATTAGATACGTACTTTTAGTCTATATAAAAATATAGTTCTATAAATATTATATTAGACGTATTATATTAGGTCCCATACTTTTAGCGCTACCGGGTAGTACCTATAACGAGGCCTCTTTAGCCTAGGCGTTGGAATTGCCTAGCGGGTGAATAGGTTCGAAGGGTTTACCTTAAAGGATAAAAAGTATAGGAAGTTAAGAGATAAGTTACGTAAAGGATCGGGTGTAGGTGTTAAGGTACTACCGCTAGTTGGCGGGTAATTTACTAAAAGGTGGGTGGTTTTAAACGAAATAAAGCTTCTGGTATTCTTGTTGTTCTCTACTTCGTCGCGAAGCCGCGGGATATAGGCGCCCGGACCGGCAGGTCGCGACTTCCTCTCTCTAAGAATACAGCATCTCGTACCCCTCTAGCTTAGCGGCAGCGCGAACTAGCGCCCGCTGAACGAGCGACTACGAGGGATAGAGAGTAATTAGAGAAATAAGGGGAGAAAAGGAACAATATAAAGAAACAAAGGAGGTCCCGAACCAGCCTCTAATCGCTAAACCTTCGCCCGGGAATTAGTAGTAGGCGTCTCGTAAATTTGTCGGTGGTCGTTAATAAGGTATCGAAACCCTCCGGCGTAGTTAGTAGTTTAACGACGAAATCTAAGGCTACCGTGTAAAACGGGGCCGAAGGAGCGGTAATTAGATTAAGATAGCCGTACGGTCGGTGCCGCTTAGTAGTATTAAGCTAGTACTTAGGGTAATACGTAACGTACGCGCGGACTTTCTTCGCTATATTATATATATAGTACGTAGCCCTAGCTCTATCGTAAGTTCGTAGGGTCCTACTATAAAACTAGGTATCGTAATAGCTCTCGAGTACTTCCTTTTCTAACGCGCGAGGTACGTAGAGCCGGTCGCGTCCGTCGAGCCCGTCTATATAAAAGAGTAGCCCGTCGCGGAGCGCGAATTTAAGCCCGGCTTGCTCGTCGTCTAGGCCTTTTAGGTAGTTCTTAAGGATTTTAAGGAGTTTAGCCTATCTCTTATACTCTCGATAGCCCTTTTTAAGTCTTTCCTTAAATTCGTCCGATAGCTCGATTATTACTGCGATAAACGTTAACTCTTCGAGAACGTTCGATTCGTCCGGTAACTAGGCTTCTTTCGCTACTTTAGGCTGTAGCCTACTAAGGGCGTCCGGGACTAAGTAGGTCCTGCCCGGCCTATACCGAATGTCTAGCGCGAATTAGGCTAAGAATTGCGAAGCTCTTACTAGGCGTATATTCTGATGAATAGTCGATGTAGTTATTATTAAGTGAATTTGCCGGGCGATCGCGGTTACTGCCGAATAGTCTATAAATAGGAAGGTTTTAGTAGATGCTTCGACTAAATATCTTATCTTCTTGACGACCTAAACGACTGCCGCCGTTTTAAGCTCTATAGACTAGTACCGGCTTTCCGCCGAGCTTAGGCATTTGCTGAGAAAGAGTATTAGTTTAACGTCTTCTAGCGCGAAGGGGCGGGCCTTTTTTAGCTACTACGTCGTAACCTGCTGCTGCTTAGTATTGTTACGGTAATAAGGCGGACTTAAATTAGATTATATAGGATTAACTATAAGACGTAGTACGAAGAGGAAAGGAAGAGAACGAGAGGCGGCGGCTATATATATAGCTCGCTAGTAGGCGCTAGGCGCTAAGTAAGGGATAATAAGCGAAATATAAATAAATAATAATTAGTAAATAATAAATAAAGATAAACCGTTAGCTAGCGCTTGCTAGTAAGAACTATAAGGAACGCGCTAGAAACCCGTAATATTATCTCCCCCTTTCTTTTACTGAGCTCCTGCGAGGCCCTTTAGTACTGTGTAGTATTCTATGTCGAGGCTTAACTATCGGTGTAGTTCTTTTAGCTGGTCTGCTTTTAGGATTCCTTTCTGGGCGAGGGATTAGCTTGGTTGCGGCTTATTATAGGCCGTTAGTTTATATCCGTAATTAGCGTAGAACGGCGACTCCTAGGTGGTTGCTGCTTTAGTACTGTTGTACGCGAACTGCGCGAGGGGTAAGAGTTCTACCTAATTATCTTATACGTAGTTAACGTAGCAGCGTAGGTGCTATTCTAGGGTCTAGTTTATTTATTCTATTTATCCGTCTATTTGTGGATATAATATTATAGATATTTTATATTTCGAACTAAGCTAACGGGTGAGAGTCTACTAGAATCGGGAGGTAAATAACTTATCCCTATCCGATACTAGCTCTTCTAGTAGCCCGTAGTTGCCGAGGATTGTCCTAAGGAATATATAGGTAAGTTCTTCCGCGTTTGCCGTCTTAAGGTAAGGTAGGTAGTACGCGTACTTAGTAAGCCTATCGACGATAACGAGTATCGAATCGTATTTTACCCTGGTAAGTAGCTCCTTCGAGGGTGGTAGATCCGTAATAAAGTCTAACGAGATCGATTGCTATAGTCGTTTAGGTGCCTTGAGCGGCTATAGTAGTCTATAAGGAGCGTATCTCGCGGCTTTGCTTCGGATATAAAGATCGTACTATAAGATTACTCGTTAGACTATTTTTCTAAGGCCTAGGAAGTAGAAGTACCGGGTAATTCGTTCGATTATCTTATCGGTTCCTTAGTAACCGTGTGCTGGTAGCTTATAGATATCTTTAACTAGACCTTCTCTAAGTATTCTTGGTACGTAGACTAATCCTAAGAATAGGATTGTTCCGTCTATATCTTTACTAACCCTTAAGTCGTCTTTTATATCTATAAGTTCTTATGCTATCGTATCGTAGCGGTATTCCTGCCGAATTTTCTTAAGCTAGGAACTGTTTCCGAGCCTAATCGTCGGTACTAATTATCTACTTAGGACGTATCTATCTGGTTTTATATCGAACTAGTATTATTCTGTACGATATACCGGGGCGACTACCCTTATAGGTTCTAAGGAGCTATCCTCGTTTTATTATAGTACCGCTAGTTAAATACCGGGTTTTCCTGCGAGGTAATCGGCTCTCTTACTTAATGTATCGGCTCTAGCGTTCTCTGATCCCTTCCTATAGGTGATCTTTATATTATACGACGTTAATTCTTTAGACTACCTGACCTGTCTTCGGGTTAGTTCTTTAGTGGTGGTGAAGTGAGTTAGGTTCTTATAATTATAATAGACTATAACCTAGTATTTTGCCCCTTTAAGGTAGTGTCTCTATTCTTTAAAAGCCGTAATAATAGCTAGGAGTTCCTTATTATAGATATCGTAATTTAGCTCTAGCGGGGTTATCTTTCGTAAGTAATACGCGATAGGGTGGAGTTTTCCTTGTTTATCTAGTTGACTGATGTAAGCCCTAATAGCGTAGTTAGAGACGTCGGTTTCGATAACGATTAGTAGTTCTGGATTATAGATCCTAAGAACGGGAGCTTCGTAGAATATCTGTTTTAGCGAATCGAAGGCGATTTGCTGAGTCTCTCCCTAGTTAAATCTGTGCTCTTTTCGTACGAGTCTTATGAGGGGTTCTAAGACTTCGGCGTATTTCTAGATAAATTTCCGGTAAAAGTTAGCGAATCCGAGGAAGGATTATACTTCTTTAACGGTTCTAGGTATCGGCTAGTCTCGTATAGTATCTAGCTTCTTTTCGTCTATCTCTACGTGCTCTAGTAAGATAATAAAGCCTAGAAATTCCGTCCTTTAGACGTGCTATTCGTACTTCTCTAGTGCGACCTGTAGGTCTTTACCTTATAGTACCTGGAATACTTTCCTAACGTGTTCTCTATGCTCTTCTATGGTCTCCGAATAGATGAGTATATTATCTAGGTAAGCTATATAGAAGACGTCTAAATAGTCGCGTAACGTATCGTTAACTAGACTTTGAAACGTCCCTAGGGCGTTTATAAGACTAAAGGGTATAACTGTGTACTCGTAATATCCTAGGCGGGTTCTAAACGCGGTTTTCTATTCTTTACCTTCCTTTATGCGTACTAAATAGTAGCCTTCTCGAAGGTCGAGTTTAGTGAAGTACTTTGCCGTCTGTAGCTTATCTTAGAGCTCGGTAATTAACGGTAGTAGGTACCGGTTTTTGATAGTAATATCGTTTAGCTGACGATAATTAATATAGAGGCGTAATTTTCTATTTTTCTTTAGAATAAAGAGGATTGGGTATCCGGCTAGCGAGCTTGATGGCCTAATATAGCCTCGTTTAAGGTTCTTGTCTAGGTAGTCCCTAAGTGCTTCGCTTTCTTTTTCGGATAACGCGTAGATGGGCTTAAACGCTAGCTACGTGCCTGGTAATAAGGGTATCTCGTAATCCTATAGCTTATATTCCGGTAATTAGCCTTTGCCTTGTTCTTAGAAAATGGCTTGGTAATCCTAGTATTCTTCTGGTACCGTTTCTAATTCTAGAATAGGCGGTTTCTACTCTCGCTTTAGAGGCGTACTAGGCTAGTATATTCTTTTCGCAGGTACGGGTTTTTCCTCTAGTAGGTGACCCTGCTTAATCCTATCTAGGTTATCCCCGATAGCCGGTTTTAGCCCGTCGGTTATTGGCCTATTGGCCTGTATATATGCTAGAATTCGTTTTTCCGTTTCTTAACTAGGCTTTAAATATATTATATAGATCTTTTCTCCCCTACGTCTTATTCGTTTAAGCGCTGCGGCGGAGATTTCCTTAACTTCGATTAGTTCGGAGGATCTGGGTTCTTATTCCGAGGAATCCTTCTAGGAAGCGCGCGTACTATTCGGTTCGTTTTAAACGCTCGGTCCTCTAGAGCTCTAGTACTTATAGCTCTAGCCTTTCTGGTTCTAGCTACTTTAGCTCTAACTCTTAAGCTCTAGCTTTTTCTTCCTCTAGCTCTCTAGGCTCTCGCTTACGTGGCTCTCGGTTTTCCGCTAGGCTTCTATAAGGTATCGGTTATAATCTTCGTCCGGGAATATAATTTCTCCTGTTCTCTATCGAATGTAAGGTTTATATGTTCTTAACTATAGTATTCCTAGGATTAT